AAAGTGAAGAATTTTTGTCAAGACAAGAGTATAAAGTTGAATCGTCAACAAATAGAGCCACTTAAGATGTTAAATTTTGTCTTTTTTTTTTTAATTTAAAATTTCATTTAAGATCAATTGGAAATTAATATTATTTTTATAAAATTATAGTATTGGTTTTTATATATATATATATATATATATATATATATATATATATATATATATATATATATATATATATATATATATATATATATATATATATATATATATTAGGGTGCATCAAACGCCCCATACTTTCAAAAATTGATCTGTCCCTATTCTTAAAACTTTCTATTGGCACTCCATGGCTGTTTCACTCAATATAAAAGCGAGCTTGACGTCACAAGAATTTTTGTGTTTAAAAAAAAAATTTAATTTCCGCATAAAAAGTATAAAAATTCACTAACTTTAAATTAATAGTATTTTTTTTCTATAAACGCTTTAATCTTCGAATTAAAAAAATATAAAAGAACTATCTTTCTTTGTTAAATAAGGGCATAGATGAAAAAAATAGTTTTAGTTTTTTTAGCATTATTCTTTTTGTTTTTACTTTTTTTACATGAAAAACGTTTAATTTTTGTTATGCCCTCCAAATTATTGAAATTTCAACCCTTTATACACATGAAAATCAAAAAAATTGCTTTCTGCACTTCTAACTAAAACACCTTTAACCTTGCCAAATTTTGCTGCTTTATGCAACAAAATTTGTAGTTACATGCGTAAAATTTTTGTTTATATTTTAAAGCAATGGCGTAACTTTTAAATGCGTTACTTCCAAATTCACTATGTAATTAAATTTATTAAAACAGCTTTTTTAGCGAGACATTTTAGTGTATAAATAAAACAAACTTTGGCGGGTTTTTTCTCTCGTGGCTAATCTACAAACATCAGATAAGTTGTTTAATCTTCTGATATCTATTGCATGCTTGTTATTTGTCAATAATTATTATTTGATTTTATTTGTTTGTATTATATTTTTATTGAGAAGTTTATTTATCACTATGCATTCAAGTGAAAGGGAGATATTAATACTATACATTGGATGGGAAAATGGCTGGGAAAATCCAAATTGAATGTAACTTTTCTTTTATTAAGCGATTAATGAACACTGATAAAATCACTAACAACGTGATTTTAATTTTGTAGGTTATTGTAGGTTATATTGCTTAAGTTAAGTGCAGGATTTTTTTTTGTAAAACGTTTTTGCACATTCTCAACTACCTTTATTTGTTCAACATGATATGGTGACCAAACTGGGGAGCAGTATTCTAATATAGGCCTAGTATATGTATTGAAGGCTTTTACTAAGATACTAGGATCGTGAGACTTGAAGCATTTTAAAATAAGATATGCTCTGGTATTTGCTGCATATACAACATTTGAAATATGCTTTTTATAGTTTAGTTGAGAGTCCAGAGTTACACCAAGATCTTTGGGAATAAAAGGCCAAGCTAAAATATGATCTCCTAACTTATGGTTAAAGTTAATAAATTTTCTCGATGAAGCAGGCGTATTCCTATGAACAAAACATTTACTGGTAGAAATAGGTAGTTGCCATTTTTCTGACCAAAGTACTACATTATCAAGAGCATTAACTAAGTAATGGCTATGGTCCGTATTGCAAAATGAACTGTATAACTTGATGTCATCGGCATAAAGCTTTAAAGAGCAATCAAGATTGTTGACATAAGCGGTTATTGTCAACAATCATATATATATATATATATATATATATATATATATATATATATATATATATATATATATATATATATATATATATATATATATATATATATATAAATTTGTATATAGTAATACAGGGGTACCCAAGGGCGACTGAAGTTTAAAAAAAAAGCCTGTCAGTTGTCAGTAGCCCAGCAGGACAATCAGTCAGTTTGTTACTTACAAAAGAGTGTTTATTAATAAAACCATATTTTGAACTATGAAGATTTTATTTCTTGTGATTATTTAAAAGTGTATACTGTTTTAAAAAGCATTTAAAGTAGTATACACTTAGTTTAATAATGAGTACACTATGGTGCATTAAACAATTTTACTTAACATAATAAAAAGAAGCTGGCAAGTGATTTAATACTCCAAAGACTGTACTATTTTGAAGCACATTTCTTTTCAATTTAAAATAAGTCTTAAAATTAGATTTTTTTTTTTCAATTCAAAAATCATGAGTGGGCAGTTGAATTAATAACACATAATATCTTTTATTTTTCATTTGTAAAATACATTTTTGTTTTAAATTTGTCAGACAAAATTAGTAATCAGTTTAAATTATTTTATTTTTGTAGACGTTTTTAACATTTTTTTCTTTAGTATTTTCACCCGAGAAAAAATACCCCGGACCACTCATTATTATAGCGGACATTTCAAATAAGAAATAAAAACTATTTTAGTCACCCACAGGGCAACCAGGAAAAAAAGCGGAAGGTACACCCCTGGTATAGTATTAGATTTTTTTTAGATCCTTAAAACATATGATATTAGTGACCTAAATCCATTGAAACTTCCGGGGTCATATCATTTTATACCTACAATGTATATTCGTGAACTGTGAGGGTAAAATGATGTATTTTGCTATCTAGGGCCTTTTTCTGAAATATCTGTTATTAAATAAATTAAGAAAACATTACGCAAAATATTCAATCAAAATAAAATATAAGTTTTGTATAAAGACTTTATGCGATATTTAAATAAAATAATGAAATTTTTTTTCTCACAACTCAACTTATTTATTATTAAATTTTAAAACAGTATATTTTTAAATTAGTAATTTTAAATTTGATAACAATCAAAACGTTCAGAGCTGTATATGCTCTAAAAGTTAGTTACTAATAGTAGGTTCCCACTATCAATAAAATACAAGTAAAAACCTATAAGCAAGGTCAAGAAGATCCAAGCATCATTCTACTCGGTGTAGTCAAGGCACTTTTAAAATATTATAGCGGTATCATAAAATATAAATGTTTGTAGCGAAAAAAAACCAGACCGATGATTCTTTTTTTTTCTTTTTTTTTTAATCATCTTAAAATCACAATTGCTTGTTTAAATTTGAATAAGATTTTAAATAAATAAGTTTTTTTAGGTGAAAAGTACATTATAGTTTAACAATATGATCTTTTCTGATCGTTTATTGGCAATTTTCCATAATTATAAGCTCTTTCTTGGTCGGAATACTAGTATTTTTTGTGAAAATTGATAGAAATATTGTGTTTTAACAACTATATATAGTTAATATACATCAGAACCGATTAGAATTAGTATCAGTAGTAAATTAAGGAACTTTTTCAAAAGATTTCATGTTAATGTCGATGAGCGGAATTGATCTAAAGTCTCCAAAATAGTGTTCTTTAGATTCGCTATTACGGGTAGTAAAAAGGTTTTGAAAATTTATTAAAAAAAAAAAGTTTCTTTAATTATTATAAAAAACTTAATCAAAAAAAAATTATAACATTCAAAGATCTTGTGTAGACATACGCTGACAAAACCATGCTAATTCCAAATAAAAGTATTAAAATATTTTCTAAATTTCGCTTTTTTTACACCGAGTAGGAAAAAGAATAGTATAATACAGTTAATATCTACACAAATTTTTTTAATAAAGAAAACGCAAAAGACTGGTCAACTGAAATTGTTTGCTTAAAGACACTAGTGCAGCTAATATTTGCTGCATATGAGTATTGCCTTGAGTCACCAATAAATTGATGACGTAGTTCTTCAAGACAACATGGCATGTGGTTTGTATGAAGTTGTACTGGTTTTAACCTATTGTTACTGAAATGCATAAATTCAATTGTACAACTCTTAAGTTTTTTTGCAGTACTGATCCAAATTTTGTTTGTAAACATCTGTTTCTTATACCCCGATAAAGCATCTGTTTCTTATATCTCGATTCGCTGCTTGCTCATAACAGAAAGCCTATTGAAAATTTTGTTCATATATTTGGATGAAGTTTTTGGTAAGTAATGTCATCCTTTTCTAGTGGTCACTAAACTCAGGTATGTATTTATTGACAGCGTGGACTTTAGTTATAATCTTTAAATGCAATGACCATGTTCTCTCTCAAAAAAAAGAAAAAAAGTTTTTTTAGGGGAATTAAAGATAATCTGCATTTTAACGTTTTAAATGCAGTAATAAACTTTCGGTCACAAGCTTTCGACTTTTAACAGTTGAGATTTGTTGCTAAATTAGCGTTTTGATTCTCTGTCTTCAAGTGCTCCAAACTTGCTTTGATTATTTCAGAAGTAGTAATTTCTGGTGCATGAGGAATTTGGTCTATGACTGTCCGAAGAATTTCTCCGTACCAAAAAAAGCACATCTGAACCCCTGTATACTGGTTACTACTTTAGATGTGCTATTTTTTGACTAATTTTACGAAACCAATAAAAGTAAATGTTCTTTATTTGGGTCATAGTTCACAATAACGCTATTCCAATTTTTTCAATTTCAAGTTTCTTGCAGTTATAGCAAAACATATGCAAATCTACCTAGCAGGCACTAAATAGAATATTTTTGAAAGCACATTTTAGTACAATTTTCTAGTTTCAATTTTTTTTTCCTTAATGGATATAATGAGTTAAAATTTTGTTTTCGATCGTTGTTAATAAGATCTTAATAAATAATTTAATAGCGTGAAAGAGTCACAAATCGTTTTAAGTTTCTTAAAAAAGTATGCGAGTGCCAAAGACTTTTTTTTGCCTTTAAAATTTTAAAAATAAAAAATAATTTTTCATAATTAATTTTTTTTTAATAACTGTTTTGTAAGTTTCGAAAAAACACAATTAACTTGAATTGTTGCTTTTCGATCTAAGTTGCCTGATAACATTTTGATCAGGGCTTGTTGTTTTTTTATGGAATGTTTTGTAATCCTGTTGATTGTTTGTTTTTGTTTTTTTAATGGATTGTTTCATATTTTTGTAATCCTGTTTATTGATTTTTTTATTATGGGTTGTTTTATTTAGTCTTATTGGTGTCATTAAAGGCGTACTTACAACTTTAGTTGGCTTTTTAACGTTTGGTGGACAACCTATCACATTTATGGTAGTTACGGGCGTAACATTAAACGCCATCGGCGGAGTTCTTTATACTGCTGTGAAATATTTTGAAAAACGTAAGCAATCTTCCAATGTACACACGACTCACGATCATCAAGCCGCTTAGTTTTTGGCTTCTTGTTGCTTTTGCTGTATTTAATTAAATAACCTTTTTTTAATAATTTACATAATTTAAATAGAGAAAAAACAAATTTCTCCTTCATACAATTAAATTATGCAATAATTTATAAATAATTAGGTTATGCAATAATTTATTACGTTAATAAGGGGATTATATTTATAAAAAAGTATTTATTTTTTTTGGATTGCATTACCAACATTTGGTTTTTGATGTACATTTTTTTTTTTTTAGGAAAAAAATTTTTAATGGCTTTTTGATGATTATTTTTTAATAAGTAAATAAAATTTCTAGTCTAGTTAATGCTTTATTTAGTAAAATGTTGTGACTTTCGTAATAACGACCGCTTTTTCTGTAAAAGTTTATTAACGATAAACAATTTTCATGTGATGTTTTATAAAAAAGTTAAATTTAAATGTAATGAATCACAATCGTTTTTTTAAAGTGATGTTAAAAGAGAAGTTCGGAAAAGAAATAAAAAAGCAAAGTATACAATACAAGCAATGAAGGCGATTCTCTTTAATAATTTTGTGCGTATCTATTCTTTTCACTATACCAAACTGGATTGGAAACTACTTTAAACTTCAGAGTAATAACGATTATCCTATTTAACTACCAGCTTTAAAATTCACCAAATTTAAGTTATATTTGGTTATATTATATAACATCAACGGGTTCATTTTCAATTATTCTGAATACACGCTGCTCAGCTAAAAGCTTTTCTGAATGATTTCTTAAAAAAAGATTTTTTGATTTAAATAAATTGCTTGGTAAGAAATTTGATTCTTAAAACAAGAAGTATATTTCTTGTTTTAAGATTCACAGCAAAATCGAAAATCCATTGCCCATAGTTTAAGGAATTTATTTCTTAAAAAAAATTTATTGTTTTGAGAAAAAAAATGCAGGGTGGTAAATTACTTTATTAAAACAAGAAATATATTTCTTATTTTAAGTAAAATGCATTTCTGAGAGACAAGAAATGCATTTCTGCTGTGTGCATAATGCAGTTGAAGAAGTTAACTTTATTTGTATGGGTGAATAATTATTTATCCAAGGCCAGCCATTTTTGATTCGAATATTAGTTCTTTTTTGATTTTATTTACTCGGTCAAATAACTTTACTCGTATCTTTTTTTTTTTTTTTTTTGTATCTTTAAATTGTTTGTAAAAGAAAACTATTGCAGATCATTATGCAAGTCATTAGTAGCTACGCTCACTGTAGAGTTTGTTACTAACTTTTTCATAAAACTGACAATATTGTTGCTACATGAATCACTACAACTGCATTACCATTTGTACTTGTGTTGAGTTCAGATAAAGCTTTTACTATTTTATGTTTTAGAAGCAAAACTTTGTCTTAAAGCGCCCGTTACAATTTTTTTTTAAGTTTTTGGAAATTTAGTATACCTTTAACTAATTATTTTTACTCATTTAATTCGAATCCTTAAGTAGGGTCAAAATAGTTTCGAATTACAAAAGTTTTCGGATTTTAGGAGTTCAATCCCTAATACAAAACTCTTAAGGTACCAAAAAATTTGTTCGATTTAAATGACCATTCGAGTTACAGAAAATTGAATTACAAGAGTTCAACTATAACTATAATATTGTATAATAACGAATAAGTAAATCACTGTAAGTATTGTTATTTCATCATCATCTTCATCATTCTTTTTACTAAAATTATTATTGTTGTTGTTATTATTATCAATATTGTATAAATCAAGATATGATTTTTTGATGTTACATTTACGACACTTTCAAGGATCGTGCAAACACTAAACTTCTAATAAAATCAGTTTTCAAAAGACGAGCTTACTTATACTTCTAATAAAATCAGTTTTCAAAAGACGAGCTTACTTATACTTCTAATAAAACCAGTTTTCAAAAGACGAGCTTACTTATACTAGACTAGCAGTAAGCAACCCGTAATACGGGTTAAAAATAACTATATAACAATATAACCATAGTAACAACATAACTTACTACGTTATCTAAAAAAATATATCTAAATACAAATTTATCTGTAAATAATTTTACAGATTAATTTGTATTTTAATCAAATAAAATTGTATTAATTTGTCCCTATTAGCAATGTCATTGCTTATAGTTATTATTATTTTATAAAACAGCAAACAACGCGTAAAATATGTTTATACACGGTCATTATCAATAGTGTTAAGAAGTACGCAAGAGCTCCGTACTTATTCAGGTTTTATCTCGCTTTATTAATTCTTATTTAAGTGAGACTAAGACAGTGTTTCCAAGGCACCGTGTTAAAAAGAAGACATAATAATTAACATAAGGGAGTTACTGTTAAATAAGACAAAAACTATTTTTTTTTTTTGGATATATTATTTTTTTTAGAGTGAAGGCGTTTTTTTTATCATTTAGTTGAAATTTTCCTTAACATCTTTATATTTTTGGATCAGTTAAAAAATTTTATTATAATTCTTATATAAATGTTAACTTCTAATGTCTAACGGGACACTTATTAATTTTTTGGTAAACCCCTCTCCTTTATTAAGGAAAAAAAAACAGTTCTATTTAACTTAAAAGCGTTTAATGTGCGCATAATTAAATTTTAGTTAATTACATAAAGGTCTCTCCGTCAAAGATGAAAAATGCACTTTAAACAGAAATTTTCAAATATTTCATGCTTCTAAAATCCGACCCTTCCGTTTATTACAAAATCACAAATTTATTTCATAATACTTTTTTTAACAAAACTTTATTATTTAATAACAAAACATAATTATTATTTGTGTTCTCCTGTATCGCATAAATATGTCATATGGTGTCTAAAAGAAAAATATAATAGATAGGTAAATATAATAGAAAAGAAAAACATTTTCAAAACAGGAAAACAATTAACCTGTTTTTGGCAAACTGCAGTTGCTGTTGTGATAAAGCAGTATTTGATGGTGTTGTTCAATGACATTATTTCATGCTGGCTTTTATTCAAGACGAAAAAATTAACATTTATTAAAAAGCAAATTAAAAATGTTTTAAAGAATAGAACTATGCACAACACTAAAGATAAAAAAAAAAACAAATTGAAATATAAACAAATTGTGTTTATAAACAATATGTTTTGTCTTGGCTTTTAGTGAATGATTAGAAACAGTAAGCTCCATGAATAGAACTACCAATTAATCATTTTTAACGATAGACACCAACGGGAAGGTAAGCCAACTGTCTATCAACACAAATCATCACAACAATGTTACAACGATAACGCACAACAAAAGCACATAAGATATTTATAAGTACACATTACACTTCCTCTATACAATGGCAAAGTCAAACCACTTTGAAACCACTGCATAAAATAGACAAAGAAACAAACTATAAACATATCGTCACGATCATAGCACAATCGTCTAAGTCATTTTTTTCTTGTTTTGAGAAAACTAAAAAAACAATGAATAACTTCGGTATTTCTTTTGCTACGTCACTTTGGTTTATTTTTGGCATCTTTTTACTTAGATGCTTTCATTTTTTGCTTTAGAAGTGATATGTGTATTTCCGTTGAGACACAATAGGATATAGGTCAAAAGCAATAAGATATAAGTAAAAATGCGGATTTAAGCAGAAGTGAAAAAATTAAAAATCAACTCCTTTCTGATTGGTTTAAGGCAATTTGCCACATTATTAGACTGTTTAAGCTATATATTTCAACTCTTAACTTCCGAAAAACCCCCCAAAAAATGACTTAGGCAATTGTACTATGATCGTGACGATATAACATTATAAAACATATTAACACATTTAACGCATTACATATTTGTATGTACATATGATGCTTAATATTAATAGACATTACGTGTTTCCAGAATAATTAAAAATGGCTAGACAACACAACCTAGCCACAACAAAGCAGTAACACCACTTAGCACTAAACGCTGCCAAGTCACACCTCTGCCAAGTACACCACTTGGCTGGCAAGGTTAACTATCTTGCTCGACACGTTTGCCAAGTCACACCATTTTGAAAACATGGAAACAACGTAATATAAACATATATACACAAACTATAAACACATACACAAACCCTAAACACATAACCTTGATAACTCATATAGCCCAAGTATTACATGAACAACTTAAATAACAACTAACACATAAAATAAATATAACGTTTATAAAAGCAAGTGTTTTTCAATTTTTTTATGTAATGTTATTTTTCAATTGATTCCATAATGACAGGCCTTGTCATAATTGAAAAATTTGGCACTTGTGTTTTTACTCTGTTCAAGTTCAAGTTCAAGTCTGGTTGTTATATAACCGAATATTGTATTTTTGAGAAAAAGCCATCAAAAAAATAAATTTAGCAGCATATTATTCTTATATTTATACATAAAGATTGTTATTTAAAGCGAATTAAGTTTTAATATATCTAGGACATTCATGTATTTCATTACAGGGGAAAGATTTTCATATCTCTTTAAATAGTTAACTACTTTAGTTCGTGGCTTTGTAAGCTCTGTAATCTTATTAATTTAGTTTTGTGTGTTTTTAGTTTTGTTTGTCCAAATAATATTAGCGTAGGAAGACAATGAACAAGACTAAAGTAGAGCATTTTGCGCGATTTATAATCAAGAAAGGCGCTAGAATTAAATAATACACTTATAACAGAAAATAATTTTGTTTCAATGAGACTAATAAGGTTTCTCGATGATAGGTTTTCATCAAATATTTTTCACAAAATCTTTGTATGATTTACTCGATTTATTTCAATTTTATTGATTGACATTTTTGGCAACCTTAACGGAAGATTAATTGAATATCTTATTTTATAGAAAAGAGTAAATCTTATTTTTTCACAATTTAATGATAACTTATTAGGGACTCCGCATTCAATATCAAGAGCTCTTGACTTTTTAGTTAAACTATGGTATAATAAACCTTTTAAGGTATTCTTTTACGTAATGTTTTATTTATACTGAGATAAGGTGCGGATAATATTCACTTAATGAAAACAAATGAACCTAGTTTTGTTCAGATCTGCTGTCATTAAGATATTGCTCCGCTTGGTACTATCTCAGCGAGTCTTTTTATAATGCTATGGTGACAGGGCCGTCCCGAAGAGATTTTAAAGGAGGGGGGGATGGGGAGATGTCTGTTTTTTGCGACAAGACCATTAGCACCATAATAATCAGATTCGGAGCACTATAATAAACAGGTTTTTAAAAAAAAGGTAATAACGGTATTCTCTTATAAATCTTAGTAAAAATATCAAACAATTTTGTAGAATTTTTTGATTTTTAATCAAATCGTTGAACTATGAAAACACCCACAAAAAAAATTTGAATGGGTTACGGAATTTTCATGAGATAATTTCCTTCCATTTAAATAAAATAAAGTAATAGAGCATAAAGTTGGTAATTAGAATTAACGGTTTTGCATTTACAAAGTAGAATAAACCCTATAATGTCTTTAAAATTTTCTGCAAAAATCTATAAAATAGGTTAGGTAAAAATCAAAACTTTGAATTAATAAAGGTGAATTGATGGAGTAAATACAAAATTTAAAAATATATGTCAGGGCCGACGACACGGGTTTCGAAGTGAAAGGATCCTTTATGACAATTATGACAATTATGTCGACATAATTGTCAATTTTTAAAAAATTTCACTTTATCTAAAATACTATTTGGAAAAAGTAAGGTCCTTTAGAAAAAAAGTGGGGTGGAAGGCCCCCTTTTCCCGGTGTTGTTAGCTCAGTACATTTTGATAAAACAATATTCCCTATGGAGCAATAATTTTAATTCGAATAAGTACGAGAACATTAGGATTACCTGAATTTTTTTTTTTGATTTTCGATTTGAAATACCAAAAAAAAACTGCCTCGAGCGTACCTAAAGATAATGTAAAAAAAATTATTATGATTAATTTACGTCCAGATCGTACATTGCGCATCGTACTTGAAAACTTGGATAAATGTTCAAACATTTATTCAAAACAATTTAATAACAATGATGTTTTTAAAAAAATCACTTTTTTGAAAAATTTTCAACTCTTTTAAACTTTTTTTTTTTTAATGAAATTCCTTAACATTATCAATTATTTAAAACAAAAATATATCAAAATGATTTGTTGCGGCGGGAAACAAACTATTTTTGCAGTTGGTGGTGTGAATACACAAGTTTATAAGGAAAATGATAATAATCAAATGATTATTATCATTTTCCTTATAAACTTGTGTATTCACACCACCAACGGCAAAAATGGTTTGTCTCTTGCCGCAACAAATCATTTTGATATATTTTTGTTTTAAATAATTGTAAATGTTAAGGAATTTCATTAAAAAAAAAAGTTTAAAAGAGTTGAAAATTTTTCAAAAAAGTGATTTTTTTAAAAACATCATTGTTATTGTCTGGTTGGGGTCAAATGCGTATTTATATTTATATTTGTATTGTACAGCTTGGTAAAAATAGTCTAAATTGACGTATTTGTATTGTATTTGATAAAAAATTTCTTAAATATTTGTATTTGATTGCTATTTCATTAATGTTATTTATGAAATAAATCAATCAAATATAATACATATATTCTCCTAAAAGTGTTGTTTTTTTTTAAATTTTTAAATTTGTACATTGTAAACATTTTTAACGGCGAAATGAACTAACTAAATTTTTTGGAAAATTTATAAAGATTTTTTTAAAAACTCATTCGTGATGCGCTAGTGCGGACGTAAAATATTCATATTATTTTTTGTATTATTCTTAGTTACCTTGGAGGCAAGTTTCTTGCAGTAGAGCGAATCAAATAAAAAAAGTTTTTTTGGCCTACCCTACAGAACATACAGACAGCTTAAGACGCTATACGTAAACCATTAAATTCTTTGTTAAAAAAAATGATATTAGTAACATAATAGATCATCAAAAAGTGAAAGAGAACACTTTCAAATATTATTTTAACAAAATTATGTATTTTAGTGAGTTATATGAAATAATTGCCTCGTTTTAGTAAGAAGTTAGCTCTTTTGAAATTTATTTTTTATTTAAAATTATTAATTTAAATAAAAATATAATTTTGGTTGACGAAATACGCAACCTTGGAACTTTATCATTTAAACTAGAAGCCATTTTTTTCTTTAGCATTTGTAACAGAGTAAATTCTAGTTTTAACTCTTTTCTTACTCAAGCTTAAAAATTGTTCAACTCTGGATGACAAAATACACAAACCAGCTAATTTAAATCCTAATTGAAAATCAGTATAAAAAGTGTATGAAATTTTAACTTTATTTTTTAAGAGCCTAATCTCCTTTTTTTCTTCTGTCGAAGGCATATTCTTTTTAATCTTTGGTATTCAACTTTTAAGTCCATATATCTCTCACGAATATCTTCCAAAAGAATTTCTAAGATATCTATTCTTTCTTTAAAATTTAACGAAGGTTTAAAAATCACGTTATATTTTCCTTTTCCATTAGAAACAATTTTCCAGTTGTCTTCTGTTAAAAGATTTGATAAGGCAGAGTTAAATTTATTTTCTTCTTCTTCACATGCCTTTTCTTCATTATCGAGTTGTGTTTCTTTTTTAAAATTTTCATCAAAAACTTTCTGACTTGGACGATGGCGAATGCTAATAAATGTTTCTTCCATTCGAAAAGTTCACTTAAAATTTAAAAAAGCAAAACATGCTAAAAAAAAAACGGAGTTTTTTTTTTATAAAACTTCCTATATTTTGTACAACTTCCTATCCAGACCACTATTTTAAACATATTTATATCGTTAAAGATTATATTAGAAAACAAGATAGAAGTTGTAAACTGTTTAGGTAGAGCATATTTATCGTGCTTAATTAAGCAAATCGGCGAACAATTTTATTTTTACCCAAACAAATGATCCACTGGCGCGCCTCTTGTCGCTAAATAAATGTTGAGCATGAGAAAAAGCAATAAAAATATTTTGTTTTATACCGAACTAGATGAATTAAAATTTTTAATATAAACTCTATATATAACTTATAAATTTTTAAAAATAAAATATGAGAGCAAATCCTATTTAGAAGTATCTGTTAAAAGTTTTTTGATTGCTCACAAATGTTTTCACGAAACTTTACAACAGAACCAAAGATATTTTCAGGAGTATCCGCAATGAATATATTTTTACTTTGAATTATTTTCGCCAGTTGAGAAGCAACATTTTCGTTACCGATGGCAACAATAACAAGCGACACTCCATTTACCTGAAAATCTTTATTTAGTTTTGCAACGCGGTCAATTTCATAACTATCTAGCGACTCGGCTCTAGCAATTAAAATAACGAATTTGGATGTTGCACTCACTAAAGAAAATTGTTCCTCAGCTAGTTGAAGAGCACTTGATACCTTATATCCGTCGGAATTTGCATGTTCTAGGTGATCAACTAAACGTCGAGTTTCCTCGACAGTTCGCACACTAAATGCTACTCTTAAACTGGCAACTGCGTTAAAATCAACGACGCTTACTTGCATTATTTTAGAATCAAAATATTCGATTGAAGCCATTACAAACTGCTTTGCGTTTTCATATGCATCGCTTCCAAAAAGGTTTGAGTTTTCGACAACAAACGAAAGTGCCATGTTTTTTGAACATTCTAAAAATAAATTTATTAGAATTTTTATTTTATGTTTGTATGTATGCAATTTTATTAAAGGAGTATGTATGAAATTTTATTTTTTTACGGAACCTTTAACATATTTAAAAAAACCCTTTAACAAATTCCGCTTTCAGTGACTGCAGGGAATTTATAATTATTGTAGCAAATAAATTTATTATTTAATACGCAGGGATCACGGCAGCATTTCTTGAGAACCCCTTAAAATGAGAGTTTATAAACTTTACTTTTATAAACTTTCTAACATCAAAATATTATTTGATGAAATTCAAAATCGGTGAATATAAATTAAAGTTTAAAATAGTATTAGATATAACACAGTAAATTGATATTTAAGGTTTAAAAAGGAAGATTTAGAGTTTTTGTTGTTCCAAGACTCCAATCACAGCAACTTTTTGAAAAGCATTTTTATTTTATATAAGCATAAAACATAACTAAGGTTGCCAGATGTCCGGCTTTTACAAAGGATAACTATTAAAAAAAAAATATTTTTACAGTTTTGGCGCTGTATTCTCCTGCGTAAAACGAGCCGGACGTCTGACATTTAACTTAACCAAGTTTGAAGTTTGCTATATTTCTGAACGTTCTTTTTCAAAAAGAATCTTTCTTAAACAACAAAAAAAGCCGCCTCTATATAATTTTTTGAAGACGATAAAGTATTCAAAATTAAATTAAATTTTAGGTTTTTATGTTAGTTATTTGAATGTTATTGAAATTAATAGTTTTTTTTTATTATTTTATAAAAGCTATTTTATAAAATCAGTAATAGTAAGGGATCGTCCGTAAATTACGCAAGGCTAAATTTATTTAAAAAAACAGAAGTAGGAGATCTTAAGTTCTTTTACGCGGTGATTTTCATTTAACTTAATGAGCTGTTCTGCTTTTTTATTTAGCTAAACGCTCAGCAGCCGTATTCTCATCTCTCCGTTAAGCTTAACGGAGCGTTTGTCAAAAATTTCATTGCAACATTTCTAAGTAAAGAAATGACAAAAACTTTATTTGAATTTGTTTAAATAAAACTAAGACTAAAATAAAACAATTTTATTAAAAAAATATTTTTTTTAAAATTTTTTTTTATTAATGTAGTTAAAAAGGACTTTTTCATAAAAGCTCCGTTAAGCTTAACGAATACGGCCACATTACAAAAAAACGTTAGATCTTTTTTGTTTTGCTTATTAATAACAATTAGCGTTGCGTAATTTATGGACTAAGAAGTTTTTTTTTTAACTTCTGAGAAATTAGAAGAGAAAATGTTTTTTAACCAAATATTATTTATATTAAATAAATACTATGCAAATAACATTTAAAATAAGTTTTAAAGTCAGATTAATTTTTTAATTGAAAAAAAAGGAGAGGAGGATTGCGGAGAAAGAAAAGAGAAAAAGTAGGGAAAAAGGGAGCAAGAACTAGATCAACGCCACTTGCATGACTTTATGAAATTGTATTTGTGTATTTGTATGCATTTTTATAATAATTACCTTTGCATGATGTAACATCGTTACTTATAATTAATTTCGGTTCCGGCTTACTGAATTTAAGGTTGTTATTTTCAATTTCAATTTTCCTAATGCAACCTTTGAATGGCGTATACACTGCTGGATGATGCCTGTTATAAAAGGTGTTTAAAAATAATAAGTTAATTCTAGACTTCTAGTTAAAATAATATATATAAAAACGACAGTAATCAAACTTACTTTTTGTTTGGCAATAGTTTATCAACTTTTCCAACAGTAAATGTAGTATGTAGGTTCGCAATTTTTTGAAGCGAAGGACTGCTTCCCATGGCAACACGACGTTGATTAAAAAACATCTCCACACGCATTTCATCTCTTAATAAACGTAGGTTAGTCCAGATATTATGTGAAATAGTCTTTTGACTAATAATTGTAGCGTTACCACCTCCTAAATCCCAACTAAATAAAACAAAAAATCACAATTTAATACATATACAACGCCAAAAAATATTTGAACTAGATAATATTATTTGTTATATATATATAAAAAAAACCTTCACACATAAAACTTTGCACGTTTGAATTACTTGGGGAAAAAATTTTATCTGAGTGAACTTTTATTTGCTCGAGTATTGAATCCATATTGTTGTAGCAATTAAATTTAAAATAACTTTTAAAGTTGAATCTGCTCCTTTTTATTGGTATGTCAGTTTATAATTTTTGGCTTTTTTCTTAAATTTTTTCTTATTTTAAGAATATAATCTGAAATGGGAGAAACTGCAGGAATATAGACATTTTCCGTAGGGGCTGCTAGAAAGATAATTTCATCAGATAAACTAATAGTAAAAAAGAATTTTAAATAAAAATCATGTTCGCGATTTATAATAACTTTCTAAATATTTTCTGATTTTGGATACCTAACAACATTCTCATTTTCTCAAGAAAAAGAGCTTGCAGAAGCTTTTCTGAACATTTCAGAAAGTTTGGTCAACAAAGGCTGTAAATCAATTTTCCAGCTTGCTGAGAAAAATAAAAGTACTCACAAATTGTGTAACTAAGTAACTGTGTAACTAAGTAACTGTGTAACTAAGTAACTGTGTAACTAAGTAACTGTGTAACTAAGTCACCTGAAAAAGTATAGTTTAAGAGTTTTAAAACGTTATATTAAATTCTTTGTTAAAGAGTTGTTGAGTCAAAGGTTAGCTGTTTCTACAATGAACTAGAAAAAATGTTCAATATCAATAAAATGCAAATTATTACTCCATCAAACTTATTTGACAATGCGACATGGATTTTTAATGTCGCAAACTAGGAAAACGTTTGCTATAAAAAAAAAACAAAAAAAAAACACAGGTTTGGTAGCCTAACAAGTATATTACAAAAGAAAAATATTATACACGTGTGAACAGCAGTAAAAATAAATATAACAAATATGGGTACACTCACCTACATAAAACCTTGTTGTTTTTCAATGCTAGAACAAAGTAATCACGCATGCCAACAGGCCCTTGTGCATACATAAGCAAACCATCAGAATGTTCCGTTTTAAATTCTATACTTATTTCATGTCGATGTTTTCCATCAAGCAATTGTCGATAAGTCAAGAAAGAAGATATTCCATTAAAGTAAGCAGGTGATTGAGGCAAAATGTGAACTAAAAAAGTTGAAATAATTTTTTTAACATAATAAAAACTGTTTAGTTATAATCACAATACAAAATTAACCACATCTTTTAACCACAAAACTAACCACATCTTTTAACCATATTTTTGAACACATTTTAAAAAGCGTTAATATAAAAAGCAATGACTATATAAAGCACAATAAAAACTATATAAAGTAAAAAAACTAAACAAACCATACACATACATTTTATTTTTTGATTGAATTTACTTCCAATAAAGAAAGTAACCACTATTTAAGTAGGGAGTTAACAGAAAGTAAAAAAGAAAGTTAAAGAAAGTAAAAAAGAAAGTAAAAAAAGAAAGTCTTTGATACAAGCCTCAAAAAGCTGTATAAATCAAGAAAATGAATTTAAATAATAATAAATCAGGAAAATGAGAAGGCAGGAAAGAATTTCAAAATTATGTTCAAGAAAAAAACTAGACAAATTAAAGTTTTTATAACAATGGACATGGGATCATCTAACAATGAGAACTTTTAACGATGGGACATAGGCTCAAAGTTAAAAACTAGAGCAGGTCCAACAACATTTACAATCCAATGTGAAGCTTCGTCTAAAAGAATAAGAGCCTCATAAGAAAAATCAAACCACTAATGACAAAGGTATTCCATAAAAGAACAAATAAGAGGTTTTTAGAGAATTTAAAGTCAGGATTAGGCGAGCACAATAATGAGATACTAACTTTAAATTAATTATGGTTTCCATGGCTATAGTGAATGATCATTTGTAATAGATTGTATATATAATTTTTGTGAGATGTCAGTAATAATTGATAATCCATTTCTGACCTCTCACATTAATGAACAAGAAGCTTTCAACATATAAATATCAACACTGTTGAGATAAAAAAATCTTATAAAAGTTTTTTCAAAAATCTGGTATTTCGTTACATTTTAGTGAACTTCACAAGTATGAAATCTCAATTACTGCAGATTCTGCTTAACACAGACTGTAGATGTAGTTAGTTTGTTGTGGCATTAATAATCGAATATTAAAAGAGGAATAGGTGAGGCTATTTTAATACATAGAATGACCCAAACATATTTCACCATTCTATTTTCTTTTATATTTATCTAAAAAAGGTTTAGTCCACACAAAAATTTAAAACTATGCATGAATAAAGACAAGTAATTGCAATTTCAAATGGCTTTTACAATATCTATATTTTTCAACATTCTAATATTTTTCAGTAAACAAAAATGAGTATTTAACTATTCATCGTATTTGTTTGTAGTTTCAAGTGTGTAACAAAAATGTCATCATCAACAAAATTTTAAAATTGCTTGTTACGCCGAAAAGTTTATTTTACTTGCCTCTAATTTGACAGTTATCTCCTTGAAATCCCAATGAACAACGACATTTATAAGAACGAGCACTAGTTGGAATACACGTGGCACCATATAAACAAGGTTGTTCTCTACAAGGATCGATTCCATATGAAGAAATGATATTAAACTGACGCAAAACATGTGGTCCAGGAAAATTAAGATTAATTTGATCATTGTTTAGTGAAAATCTTTTGATGGTTCCTTGAAAACCATAAGTAGCTGAGTCAATTGACGAAAACCCAGCATTGGTAATATCACTAAAATAAAAAATAAAAAATCAACAAAATATAAATATGATTAAAATGTAAACAAACAAGATATAAAAAATATAAACAAATTTATTATGTAAACAGTTTAAAATAAACCTTAATCTAGCTTTTGAGTCTAAACCTCCCAAATAACTTTGGCTATCAACTTTAAATTTATGATTTCCTTCAATATTTGTTAATTCAGACATTTCTCCATTCAAAATAAGTTTTCCATTTCCATTATACATTGAAATAGAAACAAGATTCCAATTATTTTGAAGAACTTGCTTCAAAGAACGAATATGTGCAACATTTGTACCACTTTTAAACCTTATAAAACAGCCAGAGGGGTAATTTTAAAATATAATATTAAAAGCATAAATATGATACTAAAATTGTCAATTAATTTGTAATTATTTTTACTTTTTTGAGTAGAAAAAATTAAAGTATGTAGTAATTATTGAATGAAGAAGTATAATAATTGATGAGATGGACAATAAATAATAATGTAAAAGATATAATAATAAAGGCAAAAAAAGTCTAATAATATATAATAATATATGATAATATATAATAATATATAATAAGATATAATAAGATATAATAATATATAACAATCTAAAAAACTATGAAGATGAATATGAAGAGCAGAAAAAAATTTATGTTTTTAAATTATTAAACTTATAATAAATAATTTTTTTTTACCTAAAATGTACATAACCTTCCATCAAATATACCGTCATAAAATCATAATTTGTATCAACTGCTGTATTGGAAACATAATATAGCAATCCGTTGTCATTAATTGGTTGAAAATACAAATCCAAAGAAGCATTGAAATGAAAGTTGGGGGTCTGAATAACTTGATATGACTGACCGCCATAAAATATATCATAATCTACACAAATTATTTAAATTAATTAAAAATAAAACTTTTTTTTTTAAATAAAAATAACAATGAATAATTAGTTTTAATAATTTAAGTTTTTCCAAAATGTTTTAATTAACTATTGTTTCAGTGTTTCACTATTCTATTGAAAAAAATTAATTTCATAATAAATAATAGTTTACCACATGGTCCACTATAAGATAAGGCTACAAGTTTTCTTTTAAGACAAGCATGATATTTTAACCAACAACTATTTTGATAGGTTTGTCCATCATTTCCACAAACTAAATTCTGTTGAGCAGAGGAGCAGCTATTTGGACACACACATGCAGCTTTACCGTTTTCATTTAAATGACATTCAGAATAAAACCTGCATTTCAGGGAAGTACATGCGGTTGGTTCTTAAAAATAAACTTACTACATTATAGTTTTTATCATTTATATTTTTATAGCATTAAACATTTTGTAATAAGATATAACCACAAAGCAAACCAAAACAAAATCAACCAAATAATTACATTAAAAAAACAGAAACAAAAAAACACATCACAAAGTTGCAGCTAGTACAACTTTGATTTTAAAGTTAGACCTAATGTTTATAAAACACCCCCTTATCTATTGTGTTTGAAGTTTCCAAACAAAAGGAATTTAAGAAAAGACAAATTTTGGCTCTTTTTTGTTATCTCATTTTACTAAAGATCTCTAATTTTATGAAATATAAATAAATATATAAATATAAATAAGTACTAATAAATAAATATATAAATATAAATAAGTACTAATAAAAAACCATTTTAAATTATTACTAAAATAACTATTTAATAAAATTTAACACTTTAAATAAAGTTAAACAATTCAATAAAATTTAATGGTTTATAAAACGTTTAAGAGCAACTTTATATTGTGTTAGAGACTTTATATTGTGTTAGACTGACAAAAAAGTTTATGCTTCACACTGTAAATAAATGTTTTTAAATATTACATATTGCTTAAATATATAAAAATACACTTACTCTCAGTACAAGGTTTCTCTGCAAGTTTTTTAATTCTTGAAGGAGTGAGTGCACAAGGAAATATATAGTATTCATCTAATTTTCCACGCATCATACGAACGTAGCCTGGTGCATAAACAAATCTTCCAATTGAAGCATCTTCTGACCAATCTTGACTAAGCTCATTACCAGTCCTACTGTCAACTCGTGTGAAACTTTGAATTTCTATGCCGTTGACAAATATATGCACCTCATTAGATTTTAAGTCATAAGTTGCCGCAACATGTGTCCAGACTTTGGGTTTTATTACTGGTGTAGTTCGCCTACCAAAAATATTTCTATGTGAAAAGTGTATCGCTCCTTCAGCAGCAACTCCAAAATCATAAACTGATTTGTATCGAGGGTTTTTCCATCCTGGATCAATTGTAACAAAAAGTTGATGAGTGGGTTCAATAATATCCTCCAAATAAACCCAAGTTGCAAAAGTAACACCAAACTTAGGTTTACCTATCGAAAGAAAAAACTTTTATTCAACGTTTCTGTTTTTGGTTTCAAGTAATATTATTTTTACAGAGAAATATTATACCTTGGAAATTTTTGCCATCAACTTTTATAAAACCATCAGAAAATTCAGCACCTCGCCCACATTGTGAATTCTCATTTATGAATACACTACCAAAAACACTTCCATCATTTTGGAAGCTAGAAGATTCATCATAAACAACACCTCTAGATGAATTTCCAAAACTGAAGAACAATGATGGCTTACAAAAGCTGACACGTTCTATAAATTTATAAACAACTTTATATCAGAATAAATATTAATACTATTATTAGAAGATATTTGTCATTAGAATAAATATTTTTTAGTAAAAAACGATGATTTAATTTTTTTTTATTTACATGTAATGTGTCTTGAAAAATATATGCATGTCACAGATACGACATATTATTCAAGATACACATATCTTGAATAATAAAAGCACACCACAGGTAATATATGTGTTCCAGAAGTAATATAGTTGTGCAACAGGTAATATAAATACTAGGCACCTTGCTAGATTATAAATATTAAGTGTGCAACAAATGTTCTTTGTTAGGATAAAGTAAGATTTAGTAATTTTATTAGTTTTAAGTTATAAGCGCTGATTCAAAACTTTTATTCTCTAAAGTATAAAATATGACTCTGACTTCATTAAATTTTTTTATTTGAATAAAAAAGTTTTTGTGCTAGTATTATCATTACTTTTAGATAAACACAATATTTTGAGGACTCAAAAATTCGATTTGCTGCCATAATGTGTGCAAATGTTTATGCTGAAGAAAATGCCTTGATAAGAATAATAAAAAAATCTTACCTGAAACAGGCATACTCAACATAAGAACATCATGTATATAGGAATACAAATTATTGACAGAAATCGTATGCATAAAATTTTCTTCTCTTTTAGCCATCCATTTTAAAGCAGTGGTATCTTGACCGATAGCAATAACTGCAATTTCAATGCCATCCAATTGCATCAGTTTTACAATAATTTCAAGTTGTGCTATTCCTGTAGCATCACTAAGACCCTCTGTAAATATAACAACAACCTTATCTGAATTTTTTCTTGATTTTAAAAGGAATTCCATTCTTGCTTGTTCTAAAGCAAGATCAATTCTTCGATTTCCACCCACAGAAATTAAATTATTAAGCTCTGTGTATAAGTATTCTTTTGAAACACTAAAACTCGGAGAAATATTTACAATGCTGCCATATGATCCTACTGAAACACGTGTAGATGCCATAGAAAGATTGTATGCACCTATTACTGCCTGTGTAAAGTAACGCATGGCATTAAAAGAATTTTGGGAAACTAATTGTGAACCATCCAACATAAATAAGAGATCTGTATACCCTGTAACATCTAAAAAAAATTTATACCTTTAAACCCTACCATAAAATTCATTACTATTGAAAAAAGTAGTTGTAACTAAATTGCATAAAAACAAATGACAAAAATAAATTTTAAAACAAAATTGTTTACCACATGGATTCTTGCTGCTTAAAAATAAAGGCTTTTTTTCCAAACAACTAGCCATATTTAAATGACATTCTGATGCATATGTTCGGAAGTTATCACCACACACCAAATTATAGTTGATTGGGCAAGTGTTGCATACACATTGTGTTTTTCTATTTGGTAGTTGCACACACTTACTATGTGCAGGACAGTTGAAATTCAAGCACAAATCTGTTAAGAATTAAAAAAAATTAAAAAATTAAAAAAAAAATTAATAATTTGTTTGAATAATTTACACAAAAATAATAATGACAAAAAATAATAGTGACAAAAGATAATAATAAATATAATTAACATAAAATAATTAAATTTGTAATACTGGTAACCTAGCAACCTTTGTAACACAGACCTGGTAAAGTAGCAAATATAACAGGTTGAAGAATGTATTTTAAATTTGGAAGATCTTCTGCAAAGAAAAATACATCCACAACCTGCTTGAGCATTTCAGATCTGGCATCCTCCCCAAGAGCTATAAACACTATTTTAACGCCCATATCTTTCAAAGCTTGTGCCTCATCACTTAAATCATTCATATCTATGGAAAAACCACTGTTTGAAAAAACAATAAGCGTTTTTGGTATACTCTCTCGACCACCATTTTCTTCAGAAAATAAAGATGTTCTCACTATTTGAAATGCATAACTAAGTTTCCTAGATTCACCAGTATATTTTAAATTCTTGAGATAGCCAACAATACTTTCATACGAGGAAACTGCATTAAGTTTTATTGAAACTATTGGTTGATCACCATTAGCTACTACACCTACATAAGTAGCATCAGTTGAGATTTTGTAAGACTTCAGTACCGAAGATATAAAATCTATCTGAGCAGCAAATATTTTATCAGCATTTTCTCCTGATGCACCAATTATAAAACCAAGATCCAACTTTTCCACTTAAAAAAAAAAAAGAAAAATTACTAAAATTGTTGATATAAAATATTAATTTCAAAATAATAAAAATGTAATAAAATCTATAAAATGTAAAACTTACCATACTCTGTTCCAATTTGTTTTTCAAGTTGCCCAAAAACACCTGGAAGTCCTTTAAATGTGTCAACATAAATAGCACTTTGTTTATTCTTCTCCAGCCAGTTAACAGACTCTTCATTCGAAAATAAAAGTGTGACTATTTTTATTCCTTTTGTATTTAAACGATCTAAACTGTCAAATGGTTCACTTTTTTCATCTAGACCTGTAGATAAAATAACTACAACTTGTTTTATTCCTTTGTAAACAAACACTTTGTCATTCAAGTACTTAAATGCTTTATGCAAATTCCTTCCCCCATTGCTAGTTCTAATTTTATATAAAGCTTCATAGAATGTTTCTGTACTAGTTCCTTTGTTTATATTTAGCAACTCTTCAATATCATCGGAAAATGTAAAAATACCTACATGTGAGCTGTTTGCAGATAATGAATAGCTTTGAATAGTGGCTTTCAAAAAACTTTTTAAACTTTTGACAAAAGGCTCAGTCATATGTTTTGAAACATCAATTAAAAAGGTTATTTCCATTTTACCTTCAATACCACATGCCTCATTTTTAAAAGTGTTAATATACTTTTGATGTAAACAAACATCGTGTCTTTTCCAACATTCATTTGCATAAGTTAAGCCATTATCTCCACATAAAGGTTCATAAGGAAGCTCATGGGAACATATTGGGCACAAACATTGCGCTATTTGTTCTTTAGAGATAAAACACTTAGAAAAATAATGACACTGTTTGCTGACACATTGATCTATTTTAAAATAAAGAAGTATTTTATATATAAATTATATACACACAGATATATATATACATATATATACATATATATATATATATATATATATATATATATATATATATATATATATATATATATATATATATATATATATATATATATATATATATATATATATATATATATGTATATATATATATATATATATATATATATAAACACACACAATTTTTGTATCTATTATGTTGTATTTAGCTTAATAATAATAATAATAGTAATAATAGAAATAATAGTAACAATAATAATAATAGTCATGAAAAAAAAAAAGCAAAACAAAATTTATTAATTGAGGCATTTATTTATTAAATTTATTAACTTAAATAACATTAACTTGCTAGTAATATTATTATCATTAATTAATTGTTATACATTATTTAATGTTTTACTACTATGCAAAAATATATTCTATATACAAGATTTTTTACCTGGTAATAACTGCTGAAAAACTGGTTGTAGCAAAGCATTGAATTGAAGAAAATTTTGCACGTAAAAATAGGAGTGATCATCGTTACTTTGTTGAAATATTTTTTTATTTGATGAATCAAATGTAACTGTCACAATTTTGGTTCCTGCACTCCTCAAAATAATAAATTCAGCTTCAAGTTCTTTAACTTCCACAGCAGATTTTTTTGTATTAAAAAGTAGTAGAGATTTAGGAGCGTTTCGTCTTACTCCATTTTTTAATTTCTCTTCGTTATCTAAATTAAATAGTTTAATTCTTGCATCTCTCAATGCAGCAATGAGGTTGTTACCAGGCGTTCTTAAAACTATTTTGTTAATTGCAGATTCAGCCTGCTGATTACTGACAAGATCTGAAAGACGGTATTCAGTATGCACTTCTCTACCATATTGAATAATACCAATCTGTACATATGCAGGAGATACGTTGAATAATCTTAGAAGTTTAATAGTAAAATCTTTTTCAGCATCAAATATTTGATTAGTCTCAGTTAGAGGAGTTCCCCAAATAATGACAAGATCCAAAATGAGAGGAGAAGCTAATAAAAATACAAAAATGTTAAATAGTATATAAATTATGTTTACTAATAGATATAATGCATAAAAATATGGTTTAATAAATAAACAAAAAAAAAAGGTTTAAAAAATGCTTAAACTGACACAACAAAACTAAATAACATACATAAAAGTTGAGATATAGAGCTTTCAATTGCTCCAAAAAACAGCGGCAGCTCTTTGGTGACTGCAACAACTTTACCATTGGATGAAACAGCATTGTTCCATTTCTCTATATTATTATCATTAAAGTTCATTCCAACAACAACAATCTTCACCCCCCTATTGTTTTGCAATTTTTCAAACAAAGGTGCATCAACATCTAATGTTAATGCATGAGTAAACAATACCAAAATATTTCTCATTTCTATTTTGGTTCCTAGTTGCTTAGAAAACACTTCTGTTTCCAAATATTCTATTAATGGCTTTATTCCAATCTTTCCACCTAACAAAGGCATATTTATTATTTCTTTCTTAAAGGTTTCCTCGATAAAACTTTCTCTCAACACAGGATAATGGTATAATTTTTTTCCAAACAAAACAACAGAAATTTGAAGATTTGGAGATAAAAAACTTGGAATGAGATTAGCTGCCATTTCTTTAATGCTTGTGTAAACATCCTCAGTAACACGATCAGAAGAATCAAAACCAAACACAATATTTATACTATCAATATTTATACTGGTTATGCCTAAAATATTTAAGCTATTAAATTATTATTAAAAATAAAATTTATAAATAGAAATTGTTTTTTTACAAATAATTAGAAAAAAAAAGGTACTATTAACAAAAGTTTTTATTCAATATTAACTTTTTTGGTAATCATAACTTCATTCAGATTTCAAAATCTTCCAACTTTTTCTGTTATTAAATGAAAATGAAAAACATACAGCAACTGTTTTTATGAGAAAAAATTTTTTTTGGGAGTGGCTTGTAATTACTAAGTAACAGGCTGGAACAATAATGTGTTATCTTAGGACATTTAAAACATTTGTGTAATGAAGAAGATTAAAAAAAATTATGCTTAAATCCAAACAGAGACTTTGAAATTTTACGTTAAGTTAATCTCACAAAGAAAAGAAAAACAAAATTTTGAACTAATATACCCATGGAATTATTAAAAAATTTTTTAAAAAGTTTTTTCTAATTTTTCAAAACTTGACTTTGACATTAACCTATTTATTTTAAACAATTTTTTTTAAACAAGCATATGTAGTACTTTTTTTTCTTTAAAACATTCTTTTTATAGAATAACTTTTTCGTTTAAAATATAAAAAAAAAAAAAAAAAACTAACCGCAAGCCGTTTTTTTAAGAACACTTATATGCTGTTGAACTATGCAGGATTGTCTTTTCATCCAACATAAATTAGCATAGCTCATGCCATCATCACCACACACAGGTTGGTATAAATCTATAGCAGAACAAGATTGACAGAAGCAAAAAGCAGAGTTATCTTGCTTAGCTACACAACTAGAGTAATGACTGCATTCTTTTTCAATACATGGAGCTAGTAAAAAATTTTTTAATATTATTATAATAGAACCATTTAAAAAAATCATAGCTAATAAAAATAACTCATATAACCTACATTTATTAACAGCAATTTGGATTGGTTTAACCATTTTTTTAAAAATAGGTAAATCATCAGGAAAGAAGTAAACATCACCTAGAATTTCTTTTAAAACTGGAGCATCACTATTACCTATGCTTATAACCGCAATATTTATTCCAGATTTTTCAACATCGTTTACCTTCTGATTTAAGTAAAAAGGTTTCATTGTTTCCTTACCATCAATAAAAAGAAAAACTTGCTTTACCACTTCAAGTCGAGCTCCAATGTTAGAATTAAAAACAGTTGGATTTATAAAGTCCCATTCTTCAACATAAATTTCAGTTTTAAATTTTTGCATCAAACTGTTGAGCTCACTAATTATATCATTTTCAAATGAAGTGAAGTTTGTTTGAATGACTTTGCTTCCACTATAAAAAACCACACTAGCATGATCTATATCTTTTGAAATTTTAAATTTTTTAAAAAAATATGGAACTGCTTCAATTTGTTTTTCGAATTGCTCAACAGTTGTTGCTCCAACCATAAAAACAATGTCAGATTTAGAGTGGTTGGCTAAAAAAAATAATTCAAAGTTTATTTACAATTTACTCACAATTATCAATTATAAGACAATACAAAACAAACAATATCTTTTAATATTTTTTTTTCAATATATTTTATAAAAGATTATGCAAAAAAAAAAAAAGTTGTATGCAAATACTATTTTTGCGCTAATATTAGTATTTTTGTTTATATATAAAGTAAATGTATATAACATATATAAAATAATTATATATAAAGTAAAAATTACAATAATAATTATACCAATAATGATGATGATGATGATAATGATGATGATGATGATGATAATAATAATAATAATAATAACTTCATGGTTTGCTAAAAACTAGAAATTAAAGTTTAACTAAACAATAGATATAAAACAAATTACCAATGGCACTTCCAATAAAACTTTCCACATCAGGATAAGTCACTGGCAAACTTAACACATCAGGTACAATGACTGTATTTTGACAGTGATCAATTGTTTTTTTAACTAATACTGTTTCAACAACAATATTTTTAAAACTAATGACACGGTTTTTGTCAATACAACTAGTAGTAATTAATACAAGTAATTTCTTGACATTGTTACGACTTCCCATTGATGGAGAAAAAACATTTTCTACTAGATTTTCCAAACCTTGTTCATTTACTTCACCACCAATAACTGGCAACAAATGTAATGCAGACAAAGCATAATCTACAGATGTTCCTTTACTAAGTGGTAAATAGTTAACAATATCTTTTCCATAGCTAATTATACCGACCCGAACTTGATCAGGAGCCACAGTAAAAAGTGAGAATACAGCATTTAGAAAACTTTTTATATGAGTGATATCTAACTCCTTGAATGAATTAGATGTGTCTACAGCAAATACCAAATCAAGCATACCAGACAACCCTTTAAAAGTACATAATACACATTATATATATATATATATATATATATATATATATATATATATATATATATATATATATATATATATGTATATATATATATATATATATATACATATACATATATATATATATATATATATATATATATATATATATATATATATATATATATATATATATATATATGCATATATATATATATATGCATATATATATATATATATATATATATATATATATATATAAATTAAAAATAAATATATAAATTTAAAAAAAAAATTAAGAATAACTATAACATTTTCCACTTATTCAAAGTAACCTAAACAATTTTCCATTCATTCTTTTTTTTAAATAATCTTGTATGTAACAATAAACAACCTGCTGTTTCTTAGATACATTTAACTATACTTACCGCAAGTACCAGAATGCAAAAACTCTATGCTTAACTTGCTTTCACATGCAGCCTGCATCATTTGACATTTTGTAGCATAAGATCTACCGTTACTTGCGCATACTGGTTTATAGATTTCATCAGTGGAACATATAGGACACACACAACTTATTTTATTATGAGTTTTATTTGCAAGACACACACTGTGATACTTACAAGAATTTATACAAACATCTAAATTAAAAATAAAATTTTATAAATTAATCAATAAAAGAAAATAAAAGCAAAAATAAAGCAAATTATAAAATAATTAAAATTAAAAAAACCTTTTAGTAAAATGCCTTTGGTGAGAGTGTCTGCAATAGGTTCACTGATATCTTTCTCTTTAGCAAAAAACCATGCATCAACATTTGGTACGACAGCACTGCTATTCATAGCAACTAAAACTAATTCAATATTTTTGCTTTTAAGAAAATTTGAAATATCATTTTTAATTGGAGTGCTAATAAAAAGTAGGATTGACTTTTTAGCACCATTTCGCACTTTTGACTTGAGAAAAAAACGTTCTTCCAAAAATATAAACACCTCATTCAAATAATTTATGCTATCAACTTTTTTATTGTTGTTATCATCTTCTTTAACAATATCGATGTCTCCTCCTTTAACAACATTATTCATTGAGTTGATAAAAGCTAGTGCATTTTTTAATGTTTTTGTTTCTCCAAGTTCTTTCAAAATTTTTACATGTGGTACATAGGATACAAATCCTGGTAATACAGCCTCATAACCAAAATTAACTTTTTCTAATACTTCTTTTGCAATCTTTTGCTGTTTTTCAAATGATGAAGACAAAGTTGTTTCAAAGACAATTGCCAAATCTAATTTTTCTTTATCTAGAAAAAAAAACATCTAAATTAGATTTTTCTTCAAATTTTCTTTTATTAACTTCAAATTATTATTGTAAATTTATAATTTATTTGCCTTCAAAATTTAGATATTTAATATTAAAAAATGGTTAAATATAAACTTTAAAGTGTGCATCAGCTTTTAATTCTCAGTGCCCTACCACTGCACCACAGCTGCTTTTAATTCTCAGCTCTTTTTTGTTCCTTTTGTACAAATGTACCTTTGGCAAATATAGAAAATAAATAAAGAACTTTTTATTTGTTATTAAGTCTATAAAAACTCCCCTTTTTATTCACACAGATCTAAATAAAAGGAAGCAGGAAAAAATTGCAGGAAATATTTTTCAAATTTAGCTCTAAATCAAAAAAATTTTTATTAAGAAAATAATATTAAAAATTTTTTTTTTAATTAAGTTCATTATATTATGAATAAAATTAATTCTGTAAACTTCACTAATTTTTAGCATTTTATTTAAGTATTGCATTAGCAACAAAGAATTATTTCACATCTTGTGTCAATCATATCATGATGTCAATAAACAATGACAAAGATTATCATTATTGTCATTATCAAAAAAACAACAGAAGGAATAAAAGGAAAAATTAGCATACTTAAACATGTTTTTAGCTCTTTTTCTAATAAACCAATCTTATCAATTAAATCATCAGGTTTACTAACAATAAACAGACCAGGTTTAGTGACAAAATCATTTGAGTTTATGTTGTCAATTTCTTCAAGATACACTGCAGATATTATTAAATTTTCTTTTAAGTTATCAGTTGATGGCAAAGCCTGAACTTTATTTATAATAAAAATTAAAATGCAATATTCTGCAGATGTTGGTTCCATTAGTACCTCATTCACCTTAGCAAAAACGTTAAAAAGGTTTGCTTCTCCACCTTTAGGTTTTAGATTTTGAAATATTTTAACAACATCAGATTGTTTAATGCCTGATGATAATGATAAAGAAACTTCTGCCTCACTTCCATATTGTATAATTGCATTTCTTGTTTTGTTAAACAATGAAAGAGAGTGCGCAATAAAAGATTTCATTTTTGTAAGTGTATCCATACTTACACCATCAGATGTATCAATTGCATATATAACATCGATGCTATTATAAATTCCTAAATAACAAAATCAGATTAAATTAAACAAAAAAATTTTATAATTAAGGTATGTGTTTACATAATTTTAAAACTAATGTTTCTCATAAATATAAATATTTATTTGTATGAAAAATAATTGTTAATACTGATAATTATCATATTACCACAAACACTTTTTTTTACAACACTTATTTCCTTTTTCATCATGCAAGAATCTCTTTTAAGCCTACATATATTTGCATATGTTTGACCATTGCTGCCACACACAAACTCAACTTGATTATCTTGAGAACAAATTGGACAAACACACTCTTCAAGCTGGCCAGCAATTGAAACACATTTAGAAAAGAAACTACACTCAATACCAGAACATTTGTCTAAAAAATATAGTCAATAATTCAATTAAATTAATAACACATTTTAAAAAATTATAAAAAATTATAAAAAATTTTTATAAAAAATTTTTCTCGTTAAAAACTGATTCTGTTTCAAATGCAATTTTTTTTTCCTGATATTAATACCTAGTTTTTATTAATACCTAATTTTTATTAATACCTAGTTTTTATTAATAGCTAGTTTTTACTAATACCTAGTTTTTATTAATACTTAGTTTTTACCCTACATCAATAAAAGCAATTCCAAAAAAAAAACTTTAAAAAAAAAATTCCTAAAAACAAACAAGGAAAATTTTTCAAAATTTATTTTTTTGTATCAAAAATAAAAATATTAAAACAAAAGCCAATCAAACGATTAAATCAAATGTTACTGTTACATCAACTAATATTAAAAACTTAATCTTGTAATTCTATATATTATTAAGTTATAATATTAGTTAATTATATTATAACATTAATACTTATTGTTTATCTTAATGTTTTTTTATAAATTTTTTTTTTAATTATTCAAAATTTCAGTTTTCAATTTAAAATTTCAAATATTCAGTTCGTGATAACCTAACTCAATTTAAGAATTTGTAAACTTTTATTGATGGTAAATCAAGGTAAGCACTAACTTTTAGTAACCATTGTGGTTGGAAACTTTGATAAATGAGTTTTTTATAAGAAAAATGTTTTTACTTAAAAAAAAAATTGATATCAAATAACAAATGCGTTATAGAAAATACCTGGAAGAGTTTTTTGTAAAAGATCTTCTTTATTCAGTTTTTCCATGTCAACAAAAAATAAGTTATCTGAGTTCTTAACTAACTGATTTAGATAAACTTTGTCAACATTAATACCATATGCAACTATTACTAATTGAATACCAAGACTTTCAAGTTTTTTTGCACTGGCAACTGCTGCAATTTCATACTTAGGCTCATTTACAAATAATAAAACAGTTTTATGAACAAATGGTCGAGAACCATATCTTCTGGTAAAAAGATTGTATCCTAAAGTATCAAGAATACTCTTTATATAATAAGTTGGACCAGGATTGTTCAAACTTTGTAGATTGTATTTAACTAAATCATAATCATTTCCTGTATTGAAGTCAAATTCAATGTTTGATGTGTTGGCATATGTTAGGACACTGATATGAGTATATAATCGTGTGATTTTATACTTTTCCAACAATTTTGCTCCAAACATGATTTGCTTTTTAAACCTTTCAGCTGAATCAAAACCAGTAAATACAACAGCAATATCCATGGCTACACCTATAACCATGACAACAAAATAAATAACCATAAGTTTAACTAGAAAATTACTAAAGATGACTAATAAAGAGGTAAAAATTAAAAAAAAAAAAACAAAAAAAAAAAAAAAAAAAAAAACCTTTTTTTTTGAAATTCAGATGAACTCAATTTACAAAGAATTTAAGAAAAATTATATATTTAATTATAAAAAAAAGAAAAATTAAAAAGTACACAAAGTAAATTTTATTTCATTATTAAATAATTTTTGAAAAATTTTATTGTCTTAAACTCATTGTTTTACGTTCTTCAAAGATTCTTCAAAGATTCTTAAAAAGCATAAAATAGTGCAAACTAAAATAGTTTATTTAAAAAATTAGTTGTAACACAGAATTGGTCCTTAATTTAAAATTAATTTGTAGTCAAACAAATTTGTTATAACAAGCAACTTCTAAAATACTTTATCTTTTATTCAGAATCCTTATAAGCTCTTCAAAAAAATGAACTCCTATTATTTTACAATTTGATCAAAACAGGAAAAAAACATGTTACATTCTAAAATTTGAAAAAATTGCTGAATTTTTTGTAAAACAATCTTCACAAAAACTCACTTTATATGATCATTTTTATAACTTTTTAACATAATTAATATTGAACTTATCAAATATTTTATAAATAAATTTTTTCTACTAAAATTATTCTACTGTTTTCAAAATTAAAATTAAAAAAATTCAAGACAATTTATAAAAAATAACATTTTTTAAAAATTTGCTCATATTATATATATATATATATATATATATATATATATATATATATATATATATATATATATATATATATATATATTGTATCATATTATATCATTTTATTTAATAATATTTGTATACTATATATACACATATTTTTCAGGGTTAAAAAAACATTTAACCAATTAAAATATTTAATGATATATTTATTAGATAATAGTAATATATTATTTATTATATTATTAATAACACATTAACTATATATACTATAAATAACCTTATAAATATTATTATTAACTGTTGTTGTTTAGTTATTTATTCAGTTATCTAATAATATATCTTATAACAATAACACAGTGACATCAGTTATCTAATAATATATCTTACAACAATAACACAGTGACATCAGTTATCTAATAATATATCTTATAACAATTACACAGTGACATCAGTTATCTAATAACATATCTTATAACAATAACAGAGTGACATCAGTTATCTAATAATATATCTTAAAACAATAACAGTGACATCAAAATGCAAAAAATCATTTACCAGTTCCCCGTACTTTACTTTCAACTAAACCTAAAATGCTAGGTAACAAGCTAGTCTTAGTATGAACAATATCTTTAACTGCATCACTAAATGCACCGTCTACTGACACAAAAACAAGTCTAATTTTTTGAACATTTAACCAATCTAAAGATAATGATAAATCTTCATCATCAGATGCTCCTTTTGAGTTGGAAGTAAACAAAATGACTACTTTTTCAAACAAAATTTGTGATTGAGAAGGAGTTTTGAGCAATGATTTCTTGTTATCAAAGATATCTTCCACTATATATTTCAATGCTTTCCTGTAGTCTCTTTGGCCACCTTTATATTTAAGGTTTCTTAAAATACCTTCAACGGATTCACTTTTAGAAAAAGAATAGCTCACAACTTCTGGTTCTTGGCTAAACACTACAACAGTCTGTTGAATGATTGTTGTATCAAATGATTTGCTTAAGGTTGCAGCAAAGTATTTAGCTTTATCAAAATTTAATTGTGTCATTTCGTCAGATGCATCAAACATAAACACAACATCCATTTCTTTAGAAACTCCTAAATTATACAAACTATTATAAGAAGGTTTATAAATTTAATATATTTATAATTACAAAAATTATTTATCAGTAAAGTAGAATTGCTAACTTGCAACCTGTCTGAAGTCAGAGTTTTACAAATAACAATTTTTATTTTTACAATTTAAAATATTTTACCGACTTAAATTTAGAAATTTTTTCAAAATATCTTTTTTCTTAACATCAATTAAATCAATTTTACAAAAAATAATTATTTCAATAATTTCATTTTGTTTTAATTTATTCGAAATTCAGTTAAAAAGCTTGAGTAAAAAGTTGTTTATACAATGCAATATCATGCAATATTATGTAATATCATTATTACCATAGCAAAAGGTTGTACATACATTGCAATATCATTATTACCATAACAACTCCCTCCCCCCCCCCCCCCCAAATAAAAAAAAAAAAAAAGGTTGTACATACAATGCTATATCATTGTTACCATAACAAAAGGTTGCTCATACAATATGCAACGTCATTATTACATATAACAAAACCTCAAAAAAAAAAAGGTTGAACATACAAAGTAATATCGTTATTATAATAACAAAACTTCCCCACAAAAAAAAGCAGACAAAATAAAATGTAAATAAAATGCCTCAATACAACTCTTGGGATACAAACAATACAGATAAGTTTGATTTGTTTTATAAAGCACCTTTAACAAGATGTATGCGTTTAAAAGGAAAAATATATACATATATTTTTTAAACATCTTCGCTTCCAAAAAGGCTACAAGCAACCACTAATTAGAGTTGCAAGTTACTGGAAGAGAAAAGATGAAGTTTATAGAGCAAGATGACGATTGACAGACAACTTAAAAGATTGCAAATTAAATGAATCAGGAAACCAAGATGAAGGAAGCAAATTCCAAAGAACTGATGTTCAAGGAAAAAAAATTTGAGGAATAAGAGTTTTGGAGCACTTAGGAATAGTCATAGAAAAAGGATGAGACTTAATTGAATGACGAGTAACACAAGGATGAATTTTAGTAGATGGCACAAGAGACACTAACTTTTTAGAGCAGTGCCCATTATAGTATTCGTAGAAAAGAGAAAGAGAAGCAACATTATGACAATGTCATAATGGTTGGAGGTTGGCTGCATGAGCAGGTCCAACTATGTTCACAATGCATTTTTGCACCTTGTCTAAAAGAGAAAGGGCATTATTAGAAGATTCGCCTCAGATATGGCAACAGTATTCGATACAAAGATGGATTTGAGATTTATAAAGATAGAGAATAGAATCCAGAGTAAGAAAGTGTTGAGCATGACAAAGAGATGCGACCTTAGCAGATGCTAATATTGCAACAGATTTGATATATGGTTTCCAAGAAAGATCGGAAGTAAGAGTTAACCCTAGAAGATAAAGAGTGGATGACTTATCAAGTACATTACTGTTCATAAATATAGGAAGGTCAAAATTGTTGCAATAACAATTGGCTGAAAAAAATTGAGTTTTATCTGAAAAAAAGTTCACAAGCCACTGTGAGCCCCATGCTGTAGCAGAATGAGATCTTTTTCAAGCTCAAATGTCCCTCCAAACAATTAGAGTGTTAGCTTCTTATAATGACAAGAATAAATGGCAGTATCATCAGCAAACAATGTCACCATAGATGTAAGAATATCTGGAAGATCGATAATGTAAATTAAAAAGAGTATAGGGCTAAAGATTGAACCTTGAGGAACCCCTGAGATTACAGAATAAGAAGAAGAGTGCTGTCCATAGAGGACAACTTTTATACTACAATTGGAAAGGAAGGATTCAATAATCTTAAAGATGTTACCAGATACACCGTAAGAAGAAGCCTTATGGAGAAGACCAGCATGCCAACATTTATCAAACGCTTTAGAAATGTCAAGAGCGATGGCCTTAACCTCTCCACCTTTATCTAATGCATGATAAAACCTATTGGTTATTACTGTTAGCAAATCAGCTGTAGAACTAGAAGATCGAAATCCATATTGATGATCAGAAAGTAAGTAATTAGATTCAAGATGAAGAGATTAAGTGTTTGTAAATAAAAGATTCAAAAACCTTGCTTAATATAAAAAGAAGACTAATAGGGCAATAGTTAGATGAATCAGATCGCTCTCCAGAATTTTAGAAAATAGGGATAAAAGATGCTGCTTTCCAGCAGGCTGGAAAACAAGACTTTGATAAGCACTTTTTGAATAATTATGAAAGTATAGATGACAGCTTCGGAGAACACTTCTGCAAGACTATAACAGGTATGTTGTCTGGGCCACAAGCTGTAGAAGAGTCTAAGTAGGAAATCATTTTAAATACAGAAGTTGGAGTGATACAAATGTCAAGCAATGGATCAACCTGTTTGACAGCTATATCAGGTAGAACATAACTAGTGGAATCAAGAGATGGTATTGATGAAAAAATCTTAGCAAAAATTCAGCTTTGTCTTTAGGTGAGGTGACAAAGTCTGAACCATACAAGAGAGGTGGAATTACAGATTTGCCCTTTTATTGATAATACTAAAGATTCTCCAGAAGTCGCGAGAGCCTAATTTTTGTGATGAAATACAAGATTTCATGACCTGAGAATAGTGGGCTTTGACGTTAAACAAAACCTTTTTACAATGGTTTCTAGCAGTAATAAACAGACGTCTTTTTTGGAGAATTGTTTTGCTGATAGATATGGAAGTAACGGTTTCGATTGGCAATTGCAGCAGCACAATGTAAGGAAAACCATGGAGAAGAGCAACGTTTGACCTGGAATGGTCAAGAAGGTATAAAAGATTCCATACCAGCCTGAATCCATGAAGTTATGTAAGAAGCACATTTGTCAATAAGACAAAAGATTTCTACCCAAGGGTCATCACGAAGAAAATCACGGAAAAGGGTTCCAGTCGGCTTTAAGGTAGTGGTAATAGGTACAATGATAGGGGGATTCTGATGGTAAAAAAGAATGAGATAATAGTTTTAGAGAGATCAAACTGTGATCAGAAGCACCTGAGGGTAAATGTGAAGAAACTGAGCACTGACTAGGATCAGAAACAAGACATGTTGCGTAGTGGAGGCAAGAGTTGTGAGATTTGCATGACTGGCTTGCTGGCTAATATGTATACAAAAAAATCATAATGAAAAATAAAACAAACTCTATTGCTTTAGGAGATAAAAAAAACTCCATGCTTTTACTGGACACACAAAAAAGAGCTAGACTGATTTTAAACTATTTGAGAAGAGTCCAAAAACATTAAAAAAAGTTGCATAAGAGGGTCTTAAGGTAGAACTGATTATTAAAAAATGTCTTGCCCATCCAAATATTTAGAATCTTAAATCAAACTCATTCTTCTGTTCTTATTTGCAATCTATGGATCAAAGAGGAAAAAGTCTATGGATCAAAGAGTCATTTGATCAAAGTGCAAGTGCTGTGCTGACAATAAATCCAAAGATTACAAATTGAACAAACATCTTTTAATGTTTCAAAATTTTTTAAAAAAGAATTACACAAATAAATGAAACAAACTTTTATCTCAAACTTTTTCTCCATATTGCATATATTATAGAACACAATATATTATATACTTTACAATATTTTTATTTAAATATATGTTTCTATAATACTTTTATATTGAAAAATATTATTGTTGCGCCTGATATTTGAGTCTTGTTTGTTTCATAATCATTTAATGCTTTGGGTCTTGTTTGCTTCATAATCCAGATAAGTCACACATTTTGAATAGTTAGCCTAAGCAACTTTTTTTACTTTGAAAGTTAAACAAGTATTTAACAAATAAAAAAAAACTATACCGCATGACTCTTCTTTAACAACTGTAACCATTCTTCTTTCTTCACATATGAACTTCTTCATATAACATTCATTTGAAAATGTAACACCGTTATCACCACATACTGGAGAATATTCACTGTCGATGCATAAAGGACATATACATGATGGTTTTTTCTTGTCATTTATTGTGTACAAAGAATAAAATGTACAATTAACTGAATTAAATACATCCATATCTTTTCCTAAAAAAATTATTTGTATAAAACAAAAAAAAAGAAAGAAAGCAATATATATATATATATATATATATATATATATATATATATATATATATATATATATATATATATATATATATATATATATATATATATATATATATATATATATATATATATATATATATAAAAACTTAACAGATGTAATAAATGCTAAATATGAAAATTAACAACAATCAAGAATAAGTTTCCTTTTTATTTAAAACTGCAATAATAAAAAATTTCATTCATTGTAAAAAGTATTTCAATGAGTATTTCAGTTTTAAAAGATTACACCTAAATACATTTTTTTAAAATCTAACTTTGAGAAAATATTTTCTAAATGTTTTTTCAGTTCCTAAACATACTTTAAACATACTTTATACACATTTTTACTAGAAAATAAAAGATACACTATATAAAACAACCTTATAGTGTTATGGCAGACTTACATCTATAGCACTCTAAAATCTTTCTGTTAAGATTGTTACCAAGTCAGCAGTAGAACAAAAAGATCTGCATTGATAGAATTATTGATTGTCAGAGAGTAAATTGTTAAATTCAAGATAAAATATTAGTAGTTTTTTAGTTAAGGATTCAAAGACTTTGCTAATAGTATTAAGAAAGCTGGGTGGTCAGAAGAGTCAGAACAACCTAAGTGAGTTTTTAAAAATTAGAATGACATGCCATTTTTTCTACAAACAGGAAAACAAGATTAGCTATGTACTTAATAAAAATGTTCTGTCTAAGAAATTTTTATTGACACACTATTTCTATCATGAGATACAATCTCTAGCCTTTACTCAACTGCTCCAAGACAGATATTTTTTGAACATTTTTTTTTTAAATAATTTTTAATTTAATATTATGTTTATTATATTTATGTTTATGTAACTCAATGTATTGTAACTTATGTAACTCAAAACGAACAGAACAATTTAAATATATTTAGATGCATTTATATTGACTTCATTTAATCTCCTGCGTTTTAAAAATGTTTTTAAATGCGTTTTAAAAATGTTTTTAAATGCGTTTTAAAAATGTTTTTAAATGCGTTTTAAAAATGAAAACAAATCTTGAAAGTGACTTTTTTCTTATCTTTAAAGTTCTTGGTTTAAATAGTTTAAATAGACACCTGGCCCCTGGTCACCTGGTCCCTTTTAGAAGTTAAAACTTACCAACTATTTTCTCAACAGCATTTTCTAATTTTCCAAATGATTTTAACAAAGCACCAGGATTCTCTATAAAAATAGTTTCACCAAAACTACTGAAGTACTCTATTGAACCACCAATTGCTACCACTATTGTGTTAACATCTACTAGATTTTTATTCCAGTATTGCAAATCTGATTCAGAGTAAGTATACCCAGATGTAAAAAACACCAAAACTTTGTGTTCTGATTCTATTGTTGCTACTTGTAATGAAAACATTTTCTTTATTAATTGAATAAGGGCATTTTGATCAATTTTGGAATTTTTGGAGGGTAAAATGTTATATATTACAGATTTAGCTATGTCAATCGACTGATTATCTTGAAATTTCAAAGACACAAAAATATCTTCATTGTTTAACTCAAAAACAGCTAGCTGAGTACCTTGTATCGAAATATCATATGATAAAAGAGATGAAATTGCAAAATTTTTAAGAGCTTCTAAAGATACTGAATCCATATTTGTATCAAAAACATATATCAGACTGATGTGCTTTGAAACACCTTTGTAAAAAAAAAAAAAAGGTTAAATGACAAAACAATAAAATATTTTACATAATAAACTAACACATTAGTTGACCATTTCATGGTCTACAAATTTTACTATTATTTCATAATAGTAAAAGAATAAAATACCACAAGCTGCAGTTTTTATAACTTCAATATTTTTTTCTTGCTCACAAGCTTCCTGTTTTAAAAAGCAATGGGAAGCATAAGTTTTTTTGTTTGATCCACAAACAGGTTCGTACAAATCAGAAGAACATAGTGGACATACACATTTTACAGTGTGTGTAAATGGTACGCATATTGAGTAATAAGTACATTTCTTTTGAAAGCAAGCATCTATGATAAAAAAAAAAAAATTAATTTTAAAACTAAAAGTTATTATTTTGTTATTATTATTAAAAAAATTAAATAACCTTCATTAATAATATTTTGTGGTTTTTCATTTGCATCTAAAACCAATAAACTATCTGTGTTATATGTCATTTCATCTGTTTTATTCATCAACACAACAATGGATTTTATATTTTTTGAGCTTGTAGTCTTTACTATCATACCCAACAATGAGCTATTCATTGAACTATTTGCAAATAAAATAAGAAATTTATTTGTTGCTTTAGATGAGCTAAACAAATCAAGAGCATCTTTTACTGATGTTAACACATCTGTTTGATCAAATTTAAACTGTAAACTGCTTAAAGCTTCTGATATATACTTGCTACTTATACCAGCTTGAAATGTAAAAATAATGTTATTTTTATTATTACAAGAAAAAATACCACCAAATCGAGTTGCAGTGTTTGAAATAACATAGTCTTTTAACATTGTTTGAATATATTGAACTTGTTTTGTAAAGGTCAACTGTGATTCACCATTAATAATAAATCCAATATCAATTCTTTCATTAACAAATCCTTAAAAATATAAAAAGAAATACATACACACGTATGATTTATGTCGGCACTATGAAAATATGTTTTGCTCACTTTAGTCTATAAAATGTGGACTTTATTCCAAACACTTTTTTAGACAAAGTAGAAAAACATTACTAATATTGAAAAAAAATTTTTTGCTGTAATATATGACCTTCAAATGTAGATAATTACACCCTAAACCCTCAGTCAATCACACAAATCTAGAAAAATAAGGTACTAAAATACTAAAACAACCAGTAATAGGTTTCATAGTTCATACAAAAACCAGTATGCAAGACTTTTTTAAATGATATGTTAAGAACAATAGTTTTTATCTAATTACTTATATCTAGCCATAGTTAGAGGGGTTAAGCAATAGTAAGAGGGGTTATGCAATAGCTAGAGGGGTTGATGAATAATTTAGAGGTATTGAAGAGAGTTCTGGAAAACTAAAATAAAAAAATTTGGAAAAATAAAATAAAAAAAGAGTTTTTTGCAATAGTTTTGCCTTATTTGGGAGAGGCTCAAACTGAGTATAAAAGATGGATATATATATATATATATATATATATATATGTATTGTTTCAAACAAAATATACAAACTATATATACAAATTTAAATTATGTTAGGAACAGAAACATACCTGTAAAATATTAAATATTACTGTAAATTATTACCTGTAACTTGACCAATAGTTGTTTCTAGACTGCCAAGGTTTAATAATAAATCACTGTAACTAGGCACAGAAAGAAACTTATCTCCATCTGATGACAATTTTAAAACATTATCTTTTGCACCTGCTATTCCAACCACAATGACTTTGGTGTCTGAGGCTTTGATCTTGTTAATAATTACTTCTGAATCAGATGTTGCAATATCATTAGGTTGTGGAAATACAAGAAGAATTTGGCAAATTCCATTTTTCTTTTTGAAAAAATCATTATCAACCAAAAATTTCAGACCATTTTGCAAGTTGTCATTGCTAGATACTCTCTTTGTTTGTTGTTTACTAGATGATATCTCGGTTGCATCTATCAAATACTTAATTTTGTTAAGGAACAATATTTTTGTAAAATTTAAATTAATTTTTGGGACCTCAGCTCCGAAGGAAACAAAAGCAATTTCTGTTTCTTGCTCATATGAAGATAAAGATGCCTTGATAAAATCTTTCAGAAAATCGTAACCTTTTTCTGTCATATTTTTATAGTTACTAACCAAAATTATTACTTTTAAAACTCCTTTGATGCCTAAAAATATTGTTTTATAATGTTTTAAAAAAATAAAAAGTTAACAAAAAAATAATATTTAAAAATATTTAAAATAATTTCATTTCTTACCACAGGATTCATTTTTTATTGTTACTAATGATCTATTGAATTGACAAGCTTCAAGATAGAGATGACATTCTGAAGCATATGTTTTTCCATTAGATCCACAAACTGGATTATATTTTTGCTGACACTGAGCACAAACACACTCAAAGCTCTGATCTTGCTTTGCTATACAAGTTTTTTTCAACTCACACTTTTTTGTTGAACAAACATCTAAAAAAAAAAAAAATTATTTTTTTTATAAACTAATTTTCTATTATACTTAAGCCTCAAAATATTATTTAAAACATTTTTTAAAACTAAGTTTAAATTGCCTTTTCTAAGAGAGTCAACAAAAATTGATTTATAATGCTTCTCCTTGTTGGGATCATCGATAGATAAAACCTTGAAATTATTGTTTCCCACTAAACCAATAATTTGATTCTTATCAACATTATTAGTGATGAAAATGTGTGTTTTAATGCCTTTTGCTTTTGATGCTTCAATTTGACTTTTAATTAACGATAGAGATTTCAGATTTTCAGTCAACACTAACCAGTGTATGTTTACAACATCCTTCCTAAGACTTTCCTTGAATAAATCTTCAGCCTTTTTCAGGACTTCTAAAGTTTTATCTCCAGCTATAGGGTTTTGTAAAGATGTTATAACTTTGTTTGTACTTTGAGCATCCACTATTTGATTTAGCATTGAATAAACTTTCACATCTTTTCCATATGTTAAGAATGCAGGTTGGATACTTTGAATTGATATTGTAAATGATTGAATTACTGCACTAATATTTTCTTTAATTGAATTAAAATGAATTGAATGTGGAAGACTTATAACTAGGTTGGTTTTTGGAATGTCAACTATAAAAACAAGTTAAAAAAATTTTATTAATACATTTGTTTATTACAAATAAAACATTATTGTCAAATATCAAATGAAATATCTTTAATATTGATAAAAACATCAAGTTTATTAAAAAATAAAATTAAAATAATTACTAATCACACCGAAAAAAATATAAAATTACCTGAAAATGCACCAAGCATACTTTCTAAAACTGTTAATGCCTCAGGCAAGTCCTCTTCTTTATGAATGATAAAGTTATTCACTCCACCAATAACCTGCAGATCATTAAACTTTTTATCCATTGATACAACTATTATATTTATGTTTTTTTCTTGAACAGCTTTTTTTTGTTTCAGAATGACATCGAAATCTAGTTTTGAATTTTTACCAGACAACAATATGATAAGAACTTTTGTAAAATCTGGATTGCTTGAAAAAAACAAAGAGCCATCTCTCAGAGGTACTACTAAATCTTGCTCACCTTTGAATTCTGGATTGCCTAATACTGATTTGGCTTCAATTACTCTGTTAGTATCCATGGATACTAAAAGTTCAATACTATTGTTAAACTTTGCAAATCCAACTTTTGATTTTTTCTCTGAGGATGTATATAAAAGCTGAGAGGCATCCACAAAATCCAACATCTTTTTAAATTTACTTGTTGTCGTTTTCTTTGAAATGTCAAGTGCATAAATTATTTCAAATTTTTTATCAAGACCTAATCCCAAAAACAAAATAGAAAAAAATTGCATGTTATATATATATGTATATATATATATATATATATATATATATATATATATATATATATATATATATATATATATATATATATATATATATATATATATATATATATATATATATATATATATATATATATATATATATATATATATATATAAACACATACTAATTGGTCACTCTTTGCACGTAGTTATGTTATGTTGTTTTGAAAACAACTAAGTTTTCAATTAAAAACTGTATAAACTTACCACATGCTGTATCTTTAACAATGTCATAATTAGTATTCTGCAAGCATGAAATTCTTTCATGATAACATTTACTTGCATATGTGTGACCATCTGCAGAACAAACCGGCTTAATTATATCATCACAAGTTGTACAAAAACATTTTTTGCCTTTTAGAGGTGTATTTAAACACTTGCCATACTTATGACATTCAAATTTGCAAGATGCTAAGTATATATTTAAAAAAATTAATTTAGTAATTAGTAATTTATGTTTTTCAAAATTAAAATTAATTAATTTTAACATAATTATTTTGAAAAAAATTTTTTCACTCAAACCCTAACTCTAATATTATTTACATTGCATAAACCATAACATACCTGGTTTAAAAATTTCTATTTGCACATCTGGAATTATTTCAAAAATATCAAAAAAATTCTTTGGTAAAAATAATGAGCTTTTTAATGAAGAAATTTGCATTAAATTTGATGGTTCAACATTGTTACCATAACCAACAACAACGACATTGGAATTTAATTCACTGATTTTATTCAATATCGAGTAGTTTGGATTATCATTAGTAGTGAAAAATAAAATAGTTTTTAAAACATTTTCACGAGCTTTAAGAAGTAAATCATTTTTTAAAATAAAAAACAGCTCTTTAGCATTAAAACCTTCATCTTGTATTATCAAACCTGATAAATCATCTTCCAGTTGATTTTGAAAATCATCTAATCTTCTGACAATAGATGATGTGGTTCCATAAGAAACAATTCCAACTCTGACTATATCAGGAGATATAATAAGCTTTGAGGTTAATTTTCTAATAAACTGTGTTAAAATCTTAAAATTTTCAATTCGATTTTCTCCATTAGCACCAAGTAAAAAAATTAGATCAAGCTTTTTCAGCAAACCTTAAAGTTAAACTTCAAAAATAAAAATCTTTATAACCAAATCATAAAAAATAAAAATCTTTATAACCAAATCACAAAAAAATTTTTTTTTTTAAGTTATAAAGCTAATAAAAAATAAAAAACACACCACACAAAAAACAAATTTTTAAACTTAATTTTAATTTAAATATGTTTAACATCAGATCAATGCACCATCACATCAGATCAATACACTTCACATCAACTCAATACATCATAACACCAGCTTTAATCACCATCACAACAGCTCAATACATCAAAATGAATTCAAAAAATAAAATTAACCACAGACAAAATTTTCATAGATTATAGATAACAAATAGAAACAATTTTCATAGATTATAGATGACATTGAAACATTTTTGTAGAATTGAGCCATTGTAAAATATATACATCACAAAGATTTCGAATTTTAAATAAAAAATATAAAAAATATATAAAATACCAATCTTTTTAACAATTTCTACTTCCATTAAACCTAAATGCTTAGGAAGTTGACTTGCTTCACCGTTCTTACTGATGTCAATAGATATTATTTGTACACCTTTTTTTTGAAGGGCAAGCGAGTAATTATAACCAACATCAAGGGTATCAGCTACTTTACTCACAACAATCAAAAGCGATTTAGTATCAGGGCTAGTAAAAACTTTGTCATGCATAAACTTAAACATTACTTCTTTATCAGGAACTTCTTGTAATTTTTGAAAATTATTGAGCAAGATTGAGACATCTTCTTCATGAAGATCATCAAACCATTTTATAGTTTTACTATATGATATTATGTCCAAATGAATTAACTTTGAATTTAAATTAAACATCTGCAACAATTCCAAAAAATACTTGGTGACAATTTGAAGTTCAAATTCACTCATAGACGATTCAATGGCTAGCGCAATTTTTGTAGGGAAAGTTACTTCATAAATATCTAATTAAAGAAAATTTCATTTCATATTTTATATTTATATTTTATTTATATTTAGGGTTATATATATATATATATATATATATATATATATATATATATATATATATATATATATATATATATATATATATATATATATATATATATATATATATATATACTCTTGCATGGTAGTTGAAAAGAGTTTCCCATAAACTGTAGTTTTAAAGAGCGCGTTAATAAACCAGACCAGAAAAAGTTTAAAAACTTAAATTTTTTTTTTTTTAAATGATAGACTGCCTGCCCAAACCAAACCCTCAGTCGATGTAGCAGCACTCCCTTGCGAGTCAGGCTATTTGTCAGTCGTTGTAGCAGCACTCACTTGCGAGTCAGGCTATTTGTCAGTCGATGTAGCAGCACTCTGTTGCGAGTCAGGCTATTTGTCAGTCGATGTAGCAGCACTCCGTTGCGAGTCAGGCTATTTGTCAGTCGATGTAGCAGCACTCTGTTGCGAGTCAGGCTATAAGATAGTCGATGTAGCAACATTTACGCATTTTTAAAAATGTTTTTTAATAAAATAAAAACAAAAACATCACTAATAAAAAAAAACTTTCTAGTCGTTATAATTGCGGTTTTTTAAAAAATTTTTAAAAAACAATAACATTTAATGTACTTCCGCATTAATTTAATTGCTTTGACATTTCAACGACAATCAAATACAGCTTAAGAGATGAGGTAATTAAAATTGTAGTCGTAAGAGACTTTTTTTACATTAAAACGCTCTTTCGACTACACTATATGGATATATATATATATATATATATATATATATATATATATATATATATATATATATATATATATATATATATATATATATATATATATATAACCCTTGGAATTAGGGTCAGCATTTGGCAATGCCAACCTAACTGCCGACTTAAAAGTGTTAGAGGTCGGCAAAAATTTGCCGACCTCGTTTCTATGTTTTATGGTCAGACCTTTGTATAATTTTTGCTGACCTGATGCCGACCTCAGAATGATTGAAGTTGATAAATTATAGCCGACCTCATTTTCTTAATTCCAAGGGTTGTATATATATATATATATATATATATATATATATATATATATATATATATATATATATATATATATATATATATATATATACCTAACATAATATTAACTATAATAAGTTATGACAATATATAACAATACAGCAAAACATAAATAGTTAATAATTTATCAAGAGATAATAAGACAATACATAAAAATTAAAACTTTTTTATTATTCTTAGTAAAACAAATAAACAAAAAAAAAAAAAAAATTAGTTTTATTTTGATACCACAAAATTTTTTTTCAAGCAAATTTATCTTCTTTCCAGTTTTACATGAAGTGGCCATCAAATGACAATAGCTTGCATATGTCATTCCATCATCACCACAAACAGGTTCATAACTTGGTGAAGGACATTCAGAACAGACACACAATGCCATGCCATCCCAGCTTTCAACACATACTTCATTTAAATTACATTGAGATTCTTTGCAGGCACCTAAATTTATCAAAATTGCTTAAAAGTTGCAAAAAAAGATTGAAAAAAATGATTGCTACAGATTGGAATAATTTTCAGCTTTAAACCCACACTTTATTTTAAAAATAAAAATCAATAAAAAAACATGCATTAAAAAAGTATTTTATTAAACAAAACAAAATATAAACATTACTTTGGAAAGCTTTTCTAACCATGTCTTCTGTGAATTCATCTAGACTCTTAACACTAATAATGTTTTCTTTCTTCCCTACTATTAAAATTAGTTCGTCCTGATGTTTTTGCAAAATATCGCCAATAACAACAAAAATCAAATTTGTATTTTTCATCTCTTTTAGTACATCCCTTGCTTCTTTTGATAAATCTTGCATAAATTCTTGTCCATAGAAAAACACCACTGTGTTTTTATTTGCCTTCAATAATGCCTTTGTCCGCCTGTACAAATTAATGTTATCATCTACATCACTGCTAAACATGATGTTGGAAATCTCTTCAGTCAAGTTTTTATTAGACATATAATATGACTTTGTACTATGAGTAACAATTGCAAAAGTAGTGGAAGCCATATTGATATTTTTCAAAATGTCTATGGCAACATGTTTTTGCAAGGCAAAATTTTTTTTGGAATTATTGTTTGAAACAAAGGTAAATATAACTCCGGCACCTAAAAAAAATTAATTTTATAACAATTAAAAAATTAATTGTTCAATAATTTAAAAAAATAGTAAAAGATAAAAAAAGTATAAAAAAATATCGATACAAGTATTTTATTTTTTTAAATTAAATTTTTTTTAATAAAAAAATGTTTAGAAGAGTAGAAACCATTTGATTGAAGCATATAATTATGGACATCATCGAAGATATCAGGTAAATTTGCAGTTCCAAAAACAGATATTACATCACCAGGTAACAGACTTTCTATTTCATTAATGATGTACTGATTCTCATTGAAAACAATGAACTTTGTTTTAGCAAACTCGTTTATTAACTTCACTGCTGAACTTAACAAATAATGCTGGGAAACATCACCACTTGTAAACACAATAACTAAGGTTGTTTTAAAATTATTTCTATCTATCATGCCTTGTACTATATTCAAAGCTTCATGAAGATTACTTTCACCACCATAACTCTGAATATGATCTATAACTTGATCCATTGCATTGTCAGAAAAATTAAAATCTAAGGTTTTTATTGTTTTTACTTTTTTGTCTCCACACACAATAACTGCTAATCTAGAATTTCTCAAAAAACTTTTAGAAATTGATTTCAAAAACAACTTTATTCGCTGTAAGTCATTGAAAGAAGTACTACCAGAGAGGTCAACAACAAAAAAAATATCACTTGAAGCTAATGCTAAAATATAGGTATATGTGTAAATATATAAATTTTTTTAAACTTATTTCATTACATTTATTTATATATATATATATATATATATATATATATATATATATATATATATATATATATATATATATATATATATATATATATATATATAATATATATATATATATATATATATATATATATATATATATATATATATATATATATATATATATATATATATATATATAAACAAAAGATATCAATATAATAAGCAATAATATTTTAAAATAAAAACATTTATCTTAAGACCCTAAAAAGAACTTACAGCATGCATCGCTGCTAACAGCAATCATATTTATGCCTTCTTTGCATGAAGACCTTTTTAACTCACATTCACTAGCATATAAAATACCATTATTAGCACAAACTGGTTCATAGTGTTCATCACAATAAGGGCAGGAACAAACAACTTCACGACCAGTTTTAATTACACAAGATTTGCTGTTGCTGCATTCATCAGGGTCACACTTTCCTAAAAATAAATTTCATTAATTATTTATAAACATTCAAAAGCATTTATTGTTAATTTTCAATTCAAAAGTTTAAAAGAGCAAAAGTTAAAACAAAATAATAAATTAATTTCACCTTTAGTTTATTTCAGTTTATAATGACAGTTGTTTATAAATTACATTGCTTATATATAACACTTACTTATATAATAGATATAAATACAAAAGCATTTTTCTTTCCAAGAAAAAATATCTTACCAAGTACTAAATTATCTGCAGCAACACTCACAAGTTTAGGGTCTACAAAGTTGTCATGAAAATGAAAAAAACTAGAATTTCTTTTAAAAAAATATTCAATTTTATCAATATTTTCAACTTCACCAATCACAACAATAATAACATGAACACCTTCCTTTTGCATTCTTAAAATTTCTCTTTGGGCAAGAATTGAAACTTCACTGTTTATAAAAACAACCAATGTTTTAAAGGAGCCATATCTTGCACCTACCTCTGTACTTTTAGTCTTATCTTCAAAAAACACCAACCTGGCAGTTTGCAAAGCTTCCTCAATAGCTATTTCAACATTTTCAGTGTTGATCAGATGCATAAGTTTTGATTTCACTAAGTGACTTGCAATTTTATAGTCAAAAAATAGCCAATCACCATAATAGAGTAAACCAACACTTGTTGCTTCAGTGCTTATAACTTTTTTCTCAAGAATTTTTTGAACAAACTCTTTTTGAATAGCAAAATTTTCAGCATTTGATCCACCAAAAACAAAGGCAAGATCAAGTTTATCTAAAAATATTAAGAATATAAACAACGATTTTAAATGTCAACAACAATGATTTTAAATGTCAACAACAACGATTTTAAAAAATAACCAAGGTAATACATTAGAGAACAAAATGTTATTAAACATGATTAAATTAATATTTAAAACTAAATAATATTAAAAACCTTTGAACAAAATAGTTGCAACTTTCTTTTCAATAATTTCCAAGACTCCAGGAAGCTCTTCAGCATCAGTAACAGGAATAACTGTATCAAAAAGTTGCGCTGTTTCCAAATTGTTTCCTATAGCAACTACAATTACATTACAATCGATTTCTTTTAATCTTTTGATCTGTGTCTTTAAATTTTGAATGTCGCTAGCATTAGTAGCATAACTTCCATAAATAAAAACAACAAGAAATCCACTAGTTTTTATATTATTAAAAACACTGACTAAAGCTGGCTGTCGAATAAATTCAACAGATGGAAGATCAATTGTTTTACTTTTGTCAAATTTTCCATAAGTATACCATGAAGTAATATATGGTTTATTAAACAATTGTTTTATTGCTTCTGTAAATCTATATATTTTTAAAAATTGTTCTGAGCTAGACGCTAAAGGAAGCGCAAAAGCAATGTTGAAACTCACATTTACTGCTATGAAAGAAAAAATATATAAAATATAGATACATGATACCACTAAGATACTGTTTGATAAGATTTAAAACAGCTGTTATGAGTAACATAACAGTTACTATAAGTAACATAACAGCTGCTATAAGTAACATAACAGTTGCTATAAGTAACTTAATTGTTGTTTTAAGTTTTTTTTAAAAAAAACATGTTAAAATAGAAAGCAAAAACATTCAGGTAATTAACTCACTGCATGGTCCAATATATAAAATGTCAATTTTTTGTTTGACTTCACAAGATTTCTTCTTTAACCAACAATCATTTGCATATGTCATTCCATCAGAACCACACACAATTTTATACTTATCATTGCAAACTGGGCACAAGCATTCAACAATGTTTTCATATAAAACAATGCAATGAGAATGAAAATCACATATTGTTTCATCACTGCATTTAGCTAAAACTGAACAAGTATAAAAATATTACATATATAAGTATATACATATAGTATATATATAAGTAAATATGTATATAAGTACATGTGTGTGTGTGTGTGTGTGTGTGTGTGTGTGTGTGTGTGTGTGTGTGTGTGTGTGTGTGTGTTTACATTGGCTTATCAAAATTTAAAAAAAAGTTTTTTTTTTTTTGTGAAATAAATTTAACTTTAAATTATGTTTGAGATTAAAATATTATTAGGTGTAAGTGTTCACAGGTAATTTTTTAAATAAGAACTACTAAAGCAAAGCTTTAAAAACAAGGATGTGAAATGAGGAAAAAGTTAAAATTCTGAATAAACATAAATAAATTTAAAAAATTTTAAAATTTAAAATATTTTTACAAATAAACTACAATAGAATCTTACAAATTTGTAACCTGGATTAGTTGGTCTCAAGTAAATTAGATGGATTTTCAACTCCCCTTAATCTTTCTCTATTAATTAACTATAAAATCATTGACTTAAGTAATACCCTGGTTAAGTCTAGTCAAAACAAATATTACCAAGGGTACGACTTGACCAGGGTATGACTTAAGCGGGGCTAATTGTTTGGAAAGATAAAAGAAAAAAAAAAGCAAGAAGTTAAAAAAAATAAAAACTTCTGCAAAAAGAGTCAGGATGAGTCTCCCTAAATAAGGATTCAGATAAAGCATGCTATATGTTGTTTGTAAACGCCCAAAATCAAAACATTCTTGTCTCTGGAACCTTTTTCTAAGATTTGCATTTTACAAAAGAGCTTGGCTATGACACCTTATGGGTTGATTTTACAAAAGAACTTGGCTATGACACCTTATGGGTTGATTTTACAAAAGAACTTGGCTATGACACCTTATGGGTTGATTTTACAAAAGAACTTGGCTGTGACACCTTATGGGTTGATTTTACAAAAGAACTTGGCTATGACACCTTATGGGTTGATTTTACAAAAGAACTTGGCTATGACACCTTATGGGTTGATTTTACAAAAGAACTTGGCTATGACACCTTATGGGTTGATTGAAATAAAATTGCTTTTCTACTTTTGTTGAGGTGAAGGTCAAGATGTTAGCAATAACCTGACAGCATGAAGGGAAACTACTTTACCAACAATATTGTCTCATTACGACAATATATTTAATGCAGCTGAGTTTGGTATGTTTTATAAAGCACTTCCAAAAAATAGTGCATTTGAAAGTTGAGAAATGTAGTGGAAGCAAGAATTGCAGATTCAACTAAAAGGTTTTGCTGCAGCAAACAGGTATACAGAAAAAATCCCAATGTTTGCTATTGGGAAATCAAATAAACTCAGTTTTTTTAAAAGAAATCCATGTTGTTAATGTGAGCAAAAAAAAAAAAAAAGCTGGATTAATTATTTGAAAAGTGGGTCAGAGAATGCAAAAGAAAGTTTGAATTAGAAGGCTGTAAGGTAGCCATTAATATCTTTGTTAATTTTTCAATATTTACTCAGAGTGAAATTGGAAGAGTTTAAATGCTTAAAAGCTATTTGAAAAAGAGTTGTTTGAGTCATTGAAATAATCATCAATTTCTGATATTTTCCATATATAGTATATATTATTTGATATAAGATGTTTCACATAAAGTTCCATATATGCACATAATATTTAAATACTGAACAAAAATTGATAAGTCTTGAAATCTCAATAAGTTAGGTATTTTTAAATTGTCTGACATTAGAAGCTTTGCATAATTGGGACATTTGTTATCACAATAAATATATTTCCCTTAAGAGTTCGAGTTAACCGAATTCTATGGTATGATTAATCATTATATAAAATAAATGATATGACAAATCATTTTATAAACTTTTAATGCATACTGTAAATGAATATGCATTAATTCATAAGTATATGTACAAAATAACTTTTTTAATGAAAACTTATATTATATTCAAAACTCAAGTTAATTCAAAACTCAAATTTACCTGTTTCATTTGAGATAATTTTTTCTAATTCAGGGAATATTTCAGGAATCTTTTCAGCAGCATCAATGTGTTTTATGTGATTTTGGCTTGTAAAAAATTTAGAATCTTTCTCAAGAAGCAAATCTCCAATTGTAACAAAAATAACGTTTAAATTGTTTTTAAATTGTATTTTTGGAATAATCAAACTTTTTTTAACTGATGTAAATAAAACTACAGTTTTAATGGAACTTTCTGAAAATGCATCAAATTGTGGAATCACAGACTCTTCTAAGAAGGTTAAAGTTTTTTCTAAACTTAAAACAATTGGAAGGTTGTAAAGATCTTTTAATATTAACTTCATAAAAGCAAGATTCTTTCCATCTTCAAAAGGTATCAAAATTTTATTATTGCTTGCAATTGATATGGAACTTGTAGTTAAATCAAAGATATTTACAAAGTTTTTAATAAACTCCACAACACTATATAAATGTATTCTGTCAATATTTAACACAAAAGCTGTGTGCTTTTTAATCTGAAGCTCTGAAAAAAATCAAAACTCAAAATTATAATCATTTGCATATGTCATTCCATCAGAATAAAAAAAGTATGTCATTATTATCATTTATTAATAATATACTTACACATTATTACATATTAATAACATTAAATTAAATAACAAAAATTAATAATGAAACTCACGACATGGTCCATATTTCAGAAGTTGTAAATGAATTTTGTGAATGCATGAAAACCTTTTCAAATGACATAAAGATGCAAATGATTGACCTTCACTTGCACATACAGGTTTATAACTACTTTCACACACAGGACATATACATGTAGCAAGGCCATTTACTGGTACACAAGTTCCATAGAATGAACATTTTTTCATAAAGCAAGAATCTAAAATAAAAATAAAACAAAATTTACAAAGAAAAAAGAGTGGTGCTATTAATGACATATGGTGGGCACTTTATCACTGTACAGCTTCACAAAGTTTTCAATAAAATATAAAAAAAGTTATAAAAATAACTTTACATGATTGAATAGCATCAGATACAGATAAAACAACTTGAAAAGGATTTTCTTTTACAAGATAACTTGAAGAGCTATTAGTTTTGAGTTTATAAAGATTATTTTCAAACAAAATACTGAAGAGATGAACCCCTGAATACAAAATTGCCATAAACTGCTCTGTAGGAATGTCTAAGTTATCATCGCAAATTAAGAAAAAAATCTGCTTCCTTCTTCCATGATCGAATGAAAACAGTTTTTTTAAAACTACAGGTAGCTCAGATATTGAACTTGATGGAATCCCAAAGTAAGGTATTGATTGTTTGATTAAGTCTACTAATAAATCATTTGAGACAAACTCATCTAGCTTTTTTCTGATTTCCAATACTCCGTTTGAAAAAGATAACAGACCAACACGACTTTTCTCACTGGATATAGTGTACTTCTGAGTAAGTTTTTCAATAAAGTCTTCTACTAATTTAGTATTTTTTCTGTCCTTAACAATGATAAGTAAGCCCATATCAATCAAAATTTCTTCATCTAAAAAAAAAAAGTTATGTAAAAAAAAAAAAAAAAAAAAAAAAATTCTTTGCATCTAAAAAACTGACTAACACGTAAGATTATGATATAAATAATACCTTTCAACTTATTTACAAGTTGATCAACTATAGGCACAATGGCAGGAAGCTTTTCTGGCTCAGTTAATGTATACTTAACATTGGAATTTTGAAAATCAGATTTGTCTATTAAATTATCTTGCACCACAAGTGAATTATCTTGTTCCACATTGACTACTAAAAGTTCAATATTTTTTTGAAATTTTTCAAATGGTTCTAAAATATCTTTGTGTGATTTGCTAGATGCAAAAACAACAAATATTTTTGGCGCTGATAAAACTTGATTGTTTACTTTTTTGATTGGTTTTATACTTTGTATCTCCCCATGCAATTTAAAAACATCTTCTATAACATGCTTGATCAATGTCCTATAATTAGGATTTCCTCCAACAAAAGGCAAAACTGTTATATGATTTAAAATTTCATCATATGCTATTGCTTTATTAAAAGAAGTAGATTTTGTGAAGTTTCCAAATGACACAATTGAGATACGAACCATACCATCTCCAACAAAAAACTGCTTTAAAACTTCTCTGAGAAGTAACTTGATTTTCATAACATTAACTTTCTTTGCATTTTTTGAAGTGTCAACAGCAAAAACAATATCAAGCATACCAGAAAATCCTGAAAATAAAAAATCTTTTTTAAAATTCCTTAAAAAAATATAATAATAGTAATAACAAAACTTTTTAGAAATATTTTCGCATTTTTATTTTTCTAAAACTTAAAAAATAAAAAAAATTACCACAAGATGTTTCATTTATTAGAGTTACAAATTTCTTTTGTTCACATGCAGTCTTCTTTAGCCAACACTCACTGGCATAAGTTAAATGATCTGAACCACAGACTAAGGAGTAGTTATCATCACAGGTAGGGCATACACATTCAAATGAAGATAGAGTTGATAGGCATGTAGAATAGTGATCACAATTGCTATACAAACATTGATCTAAAAGGAATTAACTTTTTAATAAGGAAAGCAGAATATAGTGGCAAACTAATTTAGTATAGCTACACAATAGTTATAAACAAAGTTATTTTTGTATATTTAAAATATTTTTTTTTAATAATAATATTAAAGTGTTTTAATAAAACAAAATTTTGAAATCTTTTTTTTTTTTTTGGTTTTTAAAATTTAATATATCCAAAAACATACCAGGCAGGGTTTCTTGAATAAGATCATTTATCTTATATTCATTAGAAGCATCAAAAAAATGCTTCAATGTATCACTTTGTAGATTTTGAAGATCAGTTATGATACTTTTAAGACCTGCATTTGAACCTATATAAACTGGTATAACCTTTATGTTCTTTGAACTGATCTTTTTAAAAGCATTATCAAGATTTTGTTCAACATCAAAAATAAATACAACAATGATTTTTTCTGCATATGATCGTGTGATTGGTTCAAATACAAGCTCTTGAGCTATAATTGACAAAGCTGAATCCAAATGCTGACCATTGTTAAAATCATCTACTTTAGACAAAGTATTTATGATTTCTTCTGCAGAGAAATACTTACGCAACGAAAACAACAACCTTGCAGCTGAGGCTGAGTTAATTGCAACAGCAATATTAACATTGTCTTCTGATATATGATATTTTTTTATTATAGAAAAAAATATTTGCTTTTGGATTGTAAATAATGTAGCATTGCTGGAGCCGGAAAACACAAATCCAACATCAATTGTCTTTGAAATTCCTTTAAGAAATTTGAAGATACGTATAAAGAAATATGTAAAGAAAAATAAAAAAAACTATAAATGTAAAAAGAAATATGTAAATAAAAATAAATAAACTATATCTTTGCTGAATTACTTTTAAATTTTAAAATAAAAAATTTACCTCTTCCAATAACTAAATTGGTTGATATGTCTGCAAAAATTTCTGGTAAAGTTTGATTCTCATTTACTTCAACTAAATGGTTATTACTAGTGGCTATCTTGGCCAAGTTGGCTTTTTGATAACAAAATGATATAATATTAATAACAACACCAGACTTTTTCAGTTCTTCTGAGGCTAAAAGAGCATTTTTATCTTTTTCAAATGGAGAGCATAAAAATATAAGAAGGTGTTTTGATACTTTTTCTTTTGTAAAAAGGTCCAATTTTAACAAATTTTTCATGTTTTGATTTCCAGACATTGAGCTACTTTCGAGCATATGCAAGCCCATTAAAAATGGCTTCAAATTTTTTTTGACAGATGCCAAAACTTCAATAGTTTTTGAATATTTAACAAGTTTAAGTCTAAGCTCCTCCAAATCAAAGATTTTAATAAAGTTTTTAATGAAATTTTTTATTGTATCAAGTAACTGTTGTGATGCTGAACTATCAATGACAATGACCAACTCAAGAGGCTCAGAAATTTCTTAAAAAAAAAAAAAGTTTTTTTAATGAAAATAATTATTAAACAACTAATTTTAATAACACGCTTTTTATTTTATTTTAGTATATAATAAAGTATACCACATGGTGAATTTTTAGAAACTTCAATAAATGCTTTATTTTGGCATGCAAACTTTTTTAATAAACATTCTGAAGCATAATTGCGACCATCACTTCCACATAGAGGTTTGTATACTTCCTCATCACATATTGGACAGAAAATATCAGATTTTTTAGCTTCTAAAACCAAGAGTATATTTTTAATTTATTAAAACCAAGAGTATAAATATACTCTAATTTATTAAAATTTTTGTTATAAAAAAAAGTTTTTAAACCTTTATGTTTTAAACCTTTATTTTTAATACTTTTGAATAAAAAATTTTATAATAAAAATATTTTTATGTTACCAAAGTAAAAAAATATTAATTTTTTTAGAGTATGCTCTCAGTATGCAGTCAGTGTTCCAACTTTACAAATAATTTTGATAAAAAAACTTTTAACAAAAAAACTCTTCCAAAAGTTTAATGCAAGTTTTGTTGTAAACTTTTGTTGTGCTTACTTGTGAACTTATATAACTTTTGCTATATAAAACAAGAATCATATAAGAAAATAAATACTAATAGATAAAAACTTTTATTAAAGTGTTATATTAAGGCCACAAAAACATCTCAAACTCAAAATTTAAGGATATCATACGATATCTCTTTGTTTTTTAAATGTTTCAAAGGTTTCCAATGTTTTCATGTCCTAACTTAAAATTGTAAATCTTTTGAACATTTTTACTGTGCTGTATAGTCGAAACTAATATAATTAAAAAATTATCAAATGCAGAAAAGCATTAGATCACTTTTATCATATATAAATAAGGAAAAGACTTTAACGACCCACTTTGTGAATACAGTTAAAAAGCAAAGACTATAAACATTATAGAACTTATTATTTTTCTTTAATCTCACCCATAACATTTATTATATAAAAATTTATATATAACAAAAACTAAAACTTATTTAAGTTAATATATTTGCCATCTTTAAACTTGCTGCCATCTTTAATCTTATATCTTGTGATAGAGTTGATAAATATAAATATAATTTTTTAATTTTGGGCAAAAAGAAAAAGTAAAAAAATTTAAACTTGAAAATTTGAAAATTTCGAAAATGATTTTTAAATTTGTGAAAATTATTTACATTTACATAATATCACTAAAAATAAATAAAAATTATAAAAATAAACAAAAAATATAAACTTTCTTAATTAACCTTTGAACAAATGTTTAATAAGCTTTTAAGTCACACTACATAATAGATTATTTGAAGGAGAGGAGGTTTTTTGAAGGAAGTGTAGGTTTTTTAAAGAAAGTAGAGATTTTTTGAAGGAAGAGAAGGTTTTTTGAAGGAAGAGGTTTTTTGAAGGAAGTGGAGGCTTTTTGAAGGAAGAAAAGGTTTTTTGAAGAAAGCGAAGGTTTTTTAAAGGAAGTGTAGGTTTTTTAAAGGAATTAGAGGTTTTTTGAAGAAAGAGAAGGTTTTTGAAGGAAGTGGAGGTTTTTTGAAGGAAGAAAAGATTTTTTGAAGAAAGAAAAAGTTTTTTGAAGGAAGTGGAGGTTTTTTGAAGGAAGAAAAGGATTTTTGAAGGAAGAAAAATTTTTTTGTAGGAAGAAAATGTTTTTTCAAGGAAGAAAAACTTTTTTGAAGGAAGAAAAGGTTTTTTGAAGGAAGAAAATGTTTTTTCAAGGAAGAGGAGGTTTTTTGATAGAAGAGGAGATTTTTTTAAATGAAGTAAGGATTTAAGTAAAACATTTAAACAATAATAATTTATATAATACAATACTTTCAAATCAGGCTCAAATAAAGTTAAATAAACCTTAAATGCAACTTTTAAATACAATGTGTAAAGTGATAAAAACATGGTAACAAATTAATAAAAACCTGGTAAAAAAGCAATATCCTCAGCATATTTGTACAAATCTTTCAAGTTTCCCGAAATAACATCCAGACTAAAGCCATCTAATACATCTTCAATCTTCTCATCAATAACAAAAAGTAAATGTGACACATTCCTTTTAAGTTCATTGGCAACACCATTTATTTCTGTCAATGAATCTTCAGGTATTTTGTCAGTAACTATGATTACAAATTTTGTAGCATATAGCCGAGCTCCGTTCTTAGCCATAAAAACATCATTCGTCATACGCATAGCTAATGCAAGATTAGATCCTTTTCCTTTACTTTGAATATTACTGATAAAATCTATCAGATTAGTTAAAGACATAGTTTGAAACCCATTGAAATAACTCAATATTTGTGGCTTTTCATCATTCAGTATAATGCTGACAAGAGTTTTATCTTGACCAATTTTTTTGTATTGTTGTATAATAGAAATTATTAGCCTTTTTTGGGTATCAAATTGAGCATCGCCTCCAAAAGCATCAATTATAAAAACCAAGTCCATAATTATATTTTGAGGTTCTATGCAAATAAATTTAGATTATAAATAAAAAAAAAAACCTAAATTAATAAAGAACGATAACAACCATAAATATGAAAAACAAAGCATATATCTTGTTTAAACAAAATAAAAAAAACTTACCAAAAAAATTTCTAACATCCTTGTATAATGATTTAAAATGGTATGAAAAGTCAAATTCTTCATCAACTATAATTGGGAACTCTTCAAATATTTTTTCATCTTCAGTAACTTGTAAATATTTATTATTTATTCCAATAACTTTGTACTTCAAATTTTTTAACTTGAATAACTCATTTACAATGCTTTTGTTAATAACTTTATTATTATTTGTTAGATAAATGACATACTTTTTGTTAATAGAAAGCTTGTTTAACAAAATGATTATATCATAAGGATTATGCTTCTCCGAAATATTAAAAGATGTTTCCTTTCCTATTCTAAAAGTTTTCAACTTATTGCTGCATTCATCTTTAGAAGACAAACATATGTTAATATTTATAACGTTATCAATTGAACCTGCTAAGCTATTAATGAAATATTTTTTAAATTGCCTAAAGTTATGATATATTTGAAGGTCTTCTGATTCAAACAATTCACTATCAACCAGAAAAATTAAATCAAATAAACCAGTTATATCTAAAATCAAAAAAATATCAAATTATATATATATATATATATATATATATATATATATATATATATATATATATATATATATATATATATATATATATATATATATATATATATATATATAAAATATGTAATATGTACAAGGTGTATTCAAAAAGTAAAGCGACTTCCAAACATTTGTTTACAGTATCCCCTAACAATTGTTTACAGTTTCAACAATATTGCATTTTTTAGCTTGAATATTGAAGAATAAATATTATTTTCATAAAAATACACTTGCTTGTCACCTTGCTTTTTTAACACACTCCCTATATCTATAAATATATATAATTATGGTGGTTTTTAACCAAGTATCCTAGTTTTTGAAAAATCTAAAAAACAGTTTCAATTTAAAAAACACTTACCGCAAGCTTCTTTTTCAACCATTTGAATAGAAGTTTTTAACAGACAAGCGTTTTGATCAAGATGACATTTAGATGCATATAAAATCCCATTATTTCCACATACAGGTAAGTAAGTAGAAGAACAGGTCTTGCAAATACACATCTTTTCTTTTCCTTTAGGAACACATACTTCATTTTTTCTACAGTTGTTGTTCAGACAAATATCTATAAAAAATGTAAACAGAGAACTCAAATTTCTTCAAATCAATCAACCAAAGAAACAAAATAGAATCAAAGAAACACTTTCAGGAAAACTGCAGTCCCAGGTTACTAGGTTACCAGAGACTTTTTTTATAAAAATATTCTTATTGCTATTTTTTTTTTTTAAATATAAAAATTTAAATATAAAAATTTTTTTTTATAAAACCTTCATTGAAATAATCTAAAACTTCTTGTGAAAATCTTTCTGCACTATTTTCTGTAAATTCAACTGCTTCAATAAATTTTCCATACATAGCTAATACTTTGGTTTGATCTTCCACAAAATTCTTTCCTATCCCAATAACAACTACTTTTATGTCATTTTTCTCAAAGTACTCTGCCAGGCTTAGTAGTGAATCTTTAGTTTCATTCAGTTTATTAACAATGAACAAAAGAAGAAATTTTCCAGCACCAACACGACTACCAAGACTTTGATGAAATAATGGCTTTGTCAAAATATCTGTAACAAACTCGTACCTAGGCTTTTGAATCTTTCTATCTAACCTTAACAGTAAGTCATTGTAATTATTAAACGTGACCTCATCATATTTATAAGCAAAACTTAAAGGGCTGCTAAAAATAAAAGCAATCTGTGTTGCAGAAGGTCCAATTAAAAAATTCTTAAGCATTTCTGATACAAAATGCTTTTGGATAAGATATGTTTTATCAGGCATATCTTGGTAGGTTCCAAATATAATACCAACATCATTGTAGTCTGAATTTTGCTCTGAAAAAAAAAAAAAAAAAAAGTTGTTAAAACTGATACTTACTGTATCTGTTATCATAAATTATTACAAAACAACAGTTTTTGAAAAAAAAAAAAAGTGAAATAAAAATATGTGAAATGTAAATATAAAGTGATATATATACTTAATAGTTTTACTTAATAGTTTTCGTGTAGTTGCGGATGATAAAAATAGCTACAGTATTTTTTTTTCCTTATAAGTTGACTAAAATAGGGAAAAGCAATTAATTAAACTGCCTTTTAAATATTTGCAAAAAGCAAATTTATTAACTAGAAAATTTTTAATTCAAAATGTTTTTTATGTAATTTTTTTTTTATTTTATGCTGTTTCTACTATAAAATTTTATTTTGTTTTATCTTTTTTATATTTTTGTTTTATTGACTGATTTATTTAGAATTATATTAAAAAAATAAAATTTGACAGATTATGTTAAAAATTAAAGTTTACCAAACTAGAGTATAAACATATACAAATAATATAACAATTGCAAATACTGTTATTTTTTGTTGCTATTAATCATTATGTAAACCTTTTTCTATAGAAAAACAATATTAAACTATTATAAAATACCTGAAAAACGAAACATATTATCCAATGACATAACAGATGAAACAAGACTTTTTTCTAAACTAATAACCTGTGACCTACTTCCGGTAATATCTACAAAATATTTATGAGGCGTTGCCGGCTCTAAAACAATAATGCTCAGCTTTAAATTTGCCAACTCTTTAGCAATTTTTTGACTTTTTTGCATATCTTCCAGAGATATGTTTCCACCAACAAAAATAACCAAATGTACTAATCTATTTCCCTTTTCAATTAATGCTTTATTTTCATTTAACACTTTATAAAAAACTGCATTTAAGGAACGTGGACCTCCTAAAGATTTTAAATTTCTAAAGAGTTTTGTAATATTCTCTGCATTCATGGAACTAGGGATTTGTGAAAAAACTTCAGCACTCTGTCCAAAATTTAAAACTGTTATATAATTCAGACTAGATTTGTATGCCTTTAAGAGTTCTGATGCATAGTTGGAAATATAGAACAAATCATTAGGGTTAAAACCATCTGAAGTATCCACAGCAAATAATAACTCTATTTCTTTTGAAAGATCTAAACAAATCAAAAAGTTTTTTTTTATCATCATCATCATCATCATCATCATCATCATCATCATCATCATCATCATCATCATCATCATCATCATCATCATCATCATCATCATCCTCATCATCCTCATCATCATCATCATCATCATCATCATCATCATCATCATCATCATCATCATCATCATCATCATCATCATCATTATTTAAATTACCACAAGCATTTCTCTTTAAGACATCAATTTTTCTTTTTATTTGACAAGCATGCTGTTTCAAGAGACAATCAGAACCATAAGTTCTTCCATTACTTCCACAAACTATAGAATATGCAGAACCTTCACAATTTGGACAAACACATTCAATAGAGTTATCAGCACGCTGAAGACATTTTGAATAAAAGTTACATTTAAGCATCTTGCATTTATCTAAATTGATTGAAAAGTTAATAATAAATATTTTTTTTAATATCATTTTTCAAAATTCTTTACATTTAATAAAAGTAAAAACATTTTATTTTTATTAAAAACCTGGGACTAGTAACAAATTAGGAAAATTCAAGAACTGAGAATCTTCTAAAAAGTATATATCAGCTAGTTTTTCAAAAAGAGTATTAAGAGCTTCTTTGTTTACTCCTGGCATTCCAAAAACCACTACCTTTACATTAGTTCTAACAAAACTTTGCAAATAGGTAACATTCATTAAAAACTCTGCTTTACTTATAAACAAAACCACAAATTTTGTTGATGAATATCGAGAAATTGAGGAGGGGAAACCTTCAATTGTTTCCAAAGGAAAATATCTGGTTTCAATTTCAGCAGTATTTTGTATCTCTTCAATTTTTCTATTAAATACTTCAAGTGAGTCTTCACTTGAAGAAGCAACTTTTGAAATTTCTTTACCAAATTGAAAAACAGTAACTTGAGAAAATAAAGGTGAGAGGTTGAACGAACTAACAACCAATTTTAAAAAATGTTTTTGTAACTTGAATAAAGTGTCATTGCTCAATGAAAATATACCAATAAAAGCATCAATTACATCATCAGTTTCATTAGGTGGTTCTAATTTGAACAAAAAAAAAACTCAATTTATTAATATATACAAACCACACACATACACACACACACACATATGTACCCAATACTATTTGTATATATATATATATATATATATATATATATATATATATATATATATATATATATATATATATATATATATATATATATATATATATATATATATATGTATATATATACATATATATTTATAAATATATATGTATATATATATATATATATATATATATATGTATATATATATGAATATAAATATATATATATGTATATATATGTATATATATATATATATATGTATATATATATATGAATATAAATATATATATGTATATATATGTATATATATATATATATATATTATATATATATATATATATATATATATATATATATATATATATATATATATATATATATATATGAATATAAATATATATATACATTGAAAATGATACTTTTAAAATTAAAACCATAAGTATTTACCAAGAACTCTACCAATAGCATTTTCTAAATCACCAAGTAAAAATGGCAGATCATCAGTGGAAGCAAGTTTTATAACTTGATTTATTGATGGAGTTTTGTCTATTTTTCCAGTAGAAAGTAAGTTCAGTTCTTGAGAAGTTATTTTATCCCCAATAGCTAAAACAATAATTTTCCAGCCATTTTCTTCTATGCGTAATATTGCATCTGGTAAATAAACCTCCTCTCTTTTTGAAATAGGACCAGCTCGTAGCAAAACTAATATCTTTTTATGCAACAATGTGATTGGATAGTTTTTCAAAACAAAATTCATAACATGAGTTATGTCTCTTAACCCACCAGCTTTTTTAATACTTTGAAAATTATTTAAAATATCCTGCACTGTATTCTCTTGATTTAATGTCAGATGCTCATTTACAGTATCTCCATACACAACCAAACTTATATTCAATATTTTGGTACTGACTGCAAAGCTTTTTATGCTGTTCTGTACAAAGTATTTTATTTTTTCAAAGTTTTCATCTGATACATCACTTGCACCGTCAATTGCATAAACAATATTAGTTTTTTCGGCTAACAATCCTAAATAAAGACAAAATATTTCTTGTTGAAACATTATAACAATGCTTATAAAAAATTCAAACCTTTTATGATAACAATAACTTTGTTACCACAAGCAGAAAAAATTCAAAACTTTTATGATAACAACAAAATTGTTACCACAAGCAGAAAACTTTAGTATTCCAATTTTTTCCCCATTTAAACAGTTGCTCTGGTTAAGGTGACACTGTGTGGAATAAGTGCGACCATTTTCACCACACACTGGATTGTATGTGTCAGAGCATACCATACATTTACATAATGATTCATTGCCAAAATGCTTTGCACATGTACTTGGATTGCTACAAGTAAGTCTGTTGCACTGCTCTACAAGTTTTATTTATGTTTTTAAATTTGTATTATTTATTTAAATAATCCTTAATAATTTATGCAATATGCTATGTTACAATCCTAATTAATTTATGCAATATGTTAATAATTTATGGTATACAACATATTAATATGTGTTGATAATGACTAAAACAATGATAAAACAGTAATAAATAGCTACTATTTCTTCAAAATAATAAAACAGTAATAAAATAGTAAAACTTTATTAGCAAAATATATAAACAAAATTTTTAGCTTTATTTAATTAAAATTCTAAACATGTTTAACTAGTAATAATGATTATAATATTACTAGTATTTTATGAAAAATTTTAAAAAATGTACCTGCATTACTTCCTATTAACTTGGAGATGTTAGTTACCATGACAGCTAAATCTGATATTCCTAATTCAATATTTAAAAACTTGATGTTTTTTTTTTCCAAAAGTTTTAACTGGCTTACATAACGATCCTTGTTTGAAATGCTAACATTTCCAGTTGATAGAATAACTACCAGCCTGTTCATTTGACTTGAGTCATTGTACACCTTGTTAATTAAAATGTCCAGTGCTTTATCTGTTCTTCTCTCTCCTCCAATTTTCTGTATACTTTCTAATTTATTAAGAATGTTTTCTCTATTAATACTGAGACCTACTACTAACTCAGCTTCAAAACCAAAGTTAATTATGGCTATTTCTGATGAACCAGAGTAACTATTCACTTCATTTTTTATGAAATCTTTTGCCTCTTTCAAAACATTGGCTTGTAGAGAACTGGATGAGTCAATTACATAAGTCATTGACATTTTGGAAACCAATTCTATATGTAGGTAACAGTACTTTAAATTAATATATCATAGCAAAAAATTATTGCATGTATATATATAAGTATATGTATGTATAAGTTTATGTATAAGTATATGTATGTGTAAGTGAAAATTTTAGTAAATCTTACTACAAGGTACTGAATCAACAACAGTTATCTCCTTTCTTGTTTGACATGATATCAACTCAAGATGACATTTACTTGCATAAGTTAGACCATCACTACCACATACTGATTCATACTTAGAGTAACATTTTTTACATATACATTCAGCATTTCTTGTGCATATAGCATTACTTTGACATAAAACTTTAAGACAAGGATCTATAATAATAAAAAAAAGATGACTGCAACAATCTATAGAAAAAAAGTTCTATAAACTTTTGAAACATATGGTCTAGAAATTGCTTTTAACAAAAGTCTCTTTATATATTTGTTATTTTTCTGTATATATTTATATAGAAAAAACGCTTTCTATAGAACCGTTATAGAAATTATAAAAGCTTCTATAGAAATTCCATTAGAATTTCTATGGACCATAGAGTACAAGAGAGTAAAAATAGAGGATGGAATGAAATGAGGGTGACAAATGACAATCTTCATTCTTTTATTCCTACTTATTGAATAAACATTTTGCAAATATTTTTTGATAATGTTGTGGAGAGTCTTTTTCTAAATAAGATGATATAAAAATTTAATACAAAATAAATAATTTTCTATAAATTTTTTCTTTTTTTTTTGAAAACTGGGCATAGAACTTTTGGAAGTAAAATTTGCATTGAACTTAAAATGTATACTTGTACAACTTTTTATGCTATTTTTATATTATATTTTATATTGTATACTATTATATACTAATAAATTTAATGTTTTTTCAAAATTAAATTTGCTATTTTTGATAAAAAATTATGAATTAAAAAAAAAATGTTGAACTATGGGGTTGAATAAAATAAGTCAATTATTTGCTTAGTGAGTAGGGCTTTTAATAATTAATCATGTCTAAAATGAGAAATGAATCTTTATAAATTCTTTGTTCAACTTTTAAATCTATTAATATCAAATCTATTCTAATATAACTAATGTCTCAAAAAAACTTGCACGCAAAAAAACACAAAATAATACACCAAAGACCAAGTCGCACCAGTAACAACAATAAACTTCACTCGCTGCTAAATCTCTGAGGGATGAAATATTGCCGTTAGAAACATTTTATCATATTAAATAGCAATATTTTATCATATTAAATAGTAGCAAAGTATTTCAACACAGTGTAAAGAGAATTCAACGAAGCAGGTATTAATGAAATTACTTTATGTCATTTGTAGAATTTTGATTTAAATTGAAACTTTAACAATTATGTTGACATTTTGACTCACAGAAATTGCTACAACAACAACAACAACAACAACAACAACAACAACAACAACAACAACAACAAAATTATTTGCTTATCGTTAATTGCAACAATTTTAACCAGATTATGAATAATTAAATATAAGTTAAAATATCATTAACAAAAAAAAAAAAAAAAAAAAAAATAATAATAAATGTTGAATCTTATTAAAAAATAGCAAAATATATAGTAATGTATGCAAAATTTTGTTTAATTTTCATTAATTAATCACGCTTAAATTTTAGGAATGCAAGATATGTTTAATTTATATTACATACTGAATATACTTTTTACTATCAAGTTAAGTTTTTAACCTCAAATGCGCATATTAAGTTTTCAAAATTTAAAAACTTTTATGAAATAAGTGAAATCAAACCATTGAACTACTTTTAGGGTAGATACGGTTATACGAGTAAAAAAATCAAACATACTTTTATGAACTTTTTTCACATACTTTGCTAATCATTAAAACAAGATTTTTTTGTAGAAGAAAAAAAAAAATAAAAAAAAAGATACAACAAACATCATAATTATTTTTGACAACTATAAACTTTTTTTAAAAATTTATAGACTTTATTTAAATTTTTTACCTGGTAATAATTGTGTTACCATTTCACTAAGAATGCCTTCACTGAATGGAAGAATGGTTTCACCAAGAATGGTTTCCGGCTCATCTATTATAAAGCTAAAACCTTTTTCTTTTAGTAAACTTGTTGTTTGCAATAATTTGCTTTCAAGGAAAATTATAATTGGTTTTTTAAGGTTACTCTGAGAGTCTTCAAAAATTTTATTGATTGGTAACAAATCATTATTTGTATAAACATGATCAACAAAAACCATTATTTTCTTTTCAGAACTTGAGTATTTCAGAACATCCTTTGCTTTAATTAATGCCTTCATAAAATTATTTTCTTTAGTCCATTTATATTGCTCAAGCTTTTTTGCAAGATACTGTTTATCTGCTGTTAGAGAATCAATGTGTTCATTTGGATTGAACATAATGAATCCAAATCGAACACGATTACCAGATAATATGGTGCGTTGTAGTAACCCTTGTAGCATGAATTTTGCTTTATCGAAGTTATTTTTGTTTTCAATGTCAAATACAAAAAAAGTATCTGTTTCAAATAGAAAAACTAAAAAAAAAAAATTATTGCATAATAGTTAAATGAAAAGCATAAATTATAATAACATTTGCAACTTTTTATTCTTTTTATTACTATTTTATATATATATATATATATATATATATATATATATATATATATATATATATATATATATATATATATATATATATATATATATATATATATATATATATATATATATATAGTAGCATATATGGTTATATATACATTTGCCAACTTTTTTTTGTTTATCTTTTTTCATAAGGATTTTTTGAAAAAAAAAACAAACTAAAAAAAAAAATGCTGCCCCAAACCAAACCCTTATATTTGATTAAATATGAACAAAAGTACTGATAAAATTGCATCAAGTATAAATAAGAATATCAATAAAAATATTTGTTTTAGAATTATGTAAAACATTCATAGTTTTTATTTCTATAATAGAAGCACTTGGGTAGCTCAAGTAAATTAATATCAAATGTACTTTGGCCTTGACAACCTAAGCTAGATGACTTGAGCTAGATTAACCTAATAAGGTTAACCAAATTTGGGTCTTTTTTATCATTATATTATTATATGTATTTATTAAAACTTCTTTCAAGACATCTTTTTCTCCAGACTATAAAATGACCATTCCAAAGCTCAAGGTTTCAATCTTTGTTTTCTTAGCAACATGATTTGAGTTGTTATCCTGCTGGAGTATGAAATACTATTCTTAATTTTGTAACAGATGGTTGCAAGCTGGCTTAAAGAATTGATACATGATAAATTAAAGAGTCAGTTTTATTATCAATATTATGATTGATTTTCTCAATTTCCAGGTTATTTGTTTCCAGGTTACAGGTTATACTAATCTTAACTAGGGATGCACTAATGCCTAATTTTTGCTAATACTAATTGGCACAGGCATCATCATCAAACCTATATTTAAATTTATACTTTTATAAATATATAGTACTTAGCTAAAATTAGAAATAAAAGTTCAAGTTCATTCTGGGATTACTATGATGTTTTCTTTTAGAAATAATCTTTAAAAATAACTTTTTATAGGTAATTTTGCAATTAAAAATGTCAATTAAATCAAAAATCAAGTTTAAGGTGGAATAAAACATTAAAATTTTTCCAGAAAAAAGTCTTAAAAATTTCAAAAACAAAAAACATCTAGTGTTACCAAATTTCAACCAATAAAAATTAAAAAACCTTTTCAACCAATAAAAAGTGATAACAGCAAAGAGTTTGATTATGCAATAATAATGCTATTCTTTAACCCCTGTGACTCTAGACCAAATAAATCACCATAACCTTGAGAACATGAACAATAAACATAAGAATGAATTGGTAAACAGCAAAGAAGCAATCTAAAGCTTAAAAATCTTTAAAAGATGTCTCAAATTTTTATTTTACAATTCAGTTTTGTTTTTTTGAACTCAAAAATAATAAAGCATATTAAGATAAATCATCTTTTTGTACTAATAATATAATAGTTGCTTAATTAATAGGCATTGGCATTATTTTTTTCTGCAAAGTGGCATTGATATTGGCATCAGTCATAAAATTAAAATATACCATTATTGTATCTTCAATTAAAACTAGGAATTGAACTAATATAGGTAAAACTCTATCCTTAAGTTCACTAAATATTCAGCAGTAATGTTTTGGTAAAAAGTAGCTAGTAAAAAGTAGCTAGCATCACTTGTGGGGATTTGATCTATGCTACCTTTATCACCATCTATGCTGATTTTCTCATTATCTATGCTACCTTTATCATCATCTATGCTACCTTTATCATCATTGTATTAGATAATATATATCCACTTATAAATAAAAAAAAATACTTGAAACATTATTTAACTTTTGTATATATTTATATAGTCAATTAAATTTTTATTTAACTTATGATGATTTCTCAACTAATAAAAAAAATTTAATAATATATAAATCGAATCAAATATATTCTGAAATAGATTTTACATTTCATGGAATATTTACATATAGTACAAGTACTATTTTTAAGTAAACTCCATAATGAAAAACTAAAAAAAAAAAGGTAAATAGAACAATACTTAAACTAAAAACTTATGTAATAATAATAATAAAGTTAGAAGCTATTTAGGACAAAATTTAATTTAATTTTATACGTCTATCTTACATAAGACTTTTAACATCTAAGACTTTTATATATTTTATATTTTTATTGCTATATTAAAATATAGCAATAAAAGAAAAGCAGTTATTATAATATACAGTAACAACATTATAAATAATATAATAATATAATTATCAGTAATAATACTAAGCAATAATAATAAAAACTCCAGTTATTGGTAACAAAAATCAAAGTAGTAATAATACTAACAATAAAGATAACTATTCGATTAATAATAATAATAATAATAATAATAATAATAATAATAATAATAATAACAATAATAACAATAATATAAACAAAAATAATAGTAATAATAATAATAACAATAGTAAATGAAAATAATAAAAATAGCAGTATTTATAATAGTGAGAGTTTGACATAGAATATAAAAATAATACTAATTTGAGAAAAAGTTAAAAACGAGGAAGTATTAGTAATAATAAATCAGCATTGAAATAAAGAAAGAAAGAAAAAATTTTAAAAAAAGATCAAGTATTAGTAGTTATAAACCAGCATTGAAGCGAGTAATGTTAAGATAGTTAGCAGTAGAGTGGCATTGGAATTAGGAAGAATACTTGTTTAATAAAAAATAGACTGTTTTTGAATTTTGAAAATGTAGGGAGAGATTTTTACTGTGCGGAAAGACTATTCTATGTGCATAGGCTCTGATATTTAATAGAATCATGGCCGTAATAAATAGTTCTATGTTTAGATATAGATAATTTGAAGCTTTTAGCTGATCAAAGTTGATAACAGTATTTTTTTTATAAGTAAAAAAATCAGTAAATGGAGGAAGTAAGGTTTTATGTTGCTGTTCCCAAACAAACAAATAGTTGGAATGTTGAATAAAGTCTTTTTAATTTAAGTATCTTTGTATGTTGAATAAGGTCTTTTTAATTTAAGTATCTTTGATATCTAGTAGAGGGTATTAAGGCCAGAGTTAAAATGCTGAAAATAGATTATTTTTTGGGTTATATTTTGGAGGTGAGATAACCTTTTAAATATGAAAGATTGGATTTGTCCTCATATTTGACAAGCATATCTAAGATGAGACTCAAAAACAACATGATATATGTTAAGAAACGTTTCAAAAGATTTACAGATTAAATAATTATGTTACATTAAAATAACTAATAGAAAACATCAGAAATCTAAGAATAAAAAAAAATTTATTTATGTTAATGTAAAAATTTTTTGCTTTAAAATTCAAATTATTGGAAAATTTTTTTTTAATATTTCAAGATAAAAAGATTTGATTGAAATATGATTGTTTTGTTGTTTAGGATTTCTAAAAACTAACAAATAAATATTATTAACCTTTTGAGTTAGCAATAGCAGTGTTTATCTTGGAAATTTGATAATCCATTTTATAATCATCCTCAATAAAAACAGCATAGCTTTCATCTGTTGCAATTGATAAAAGCTCATCTTTTTTGACATTTTCTCCAATTCCAATGACAATAAATTTCAAGTTGGAACTTTTTAATTTCTTTGTAACAGAGTTTATTCTTTCTATATCAAAGCCATTACTACTGCTTGATGTAATTAAAGTTACAATTTTAATAACATTAGATCGAAACGAGTCGCTTAATGTGCTGCTCAATTTTTCAAAAGCCACCGAAAATTGTGGATTATTTAGAGATAATTGAATATTTTTAACTGCATTTAAAACTTGTTGAGTTGATGTACCTTGACTTAAGGTTAATAAAGTGTTAGCCACATCTGAGAATGTTATAATTCCAATTCTTGTTTCATTGAAACTGATATTGAAAGTAGGCAATTGTTTGCGAATAAATTCTTTTATTCTGTCAACACTCAACATCTGAACAGATACATCAATAATGTATAAAATATCAAACTGACCATGGATCTCTAAAGAAAATATTTATATTGAAAGCTAATATAAAGACGTTTCTCAAAGATGTTATGATTAAAGAGACTTTAAAAAAAAAATTTAAAAATGTGTACAGTATAATTTAAAAAAAATTTGTGCTTCAAAAGTGTACAGGCTTTTTTGAAAGATTACTACAAATATAGAAAAAAAACAACTTGTTAATTTACCAAAATTTACATAAATCTAAATATAAAATAACTAAAAGAAAAATGAACAATTAAAAAAAAAGTATTAATACCACATGGCTTTCTTGAGACCAAAAATATATCCATATTTTTCAAACACGATTTTTTTTTCACCAAGCATTCATTCGCTTCAGTTATAGTATCTGATCCACAAACAAAAGTAGATGACTGAATGTCTGAGCATACAGGACACACGCATGAGTAGGAACCATCAAGGTTATTCATACAAACTTTGTTAAAATCACATAAAGCTGCACTACATGGTTCTAAACTCAAAAAGTAGGTAAAACATAAATATGAAATTATGTAAACAATTCTATTCTAAATACATACTTCTAAAGATTCTATGCATTAGATGGAAGTAGTGAGATACAAGCTATTGCACTTGACATGTCAAATAACTTTCATTAAAATGAGGTATATGTCTATCATTGGCCTTGAGGTCTTGGAAAAATTAATTAATGCTAACTTTGTATGTTAAGGAAGAGGAGGGGGGCTCTCAAAAATTAAACTTTCAAAAAGTGATCACTCATATTTATATTTAATATTGAACTTTAAATGTAAAATTGTTTTTTTATATTTTGTGTTTTGCATATAAATATTCACTTCTACTTTATTTTTAAAAAAATTCATTTTCTATTATATTTCTTAATCTTAATTTCAAAAAACTAAAAAAGTATAATTATCAAAACAAATTGAAAATTAAATAAAAATTTTATTCAATAGAAAAATCATTTAGGTTTATTGTTTTGTATTCTTTTTGTTCTGTCAATCTTTATTTTCTCATTGCAAAATTTAATATGTAAACTTTAATAAAAAGTATAAAAAAAATTATTGATATTTTATTATGAGCAAAAAGAAAAAAAAATTTTAACTTAATGAAATAAAAATTTATAAAAAATTTTATAAAACCTTTAATCAATGCATCAGACACTTTTTTCCCAAACTTCAAATTTTGATTGCTTGAAGATTTTGTTAAATCTTTAACATGGAAAACATTATCTTTATTGCCAGCAACTTCAGTAAGATAATCTTGAGTAACATTTCCAATTCCAATAACCAAAACAGAGATTCCAAGCTTTTTAAGTAAATTAGACTCTTTAACTGCATTAAAATCATTGTCATTTGTTAAAAATAAAATTAATGATTTTTTCGAATGATCTCTTCCTCCTTGCAGTTCAGAAAAAAACCCAGAAGCAAGGATGAGTGCACTTGATATTGGTAAAGGTCCAGATTTTAAGCTTATCAAATGGATTGATTTTAAAAAATTTTCGGCTGATGTTAAAGGTTGTAATACTTGAGCATCTTTTCCATAAGAAATAATTCCAACTTTCAATAAAAAATTTTTTTTCAAATTAAAAACAACCTCATTGGTTATTTTAACAAACTGGTCTTTAATTGGATTAAGATCATATTGAGTATTTTTATCTGAGTAACCAATCACAAAACCAACATCATGAGATTCTTTTGAATTATCTTAAAATATTTCATACATAATTGAAATTATATAGAATGTTATCTAAATTTATTTACATAATGTTTAATTAAATATTAATACATCGCAGTGGAGTGTAGTAATAGAGTGCTCCCTTCGACAGCAAGAACTTAAAATTTTAATCCCCACCATGCCGCTGAAAAGAACTTTTAGGTTGGCTATATAGGCTATTTAGGAGGGCTATATTTATATATATATATATATATATATATATATATATATATATATATAAATATATATATATATATATATATATAATATATATATATATATATATATATATATATATATATATATATATATATATGTATATATATATATATATATATATATATATATATATATATATATATATATATATATATATATATATATATATATATATATATATATATATATATATATATATATATATATATATATAATGATACACAATATATACATTATTAAATTTAAAACCTACCAGGTATTTCAGCTAAATTTTGAAAGATAAATGTAAACAATATTGGAAAATCTTTTTCATCTGAAAGAATTTCAACTAAGAAAGGGTCTTTGTAAACTAACTTAATATGGTCCTCATTAAAATTGCTTCCAATACCAATAAAAGAAAACTTTGTATTCTCCAATACTATCAAAAGTTCTAGTTCTTCCAACATGTTTTTTTCATTATCATTCATAAATGGAAAAGCAGAAAAAACAACAATGTGATGTGGTATGTTTTGCTTGAGTGGTACACCTATTGCTTGCCGCAAATACTTAAATGCATCGGTAAAATTTCTTTTTTCAGTGCCTTTTTGAATACTAGATAAAGCAAGATAAATTTCCTCTTTTGAACTGATGCCAACAATACCATGTGTTTTTGTAGATTGGCCTGAGAAAACAAAACTTAAAACCATTTTATTATTTGAAAAAATAACAGCCTCAATTAAATCTTTAATATTATTTAAACTTTGATATGACATTGATTGGGATACATCCAGTACAAATATAAGATGAAGTTTTTCTCCACTTTCTAAAGCAAAAAGAAAAAAAAATGAAATTAATTCTTATTGTTATTATAATTAATTTAATCATGTTATTTAATTATTTTATATTCTATATATTCTATTATGCTATATTCAAGGTTAGATTTATGGATAAGCATTAATGTTTATAATTTTTTTTAGTTTCATAACTTTTTAAATTTTTTCAAATAATCACACAGAAGCAGTGCTTTTGTGTGATTATTTGAAAAAAACATGAAGAAAGAATGAAATCAAAAGTTAAAGGAGTTAAAAAAATAAAAAGCTAAAGGAGTTTTTAAAAAAAACTTAGACAATTGTCCAGAAAAAAATAAAGAAATAATAAAAACTAATTGAAAAGCAACATTACTTATATTAATTTAGTGACAAATATAAAATAAACAAAGCACATAAAAATATAGAATATAAAACAAAATTCTTAACTAAATACTGGAATACAAAAATTAAAAAACAAGTATTACCTACAAAATAAAAACATATATGTAACAAAAATCAATTGCAAAAGAAAACAAACTTAGAATGCTATAAGGCATAAAAAAAAATCATCAATTCTTATGTATAAGCATAATTTGAGTGGCAGACAATAAACTTGATCATCGAAGGTTAATGTAATATTGATTGTATTTCAAAGTAAATTAATGTCTAATTACTACATTCTTTAAATTACCATACAAAAATGAATCCAGATTATTGAAGCTTATTGTAACTAGGATAAATATTAGCTTATAAGTACTGATTAAAGATTTATGGGGACTAATGGAGATGTTAACTGCAACATTGTGAATAATGGCAGAGGAGATTGTGAATGGGGTTGATTGGAACATTTTTAACATAAAAATCAATTTAAAATAAAAAATAAAACAAACTCAAAAATAATACAAGGCATAAAAAAAGAAAAAACATTACTATTTATGTATAAAAATAATTTGTGTAATGGTAGATAATAAACTTCAGAATTGTAGATTTAATTGTAAACTCCAAAAGTTAAATCTCTGAATCACAGCTTCTCAATAATACTGGTAAATACTGGTATTTGTAATAATCAAAAACAATAACAATACGTATTTTGAAATTGCATGAAAGTTTAAAAACATTGAATAAAAACAGCATTTTGCAATGACATAGTTTTTATATTTTTCATTTAATCATTTATAAATGTTTTTATTGGAAATGTTATCATTTATAAATGTTATCATTGGAAATGTTTAGTATGTCTTTTTTATGGAAATCTTTAGTATGTCTTAAAAAATATAAAGCTATTTGATAGCAAGTAGTTTTACCATTGCAACTGGATTTGCAACCTTTACATTGCAAGTCTATCACTGTAACACATTAAATAGCTCACTTTTTTCTGCTGATATATACTTTTGACAAGTTAAAAGATATGCCATTAGTTATAAAATTTAGTTTAAAACAGCAAACTTTGTTCCAGAGCTTTAGATATATAATAGACCCATTTAGTTTAAAAAAGTAATTTTTGTTTTATACACAGTAAAAAATACAATGTTAACATAACGGTTACAAAAAGGTAAGTAAAAAATTTAGCGTTATGTTTACTGTTACGTAAGTAAAAAATGTCTTAAGCATTATATTCCACAAAATTATTTGTATATTTGTTTATATATGAAAAGAGTTATGAAATGATAATTGTACAAATAGCTGCAATTTATTTTATATGTAAAAGTTATTTCTAAAAGCGCTCATATAACATTTATATTAACATTGAATGAAAGTGGAAAAACCCTATTTTCAGAACCTTATTTTCGAAAATTGACTAAAATTGAACCCTATTTTCGGAAATTGACTAAAACTTGTCTAAAAACTTAATCTTGTAATTCTATTTTTATTTCATACAAAATACTGCTATAAATTGATTTAAAAACACATAATATGAAGACTGGAAATTACAAGCAAATTTAAATTTACCCCTCAGCATTATTTACAAAAAATCAGACAAAGCAACACATTCAAATACAAATGGTTGGCTAGCTGGACATATTCTCTCAACAATAGATGGGCCAAGTCAGTTGCCAACAAGTGGTGTTGCCATATGTAGAGCTTTTTATGAAATGATAATTAAAAAGTCAACTCTTTCAACATCCTGCAACACAGTTGTAGATAAAGTTATGATTTTCTGGCATTTTTTTTTTATTTTCATTCACTCCCAACAAGGCTACAAGCAACCACTATTAAGTTGGGAGTTACTAGGAAAAAAAGAACAGAGTTATAGAGCAAGGAAACGGTTGACAGAAGACTTCAAAAGTTGAAGGTTGTATGAGTCAGGAAAACATGAAGATGGGAGAGAGTTCCAAAGGATTGAAGTGCGGAGAAAAAAACTAGATGAATAAAAGTTTTTAGAGCATGCAGGGACAGATACAGTAAACGAATGAGACTTAGCTGAATGACGAGTAAAACGAGAATGAATTTTAGTTGATGGAACTAGAGATGATAACTCCTCTGAGCAGTGACCATGATAGTATTTGTAGAAAAGAGAAAGAGATGCAACTTTATGCTTAGCAGATAGTCCAGGTCCAACAACATTTACAATGCATTTTTGGACCTTGTCAAGAAGAGAAAGTGAATCGTTAGAAGAACCAGCCCAAATATGACAACAGTATTCCATACAGGGACGAATAAGAGATTTGTAGAGGTAGAGAATGGAATCAGAAGTAAGGAAATGGCGAGCACGATAAAGAGAAGCAACCTTAGCAGAAGCTAATTTAGCAATCAATTGTATATATGGTTTCCATGAAAGGTCAGTAGTAAGCGATAATCCAAGAAGACGTAAAGAGGACGACTCAGTAAGAGGATTGCCATTTATTAATATAGGAATGTTGACCATATTACGGTAGTTGTTTGCAGTAAACATCTGGGTTTTGTTAGAGTTGAAATTCACAAGCCACTGTGAACCCCAATCTATTACTGAAGTGAGATCGGATTCAAGATCAGCTGCTTGTTCTAGGCAATCGAAAAGAGAAGACTTTTTGTCAAGACAGGAGTATAAAGTTGAGTCATCAGCAAAAAGAGCTACTTTAGATGAAAGGTTGTCAGGAAGATCGTTTATGTAGATAAGAAACAAAACAGGGCCCAGGATGGAACCTTGGGGAACCCCAGAAGTTACTGGAAATAAAGAAGAGTGTTGGCCTTCAAGGATGACTTTAATAAACCGGTTAGAAAGAAATGATTTGATTATCTCAAAAACTTTCCCGGAAACACCATATGAAGCAAGCTTATGGAGAAGACCAGCATGCCAAACTTTGTCGAAAGCTTTAGATATGTCGAGAGCAATAGCCCTAGCCTCACCGCCTCCATCTAATGCATGATAAAATCTTTCAGTTACAGCAGTTAGCAAGTCGGCCGTAGAGCGAGAGGACCGAAAACCGTATTGATTGTCTGACAGTAGTTTATTTGACTCAAGATGAGATGTGAGGAATTTGTTGATCAAAGATTCAAAGACCTTGCTAATAACAGAAAGAAGACTGATCGGACGATAATTGGAGGGGTCAAAATTTTCTCCAGAGTTTTTGAATATTGGAACCACAGATGCCATTTTCCAACAAGCAGGAAAACAAGACTCAGTCAAACACTTGTTAAATAGTTTAGAGAGAATTGAAGAAAGTTCTGGAGAACAATTCTGCAAAACTGTGACAGAAATGTTGTCTGGACCACAAGCTGTAGACGAGTTTAATTGAGATATGACTTTAGCAACAGAAGCCGGAGTGATTTGAATGTCTAACAATGGGTCAACCTGTTTGACTGGAATGGAAGGAAGAGAATGTCCATAAGATTCAAGAGTGGAATTAGAAGAAAAGTTCTTTGCAAATAGTTCTGCCTTATCCTTGGGAGAGGGAATAAGATCAGTCCCATGAATGAGAGATGGAACGTTTGATCTACCCTGGTTAACAATGCTGTTGAAGATTTTTTAAAAGTCTTTAGAGCCTAACTTCTGTGATAAGATGCGAGATTTAGTGAACTGAGAATAATGGAGTTTAGCATCAGAAAGCACCTTTTTACATCGATTTCTTGCAATAATAAATAGCCGTTTGTTCTCAAGAGAGTTGGTCTTTTGAAAAAGATGAAAAAAATGATTACGATTGGATATAGCAGCCGCACAAGAAGCCCATGGAGTAAAATGAGGCTTGACTTGAAACCGACGAGAAGGAACAAAAGCTTCCATTCCAGTCTGAATCCAGGAGATTACGTAGGAGGCGCATTTGTCAGCTGAGAGAGAAAAAACATCAGCCCAAGGACCATCACGAAGAAAATCACGAAAAGAATCCCAGTCAGCTTTAGGGTAGTAGTAGGTGGTGCGATGATAAGGTGAGCCCAAAAAAGAAGTACAAAAAGAAAGATTTATAGAGATCATTGCATGGTCAGAACGGGAGAAAAGGGAGAATTTGAACATAAGCTAGGGTCAGAGACAAGACATAAGTCAAGGAGTGAAGGTAAATGATTAGGGTTGTTAGGAAAACGAGTCACAAAGTTAAATATCTGAGTAAGAGATTGAGAAACGCAGGCTTTAGTGCCAGCAGGATCAGTGGTGTTAGAGCCAAGCCATTCAGTGTGATGGGCATTAAAATCACCAACAACAAAAATATTGGCAGAGGGGCAAAGAGAGAGGGCATGGTCAATTTGATCAGAGATAACATCTAAAAGAGTGCAATCATGGGAAGAAGGAGAACGATAAAGAACAAAGAGAAAGGTGATAGAGTGAAGAGGCGCTAGACGAAAGCACATAAAAGAATGGTCAAAGGATTCGAACCTGATTTTACTACAAATAGGGGAATTAATGCGTATGTATACCCCTAAACCTAGCATGTGACTATTCGAGTCTTTACGAATCAAACGATAGTACCCATCAACACTGACATCTGAAGAAGGAATTGCAGAATTTAAATTTAAATTTTAATTTAAGTGGCTTAAGGCTAATATTCCAACTATACCTCATGTAGTTACTAAACTAAAGAGTATTTACAAGCAACATGTTCAAGTGTCTAAGCGCAGAAGAAAATCAGCTACTCAACAAAAAAAATTCACTGCCAAGATGAATACACTTTTTGATATTTTCCATGGTAAATGGGATTGTCTTATCAAGATAAATGATGATAAACAATTTCTGATAGATCAGAGAGGTCCTCAAAAGATGTTAATGATGTCGAAAGACTTAATGTATAAGAAAGCAGTTGTAAAATAAAGAAAGCTTGAAGAAAAAAGGCATTTTGAACGACATAAAGAAAGTAAAGTTATATCTACAGATACATTAATGGATTACAGTTCAGATTACTCTTTGGATGAAAATTTTGATGGCAATATGTCAATTCAAACACAAAAACTTTTACTTGTCCAAATAATTCAAAACATTCTACTACAGGCAATAGTCAACTCTCAATTACAATATCCAAACGTTGTTTTCTTGACAATCAACTCTTTCATGCAGCATTAGACCGAACAAAAATAACACCATGGCAAGCAATGATGGTTGTCACACCAGCCCTAGCTGCAATCGGTATTGATGTACATTTTTACGCTGCACTCTAATGGGAGCTTGAACTAAATCCCTACCAATTGAGAGATCCAAGCCAGATACAACAATATCTACCAATTGTTGTATCTGGCTTGGACATTGAGAAGTTATTAGGTATCCCTTAGATACCTACTGGTACTGGCGCTCTAATGGGACCAAAAGGTAGTTGAGTTCATTCATGAATGGCCTGGCGTTGATGAATCAAAGAGTTTTGTTTTTAGCCTGTCGACATCATATTCTTGAAATTTGTGCAAATGCAGTGTTTGATGCGTGTTTTTTTTGTATCAAAAGGACCAAACATTTTCTTAGAATGAACTTTTTGGTAGAATGAAGTCCCAGTGGGAGCTAATAGAAAAATCAAAGTTTGAACCACTTGAAAGTAATAAAAGCGGAACTGGATGCCTTACAAAGTTTGAAAAACAGTGGCTTGCATCTCAAAAATCCAATGTGGTGGAAAATTTGAAAAAATACTTTAGGGAAACACAAGATTTTAGGGAAGACTAGCTCTTCTCCTTTTGGGAGAAAAAAATGATACAATAATTATTTGCATTCCTGAGGCTTACCATCATGCAAGATGGATGGCTAAAGGTATATACTTTTTAAAAATTTTTGTTTTTCGTCATCAGTTAAATATCACAGAGAAAGAAATTGGGATTTTAAGAAGAATATGCCTCTTCATAACCACAATATATGCATGTTTCTGGTTTTCAGCACCTCTCACAACAGAAGCACCAAAAAATGATCTCCTTTTTTTAAAAGTAATTGAGAACTATTGTCAAGTTGACAACAAAGTTACAAATGTTGCAAAAAATAAAATTAAACTTCAGTTATAGTATTTAAGTGAAGATCTAGCTGCTCTCCTATTATTCAGTGATAAAATTTCTGTTGAAGAGAAAATGGAAATTGTAAATGGTTTACAAAAAGAACCATTACCAGGTGACAATAGAAGACTTGCTACAAACAAGATTTATACATTCTCTAAACTTTTTATAGCGAACTTTTTTACATGACACTCAATGAATTTGTTTAATTCTCTACAAGTCTGCTTGTAAGATAGTTTGTGCCATGAAAATGGTAAATGACTGTGCAGAAAGGGCAGCTAGCGCTGACTTTAATGAAGTTTTGACAAAAAATGATAATCAACGTCAGCTTCTCTACCAAGTCGTTGAGTATCATAGAAAACATTTTTCAACTGAAGCTACAAAGAAACATTTAAGCCATAATCATTCCAAATAACAACAATTTAATCTATTCAAATATGCATATTCATATGCATATAAAATGTACTAAATATATGGTTAATTACATTATTATATTTTGTTATTTTTAAATTTATAAATTTTAATTATGGCTGAGGTAAAAATGGCTGGTAGAGAGAAACCATTTGGGGCATATCGGCCAGTGGCACTCACAATTGAAAAAACTGAAGAAATGTTAAAAAAAGGACCTTTTTTAAATACTTATAACAGCTTTTTGTATCTTTAGAAATATATTATTTTAGACAAAAACGGGTCTTAAAAGAGTTTAAAAAACAAGCCTATCATTTCTAGGGTGGAGTCTGGGAATAGGTCATTGCTATATAGATTCTTATAATTTTTATAACTCTAATAAGTAAAACTGATGCATGTAACATTGCCTGAGCTGCGAATCGATGTCTTATGGTGAAAAAAGAACCTTACTTTTTTTTTTAATTTAGATGAGTTCTTGAGGTTCCTCTTTTGATTCTAAATTTATGACGAGTCCTAATATTGCTAAAAAATTTTTTCTTCTAAACTTGGTACAACTTGGTACAATCAACTTGGTACTCAAAAGAAGCAGAATAATATGCTAATTTTGAAAATAATATTTTTTTAATTCTAAACTAAAAAATAAAAAAGTAGTGTTGTTTTTTTCATAAAAAACCCCCGTCGTCATCAAAACGGGGGTTTTAAGGTAAATTTTTGCAAATTTTTTTTTACTAAAAATTTTTTTTAAAATAAAATTATTATTTATAAAACAAGAATTTTTTTCTGCTTTTTTAAAGTCCGAGGTTGATATGGTTTCGAAAAAAAAAAATTTTAAATATTAGGACCCATCATGAATTTAGAATCCAAAGAGGAACCTCATCAAAATCAAAATATATATATAATATCTCATCAAAATCAAATATATATATAAAATCTCATCAAAATCAAAAAATATTTTTTTACTTTCATCTTATAATTTATAGACATCGATTTGTGTCTCAGGAATATTGATTTTTAAACTTTTTTTTTTTTGCTATGAAAATCGCTCCACCCTAATATATATATATATATATATATATATATATATATATATATATATATATACATATATATATATATATATATATATATATATATATATATATATATATATATATATATATATATATATATATATATATATATATATATATATATATATATATATATATATATATATATATTAGGGTGGAGCGATTTTCATAGCAAAAAAAAAAAAATCAACCAACATTTCAAATTGTAGTTACCTTCTTATATATATATTATATATATATATATATATATATATATATATATATATATATATATATATATATATATATATATATATATATATATATATATATATTGTAGTTTCCTTCTTATATATATATATATATATATATATATATATATATATATATATATATATATATATATATATATATATATTGTAGTTTCCTTCTTATATATATATTATATATTATATATATATATATATATATATATATATATATATATATATATATATATATATATATATATATATATATATATATATATATATTAGAGTGCCTCTAAATACAACTTTTATATATATTTATTATATTTATTATTTATATATATATATGGTCTAAGTAGCACTAATTTAGTAATAATTTTCAAATAAATAACAATTTTTTTAAAACTTTTTAACAAATTGTAACTAATTTTTTATACCTGTTGATGTCAATTGATTTAATTATAATATATTAAATATAACTTATTATAATATAAAGTATATAAATATGTAATATTACCGCATGATGTTTTTTTTATAATGTTGACATTTTTGTTGTTCAGACAGGATAAGCGTTTGAGAAAACATAGACTTGGATATGAAAGCCCATCACTTCCACAAACTGGCTTGTATGACAAATCACAAACAGGACATAGGCATGCAACAGAACCATCTACCTTAGCCTGACAGTAGGAATATTTAGTTTCACAGATAAAGCTTGTGCAAGGATCTAAACAATAGATCAACATAAATTTATCATTAACTATCAATATAAAATTTTTAATAATTAAAAAATGAAATGATAAAAAAACCTTTTGCCCAATCTTTTGAAACAGCATTATCAATTTGAGTATGAGAGTTGATATCATTTAAAATAATAATATCATCTTCAGTTTTGACAAGACTCAAAAACTTATCTTTTGTAATTTTGCCTGCAGCTAAAATAAATATTTCTATATCTTGGTCATGCAGCTGTTTGGCAAAATTTATATCTTCTTGATTAGGTGCAATATTTGTAAATAATACAATTCTTCTGCAATGATTACAAGAATTTTGTGTGACAAACTGATTATAACCTTCACGTAAACCATTTTTAATAGTATTACACCGAGGCATTGAATCTAACTGATCAATCTTTTCAATTGCATCACTTTTGCTATACTGAGCCAGAGGAATAAGACTATTTTGTTCACAGAAAATAACTCCGATTTTACTAATATCTTTAAAAGAGGTTATCATGTATTTAATGCTTTTTTTTTCAGCTTGGAAAACTTGATTGCTATTGGAACTCATATCGACTATATTTAAAGGTCCAACTACAAACACTATATCTCTCAGAGTACCACTCTTTTCTAAAAAAAACATAGACAAAAGTTTGCATTTAACAAAAATATATAAAGGTCCAACTACAAACACTATATCTCTCAGAGTACCACTCTTTTCTAAAAAAAACATAGACAAAAGTTTGCATTTAACAAAAATATATAAAGGTCCAACTACAAACACTATATCTCTCAGAGTACCACTCTTTTCTAAAAAAAACATAGACAAAAGTTTGCATTTAATAAAAATATATAAAACAAATAGCTAAATTAAAAAGAAAAAAGAAACATTTCAGCTTCAAAATAAAGAAACAAAACAAATGTAACTAAAAGTATGAAAATTTAAAAACATAAGAGTAACCATAGGAGCCTAAAAACATAAGGACAACAAAAAGGAAGTATGAAGTATTTAAATTTAATATTTAAATTCTTATAATGTTCATAGTTTAATATTATGCATATAGTTGATAAATAATTGATAAATATATAAATATTCATTTTGTCGAGACTGAGAGAGTTACTACAGTCAAATCAATACTATCAGGGATATAGAATGGTCAAAAATTCTAGTTTAAAAGCAACTACTTTATCATTAAACCACTACCCCATTTATCTAAGTAAGAGAGTTGTAAACACAGTATCAAAACAAAGTATTATAAAATAGTTCAATTTATTAAAACAGAAAACTTACTGGTAATCTTTGCTAAAATGTCGTTAAGATCTGTTGAAACAGATGGTATTTCTTGTGAACTTTTAAGTATTTGTATATTACTTGGAAAATCCTCAAGATTATCGCTTAACATTCTGACAATACTCTCGTCTGTTACAATAAAAACTAATTCAATAAAAGATTCTTTCAACTGTTTTTGAATAGTTTTATCTCTTAGTGCCAAAACGTCATTTTTTCCGCTTATTATTAATACAAATATTTTTTTTGAAAACTGGCGAAAATTTTGAGATTTTAAAAGTTTCAAACATTTATCGAACAAAACTTGAAAATTTCTATTTCCACCACCAATTTCTAAACCTTCCATGGAGCCTGCAACAACCTCTTTATTGACCCCATCAACTGGGGCTATTTTCAAGTTTATGTCTGCACCATAAGTAAGAATTCCAACATTAGTAGTTGAAAAATCTTTGGTATGAATATCAGAATGTATAAACAATTTAACACGTTTAAGAACTTCTTCTGAAACACCAGTTGAAACATCAATTAGGTATAAGATATCCACATAATCAGAAACAGATAAAGAAGCTGAAATTGAGAAAATGTTTTAAAAATGCACTAGAAACAAATGAATATTGTAATTAATAAAAAAATAATAAACTTTTTTATAAAAATTGTAGAAATTTTTTTTAATAAATTAAAAATTTTTAATAATTAAAATAAAAATTTTTAATAATTTAAATTTCAAATTTTTTTTAATAATTCAAAATTTAAATTTTTATTAGATTTCAATTTAAATAAAAGTACTAGTATTTAATTATAAAATTTTAATGAAAAATTATTAAATACCAGAAATTTGAAAAAACTGCAATAATATTAATTGCATTCAATAGAGCAGTAACAAAAACAAAATTATTGAAAAATACCTGCTGGTACCCCCATAGAGTGGACTATACAATAAAATAACATTGGATTTAAAAAAATTTTAAATAAAAAATATTATAAAGGATTGTTCAAGATCCTTAAATATTTAACTGGTATCAATATTTAACATTATTTTAAAAAAAGTTTTTTTTAATAATATTAAATATCTGTTTTTATTTAACAATATTATTTAACGTTCGATATTTAATTATTATATAGTTCCAAATCTTTTTTACCATTTTTAATTTACAACTTAAGTATTTAAATACATATATTGTGTATAAATTCATTTAAACAATCTTTTTAAGAGTTTAAATGTTTATTTTAAATTTGGTTGTGAAAGTTCAACAAAAATAAATCTTAGTCATTAATAAGAAATAAACTTGTGAAACTTCAATAAAAATTAAATCAATAAATAAAGAGAAAATTTATAACTGTACTATTAAAATTTTATTATTAAAATTATTATGAAATTTAAAGAAATCTAATAAGAAAAAAAACTAAAAGAATAAAAGAGAAACAAACCACAAACGCCAGATGATATCATTTCTAAATTTTTTCCATTTTTACAAGCATATTCTTTTAAATGACATTCACTAAGAAATGTTTGTCCATTATTTGCACACACAGGTGAAATTATTTCAGGACAAATTTTGCAAACACATTCGGGAGAATTATCAAGATGGCGTACACAAGAAGAATATTTTGAACATCGAATTTTCTTGCATGTATCTGAAAAAAAAAATTGATAATTTAAATATTTTAAAAATGAAAAAAAACTTTATAATCCTAATTAGAGTTGGCATGAAACATTACTGATGTCATGATGATGTCATGATGATGTCATTACTGATGTCATGATGATGTCATTTTGAAATAGTCATCAACTAAAGGTTTTTTTATATGATGTCATCAGTGATATTTCATGACTCACATTTATTGCTTTACTACTCAACTAACTTCAGTGAAATTGTTTGTCAATTAAAATTTTGAATAAAAATATTAGTTATTAACATTATTGTATATAGAAAGTTGAGAAGTTAAAAAGAAAGGAATGAATGAAAGAATGGCAACAACCTTTAAGATATCTTCATTAAATCTGAACAAAACGTAAAACCTTTCCTTTAGTCTTTATTTTGATGCATTATATGATTTTAGGAAATATCTTTAAGTGATACATGTTAAACATTTAAACTAATTAAACTTATTTTGTTTCTTACACATAATTTGGCAGAATTTACTGACAAGAAACCGATGTAGTTGCTGTCAAAATTGAGCAATTTTATAAGAAAAATCTTTTTTCTATAACATAAGTAAAGTATAAGAAAAATCTAATAATAAACAAATAAAAAGTAAATGTAATAACATCAATCATCTTTTGTCACAAAATAATTACAATATTTAAGATCTTAAAGATTAGAATTCATCATTATAACTTCTTATTGAAATTAATTAATTTACTTATTTATCAATTAAAAATTTATTTTATCAAATTAAAAAAGTATTAATAAAAAAGTGATTTGTAATTATTTAAATTATTTAAATTATTTATGAACAAAAATGTTCTGAAATTAATTCAAATAAAGTAATAAATCAATCGAAAAATGTTTATATAATAAAATTTCACCAGGTTTTATTAAATTAGAAAGATCTTCATCAATATCTTCTTTGAATTTTAATACTTTCATTGAAGCTGAAACAGACGGTTCTGTGGCATAGACATCTGCTTCTAAATTTAAAATAATCACTCTGGTGTTTGAAACTTTTTCTAAACTTTTTTGAATTTGCACTACATTTTTGAAGTCACGTGTAGCAAAAATAATTAATAATCTTTCTACACCAAGTCGAGCATTTGTACTTAAAAACATTTCAGCTATTGCTAAATGAAGAGCATAATTTGTTGGCAAATCAATAGTAGGATTAATAGCTTTAATTGATTCTTTCACATCTTTGTTATTCTTTTTTTCATTAAAGTTGAAAATAATTTTACTATGTTCACCATAACCATTGTAAATAATTGCACCCACTTTTGCATAATTATCATTAACAAATAGGGTGTCAGTAACTTTTATTGATACTTTCTGTTGTGTTTGAAACAAAGTGTTATTTGTGGATGCAGCAAAAACAAACACCACATCAATTAAAAACGGTTTTGCTTAAAATAAAAACAGATTAAAAATAAAAATAAATTATAAACAGTTGTACTCACCTCATAATATGTTGTTTTATTATGCATACTTGTTGAAAGTATTTTTGAAGAACTTACCTAATCCTTGAAGAACAGCATTGGATAAAATTCCCAGGATGTTTTTGTTAGAATTTGTGTTAATAACTCCATTTTTAACATTTGTTAACTCACGTAGCCTTTCGATATCTTTTTGATCATTAGTCAAAAGAAAAATAACTTTTACACCACTATCTTTGAGGTTATTTAATTCTTCAGATGGTGTTTTCAGTGGTGGAGACCCTGCTATTATGACCAAAATTTTTTCTGTAGTTGGTGTAGAAAAAACATTTTTGATTACAAATTCTAGTGCAGTTTTTAAATTAGAACTCTCCTTTTGTTGCTTTAAATATTGCAAGACTCTATAAACTTTACTTAAATCAGATGTCAAACTAACAATTTCCTGTGGTTCCAGTGAGTAGCCAATAACACCAACACGCCTTTCTTCATGATTTTTCATAAAACTTGTAGCTTGAGAGACAATAATTTTTGATATTTCAAAAAGTTTTGTATTTGAAACAGAGTTGGAAATGTCAACCAGATACACAATATCAAATAAGCTCTCTACATCTATATAAAAACATTAAATAGTAAATTGTATCTAGGTGGATACATACAACAAAATTTCCACTTTAGTTATAAGTTATCTACTGTATAGTTACTTATTTTGTTATTAACTTAATATATACACATTGTTTATTCATTTGCATATTTTCAACATTGTTAATATATTAGTAGTAAATAATATTTTATTTTCTAAAAATAACTTACTGCATATGTCATTAAAAACAAGAGCTATATTAATTTTTTGAATACAAGAATCATATTTAAGTTGACAAAGATTTGAATATGTTTTTCCATTGTCTCCACACACAGGTTCTAAAATATTTTCACAAACTGGGCATACGCAAGTTGCTGTCTGGTCAGCCATAACAACACAAGTTGAGTAAAAGTCACATGAAATTTGAACACAAGGGTCTAAAAAAAATCAAATTCATTTCACAAAAAAATTCATAGTTATTTGTTAATGCAAAATAACAATAACAATTGTAAACAAAAATGTTGTGTGGCTTAATATGATGTGATAATTAATGTTTGTTGTGTGATGTGTTGCACTTAAGTGATATTTTTATCATTTGTAATTCGTTTTCTTCTAAGTAAAATTTTCATTCCTTTAAAGTAATGTTGTATTGTTTTGTTCTTATTAAATCTATATTGATTAAAAAAAAAAAAATAGTAGAAAACTAAAATCTTATTTTTCTGCTTTGGTTTTGTTTTCTTATCATAATTTATCAATAACAAAATATTTTTTTAATTAATTAATTAGAAAATACTTTTGTAATTTATTAATAACAAAATAATTTTTTTAATTATTAATTACAAAATATTTTTTAATTCATTAATAACAAAATATTTTTTTAATTTATTAATTAAAAAATATTTTTTTAATTATAATGATTGTTAATTTTTTAAAAGTAATTAAAAATTAAACTTTTATTTAATTTTTTTAATTTAAAATCAATTAAAAAAAATTAATTACATTTGTATTTTAAATTTTTAATTAAATTTTTAAAATTATACTAAATATAAAATAATATTATCTGAATATATTAAAATCACTAAAATATAAAAACTAGAAAATTTAACTATTGAGTATAAATATAAATTAGGTATTATAAAGATATTAGCATGAAATATTTTTTTTTTTTAAACAATATTAAAAAAAAACTATAAAAGCAACCTGGATTTATTAGCTGTGGTATATTTTGAAATTCCTTTGAAAAATCTCCCAAAGAATCTGCAAATAGAGTGACATGAGGATCAAGTTGTTTAGAAAGAATAAGCTTATCTGTTACTTCAAGATTGCTCATTATGACAACCTTTCTTGTCTCTGCCAGATAATTAAAAAATTTTACAATCTCAATACTTTGTGGTCCATTGATAAAAAAAACTACAGTGATTTTTGTTGGAACAGAATGGTGAGATGTTTTTAAATAACTATTCACAGCAGCTGCATACTTTAAAACATCTTCTTGATTTTTAGGGGAAGGTATTGGAATCTCTGTCATTTGAGTAATCAAATTATAACGATTCGCTTTATCAGCTTTTTCCCAGTCAATAAAATTGTTTTCAAACGACATCACAGCAACATGAGAATTTCCCAATAAGCTCGGGTAGTTAGATATAAAGTTCTTTCCCATTTTACGCAACTGCAAAGTGTTGGTATCTTTACTGGGTAAAAAAACAACAAGTGTATCCCTTTCAAACAATGTTACTGAAAACAGTGAAAAAGCAAAAAATTAAATTAATAATGTAATCATAACAAAAGAAAAAAAAATTCCATTAACAAAACTTATTAATTATAATATTTCTTAACTTAAAATATTTTATATAGCAATATATATATAGCAATATTTAATAAAGCTATAATTTAATATAAATTGTAAATATTCCATTATTAAAACTTATTATATAGCAAAATCATCAATGTCTTAGAAAGTTTTTTTTTTTTTTTGAGTGTTTCTAAGAATAGTGTTACCATATTTATTGTGAAATATTTTCTATCCTGTAGATTGTGAAATAATTTATGAAATAAATGCCACATATACAATACAAGCATCTTGTATGTAACAACTCTTTAAACAAATGCATAAGTTTTTAAAAGTTTACCTGCAGCGTACCTTGCTTTACTTACTTTACTTTAGATATAATAAATGTTTACCTGCAGCATTTCCTGCAGCTTTAGATATAATATGTGTTGCTTCATAAAGATTACCAGAATTGTTGAAATTAATGAAATATTCAGGGTAAGAAACAAATGATTTCAAATTATAATTAGCATTATCTCCAACAGTTATAACAAGCATCTCTACAAACTTATTTTGAAATTCTTGAATAATATTTAATGAATTAGTTATCAAATTGTTGTTTACTTCACCATTTAAAATACTTATAACAAGTTTTCCAGCATTTTCTCTTTGATTTTCTCCGAACAATTCATTTTGAACAATGAGCAAAGACTTCATTAGATTTAGTTGACCTGAAATTCTTTTTATTTTGTTGACAGTATGAATGACATATTCTTGTGACTTGCTTTCATTTAAAGCAATTTCAACTTTAACATGACTTCCAGTGTTAATGATTGATACGCGTAACTTTTGTTTGGATATGGGCAAGCTAGTAGCCATGTTTTTTACAAAATCAAGAATTTGAAACCATGCATAATCTGTAATCTTGTCTGAGCTATCCAGTAAAAATACAACATCCAAATTTGCATTAAAAGCTATAAATAAAATAAATAATGATTTGTGACATTTTTTAAAAACAACTTTTTTAACTTTAATAAAATGGATGTTGAACAAAAACAATTACAAAATATTTTATCTATCAAACTGACTCAAGAGGCCACTGTAAAAGCAAATGTATGAAATGGAATGTACTAACAACAACATGCACAACAAAAATGGTGGTAGAGATGATGATGATGATGATGATGATGATGATGATTCTAATTAATTTTTTAAATATTTCTCACCACAAGGAGCTTCTTGAACCACAGATATAGATTGATTTTTTTTACAAGAAAATCTTTTTAGCTCACATAAGTTTCCAAAAGTAATTCCATTACTTGCACAAACAGGCTTGAAAACGCTTTTACAAATGGGACAAGAACATTCAGTACTTCCATCTTTTTTTTGAGAACACAATGAATTTATTGAACAATTCAATTTAGTACATGTATCTGCAAGTAAAATTAGAAAAAATCAGAATATACAACAATTACAACAACAACAAAAAAAAATTGAAATTTTTATAAGTAATTCTTACACAGATAATTTATGTCAACGATTTTCGAGTTTCCAAATTCTTTATATTCAACTTTAACAGAATTCTCACTTAAGCTTAACAATATGCTGAGATCAGCATTAATTCCTACACTAATAAAGGAAACACTAATTCCATATTTGTACAAATTTTCTAATAAAAGCTTTGTAGAGATGTCTGGTGTTTGGTCAGTTATGAACACAACTTTTCTTTGAGATGCCTTTCCAATTGTGTCATCCTGTACCATGTTATAAATATAATCAAATGCACTTTGAATTTCGTTTCCATTTGAAACCATTTTTTTAAACTTTATACTTGGCAAAATATTTTTTAATTGTGAACTTTTTACTAATTCTGTTGCAGGAAAATCTCCATATTTAAAAATTGTTATTAAAGTGGAATCAGGAGAAGCATTATTTATAATTTTTTCAATGTGTAATTTTGCTTCATTCTCCAGTTGATCTTTATTCTGTCCATTAAGCCCAATACCAATAATAATTTCAAATAGTTTTTCATCATGAACTCTTCCTAAATAATTTTTTTTAAAGTTTTCATGAAGATATTACAAATAAAAAATAATTAAAATCAATAATAACAGGAAAAAAAAAATTATATTATATAAATTCATTAAAATAAAAAAAGGAAAAATGAAGTACATAAAAAAATAATTATGAAAATGCTTATTCTTTTGCCTAATTAATTATTTGAACTTTTTGGAAATATTTTTTGATCATATTGTAGAGAATCATGATGATGATTCTCTGAATAATGATTTTGATGAATAATGATAACAACTTTTTTTTTTTGATGAATTGATAAATACTTGGCCACATAATAATTTTTAATTTTTTTTTAAAAAAACAAACATAAAACTAGATACTCAACGTAAAAAATCTTCAAAACTAATTATGTTATATTGTTAAATCAAAAACTGAGTTTAAGACACTAACTGACAACATGGTAAAGGGAACTTTTATTAACTAACTGACAACATGGTAAAAGGAACTTTTATTAACTAATTGACAACTTGGTAAAGGCAACTTTTATTATCTAATTGTGTCAAATTGACCAATGAGTCAAACTATAGATATCAAATTATAGGTAATATATTTCAATTGTAGATGGACACAGTTGTGACACATGTTACCTATTATACTGTACTTAATTACATTGATAAAAAAATATTGCTAATATGCTTACCAGATTATTTGCCATACATTCTGCAACCACTAGATGTTGGTATTTATTTTAAAAGAGTTTGGCTTAAATAGCTGCAACAATTATATCCTGAGACAAAGTTTAGCAATTTCTTTATAGAATGTTTGAGTTAACTACAAGCAAAATGGGTTTTTAAACGTTCATAAATAGTCACTGGATTACAAAATACTAATTTGTTTTCAATAAACAGCTATAAAATTAGTCAAAATCAATTTTATAACTATTTAGTAGAAAAAGAAATTTAGTACAGTCTTCATTATCTTAACCACCAAATCTTATGCCAGTACCACTAACACCACCACCATCAATACCATTAACTACACCATCTCAGACACTGCCTTCTAAGTCTACAAGAGCAACATCAGCGTGTGTCATATAGCATCAACTTTAAAGTCAACACACCAGTAGCCACCTTTCAACATTGTAACTCCATTCATTCAAAAGGAAAGTTAAACTTATAAAGAAGTTGAAAAACAATTACAATTAGTCTAACTGCGCTAGTGGTGTAGTTGTAGAGCGCTTGTCTCATAAGCAAGAAGTTCCGAGTTTAATCCCCACCATATCCCTGGTAGTACCGCACTCAACTTGTTTCTCCACACAGCGGCCTTGTTTGTCAAGGTTCATGTTTTAGAGTTGTAGAGTTAAGAGAGAATTGTAATCACAATTATAGTAGCCTTCTCAACTGTAGTGGCCTCCTTAACCTTAGGGAGATACAAAAAAAAATGTGCTCAAGTTTGAAAAAGAGTGTCTAAATATAAAATCCCTAAATATGATATGCGATAAATCTAAAACACTTGAGATGTATCAAATGATATTTTTTTTTGGAGCCATGGATCAAATAAATTCAAATCCAAAATGGTTTCCTTATGTTAGACTTTTGATTTTTTGTTGTAAACTAAACTATATCAAAACATATCAATGTGATTCAAATATATATACACATTTTTTCTGTAGTTATTTTAGGTGCTTCAAGAAGACCTAATGGTTGCATGATAGAGTACCGCAGAAGAGCATTTAACTTGAATGTTTACAATTGCTTTATGTAAAAAAAAAGCCAAGAGTAGGGATCAAAGCACAGATTAGTGAAAGATCCAGAATTTTTTGGTGTTTGAGATAGCTAACAGGCATGGCGCAAACTCCAAACATTTGTATGTTTTTACTTGTGTCAAATAATGATGCTTTGCTAAATATTGCAATGATTGGAAGCTGGGAACAAAAAAGCCCTAAAATTTCTTCCCCCTTGCCTCAAATACATGAGTAACAAGTTGGTAAAATAACTTTTTTGCTAATCTTAAGTTTATATTAAACAATAAATTTTAAGTTTCATAGTATTAACTCTCAGTGTTCATATCAATATGACCATATAAAGTTTAAACCCCCCTCAATTCGAGGGGGTTACAAATTTTATATGGTCATAACTTTTGAACGCTTAGAGATTCTAAATACTTAAAATTTATCAATAAATGTAAATTCAGTTAAGAATAGCAAAAAACTTAATTCATTAACTTGTTGCTCTCACGCATGGGGCAGGGAATAAAATTTTAGGACTTATTTGTTCCCAGTCTCCAATCCTTTCAACTTTTTAAAAAGCATCATTATTTGACATAAGTATAAACATACAAATGTTTGGATTTTGCCCCATCTCAAACACCAAAAAATGGTGGATCTGTCAGTGTTACAGATCTCTTGTTTCTGAAGTAAATTTGCTCCAGAATTCAGCGTTTAAACCCTGCAAATGTACAAAAAACATTTATATACATATAAATTTTCAGCTTAAGACAAATATCTTAAGAAAATATGTAAAAAAATAATTTTTAAATGTACTTTTAAGGTTCAGAGTTAGAAATCAGGTATCGAATCAAAATTCAAATTTTTAAAATTAGAACCATTCAATAACAAGAAAGCGAGAAAGCAGTCACCATAATTAACTTCTTGAATCCACTATTCTTCTTTTTTAATGGTTTTTTACAACTCTTTGTTTAAAGTAGCTTCTGAAGCCTCTCGAAGCTCATCACACGCTCTACATTATCTTAAATAAATTTTACTGTAAGCAAAGCAAAATTGAACTTTTTATTACAAAATATTTTTCTTAAAACAAGAAATATGTTTCTTGATTTTGCTGAGAGTTCTGATAAGTTGTTAGAAAGTTTGAAAGATTTTAAAAGTTTTGGAACTGATTGTATCAAAAAGTCTGAGGGAGTCTCATACGTAAATATTTTTTTCAAACAATGACCTAGAATATTGAAAATTAACCAGTACTCTGAAGAAATATATAACTCAAGATCTAGTGGCTGGTCTTTATCAACAAAAACTGCTTTCAGAAGGATTTCAGCTTTTATTCTATCCGTTTTTACATCTTTTCAGACCTCCCTTTGTTTTTGAATACAGAACATTTTACCATATTTATTTTATGATCTTGGTCAAATAATGCTAATGTCAGCACTAAACACCTCTATGATTTTACCATGATTTGAATGTCACCTCTGTACCAGGCTCAATATACATCTGCCAATAGTCTTGTTGATCTTAAAAGTATAAATGAAAAATAATGCAATGTAGATAAAATAAGGTTTAAAATGAAACTGCTAAAAACATATTACATTTAATTTTGACAAGATAAAATCAAAGTGCTATTGATTTCATTTTTATTATACTTTTACTGACTTAAAGAAATTTATTTCTTTAAGTCAGTAAAAGTCAATGTCATTGGAAAAAAAAAGTTGTTTTAGAGTTATTTTCTTTGTATTTTACATTTGACTTTAAATAATTTTGCAAACCATTATTTTTAAACAATTTAATATTTAATGACATTAACTATTCTCAAATGACAAGACTAAAATATCAAAACTTACGAAGTTAAGTTTTACTTTAAAAAATTGCAGAATCAGAAAAGTCGCAGGTCAAAAACTTTTTTAATTTTCACTTATTGGTCTGATTTTTTTCTACAAGTTCACTATAATCCCTGTACTTCTCAAAAATCTAAATGTAAATAATTTTAAAATTAGAAACTTATACATTTTGTTTTTGCAAAAAGGTTTAAAGTGAAGTAGTTTTATTTTTACCTCACTATTTTTTAACCTTTCATGGTTTTATGAAACAAGTTATTTATTCTCCGACTTAATAGCTTTAATTATGGCTATATGAGGCTCTCTGATGGCAGGAGGTTAACAAGAATAATGGTTAACCAGGAAACTTAGCTAATCTTGTACAAACCTCTTTTAAATAACTTGAAGTGGGTGAACTGTATGAGATCAAAAGCATCTAACAAATTTCTGATTACTATGTATTGGGCCTCAATGCTATCGTGTTGAAAAACTACTTTTTTTTAATTTCAGAACGAATTTGTGCATTTATTATTTAGTTAAAAAAATGCGCACAATTGATATAAATAAGAAAACTTCCATTATATATATAGTCTTGCATGGTAGTTGAAAAGTTTTTTCTATAAACTGTAGTTTTAAAAAAAGGCGCTAATAAACCAGACCAGAAATAGTTTAAAAACTTAGACAATTTTTTTTTTTTAATTAAATGACTGCCTGCCCTAACTAAACCCTGAGTTGATGTAGCAGCACTCCCTTGCGAGTCAGGCTATTTGTCAGTCAATGTAGCAGCAATCTATTGCGAGTCAGGCTATAAGATAGTTGATGTAGCAATACTCCCTTGTAGCAGCAGGCTATAAGATAGTCAACATAACAACACTCCACGCATGTTTTAAAAACATATTTTAATAAAACAACAACAAAAACACCATTAATAAAAAAAAACTTTCTAGTCATTATTATTGCGGGTTTTTTATAAAACAATAAAATTTAATGTACTTCCACATTAATTTAACTGCTTTGACATTTTGAAGACAATAAAATGAAGCTTAATTGTAGAGGTAGCAAAATTTTAGTTGAAAGAGACTTTTTTTTTACATTTAAAGTCTCTTTCAACTACGATATAAAGATATATATATATATATATATATATATAATATATATATATATATATATATATATATATATATATATATATATATATATATATATATATACATATATATATATATATATATATATATATATATATATATATATATATAAAGATATATATATATATATATATATATATATATATATATATATATATATATATATATATATATATATATATATATATAAAGATATATATATATATATAGTAGTAGAAAGTAGTAGCTTTTTCTTCTAGATGTTTTTCTAGATATTATATATGTTTAAACTCTTTAAAATTCTAGAATAGTTAGAATTAAAATTTAGAGAAAAACAATTTTCTAGGTTCATTTTTCGGTTAAAAATGGCGCATAAATTTAAATAGATCTTTATCAAAAATCTTAAACTTTGAAAAATGGTATTTAAAAATTAGCTTTAACATATTAAAAATGTCTTATCTTGAATTATCTAAAACATCGATAATAAGGTTCAATTAATTTTATGACAAAAAGATGCATAATTTTTTATAAAATTTACAACATAAAGGGTTCTGGTAATGTGGGCCTATATGTAAATATATTTTGCCTTTAAAAATCTACTTATAAATTCTTATAAAATGAAAATTAGTATAAGTGGCTATGTTTATGAATTCATTTTTCCTCAGTCATGTTGCTATGGATATATTAGATGATTATTAAAGATGCAATGATATTTTCGATTGAAACTAGTAAATAACGCAGTGTATGTAGTGTAGCATTTAGTTTTGAAGTATAGCACTTCAAATTTTTATTATACAAGCATGACATTTTTATAGGAAGATGAATCTCTAACTAACACGAAGATTTTTGGTTAATTTTCAATTGAACTTTTGCATTAAGTTCTTTCTTAAAAATCATGCTTAGATATTTTTTAAGTAAATCAAATTTCAAACTTGAAAATTCAGTAAGAAGAACTATAATGTGATTGTATAAAAAAACTATAATGTGATTAGTTAAAAAAAATTGTGTGGACAACTGCAAAAATGCTTTACATTCCTTGGAAAACAGATAATAGAAAAAAATATTTATTTTGCATTTCTAGATTAGTGCTTTAAATGAGTAATTAAATTATGCATTTAACGAGATTAAATTATATTATTGAAAAATACAATTATATATATATACATATATACATATATATATATATATATATATATATATATATATATTATATATATATATATATATATATATATATATATATATATATATATATATATATATATATATATATATATATATATATACATATATATATATATATATATATATATATATATATATATATATATATATATATATATATATATAATTAATTTTGACCCTCCAGTTTATTAAACCCCTCCCCCCCCCCCTAGTTTATTAGATTTTAGAAATTTTTCCTTCCATCTCACATTAAAGTCTTTTAGTAATTCTTACCAACACTTATTGCTTCAGCTTCAAGTAATGCACTAATCGAGCCTAAAGGTTCATTTTCATCAACGAAAAACACATTCTTTTTGTCATTGAACATGTCTTTAATCAAACTACTTTTAGATAATGTAGCCAAGTACACATTTGCTTTTTCTTGAAGATCACCAAAAATTTTATGTATATTTTTAAGGTCACCTGTCAAATCTATAATAAATGATTGTTAAATATTGTTCAGACAATAGTGTAAGCACAGACAAATATTAGCAAACCACAAATAACAATACACCCAGAATAAACTTATATCTTTTAAATATAAAATCTTTTTAACTTTATTTTTTAATTCTTTTTAACAGTCTATAACACTAAAAAAAAAATAACTATGACAATGAATAATAAAAAAATTTTGAAAAAAAAAAACTATATAATAATAAAAAATTGTTATTATAAATAAAGCAGCAAAAAAAAATGTATGTATTACCTTTAGAAATAATAACCACAGTAGAAGTAAGCTTATTTTGACTGTTTATTTGAGAATTTATTAACTCTGAAATTTTTGACAAAACTCTGTCAATTCTTGTAGATCCACCATCTTTTAAAGGACTTATAAAATCTATAAGGTTCAGTAACTCTGATTTTACAGTTGAGTCCTTCAGCAAAATATTTGGTTGGTTATTATATAAAATTAATGATCCACGAGTTTCAGTTAAACCAAAGTTGAACTCATTAATAATTGCTTTAGCATAAAGTTTTAGTATCTTAAATGAATCCTCATCAACTTCAAAAGAGTTCTCTATCGCAATATAAAGATTCAATTTTTCTTTGATACCTAAAACAATTTTATAAAAAATATAAAATTGTAACTTAATAATTTATTTTTAAATTATTTTGGAGATATATTAAAGCTAATTTTACATTAAATTTTTAAATATAATATAAAGTCTTTGAAAATTAACATTTATTAATAAAAATATATATATATATAATATAACATCTTTGAAATATATGTATATATATATATATGTATATATATATATATATATATATATATATATATATATATATATATATATATATATATATATATATATATATATATATATATATATATATATATATATATATATATATATATATATAAATACTAAAAAAATTATTATTCTAAATTGCTTACTCAGCACAAACATAACCTGGGAATTAATGAAAGAAATTACAGGAAAGCAAAAAGTAATTTCAACTTCTCTTCCACTTGCAATAAAAGTTGGAAATAAAATAACTAATAATTCTAATGAAATTGCGACTGAATTTAACAAATTTTTTTCCACTATAGGAACAAATTTATCAAACAAAATCCCTTTATTAAATTATAAATTAACAGATGAACGTCAAACGTCAAACTCCTTACATTTTACAAACCTAACGCTTGAGGAATTGGGTACAGCTTTTAGATTGTTAAAAAGAAATAAATCAGTAGTACCTGACGGTATAAATGGAAATATTGTATTAGACTCTTATAATATCATGGAGGATATTCTTTACAAAATCTTTAAATCATTCATTAAACAAGGTTCTTTCCCAGACTCTCTGAAAATAGCAAAATTAATTCCTATTTTTAAAACAGGAGACCCGACCAATATAACAAATTACAGAACTATTTCTGTTCTTCCAGTTTTTTCAAAAATATTAGAAAGAATAATGTATAACAGAGTGTACACATACCTAATTACCAATAAACTCCTTTATGAAAATCAGTTCGGTTTTAAAAAAAACAACTTAACCGAACATGCTATTCTTCAATTAACACGTTATATTAAAGAATCTTTTGAAATTCAAAAATTTGATTTTCAAAATTTTTAATAAAGATTCCCAACCTCAAACATTAATGAACATAACATATGGTGTTCCACAAGGATCCATACTTGGACCACTTCTTTTCATTATATATATAAATGATCTTAACAAAGCATCCAATTTAAAGACTATAATTTTTGCAGATGACACAAACTTGTTTCAGCCACATGAAAATATAAACCTACTTTTTAATAATATGAACAGAGAACTTAAAAAAATTTCAATTTGGTTCAAAAAAAATAGGCTATCTTTAAATATTGAAAAAACAAAATGGATACTTTTCCATCCAAACTATAAAAAACAGATACTGCCTGTAAATATGCCTAATCTTTTTATAGACAATGTCATTCAAAAAAGAGAAAAAGTGAGAAAATTTTTGGGAGTTTTTATTGAAGAAAATCTGTCTTGGAAGTCACACATCAATAATATTTCTAATAAAGTTGCAAAAAACATTGGAATTCTATACAAATCTAGAGGTATTGTAAACAAAAAGCAATTAACACAATTATATTACTCTTTTATTCACTGTCATATCAATTATACAAATATTATATGGGGAAGTACACATAAAACTAAACTTAAATCTCTTTATCGGCATCAGAAACACACAGCTCGCATAATAAATTTTAAAAATCATTTTTCGAACTCTGAACCGCTTTTTAAAGAAATGGATGTTTTAACTACTTTTGTACATAAAACACAAAACATTTAATACAACTAAATGTATTAAATGTTTTGTGTTTTATGTACAAATGTAAAGAACTTATGTCCCCTGATGTATTTGTAAACCTTTACAAAATTAAACCACAAAACAAATGTAACCTACCTAATAATAGCTTTTTAGAAAAACCTTTTTGCAATAATAAACAAGCTCATTTTTGTATATCTTATCATGGACCTTTTCTCTGGAATGAAATAGTACGGCCTAATTTTATTTTTTCATCTAAATTGACCTATTCCTTTTTCAAACAATCTATTAAAAAAAATATTTTTTCAACAAAAAATATTTTTGATTTTTTTTTATTTAAAAAAAAAAAAAATTTTACTTGCAATACTGCATAATGATTTGTTATGTTTTATTTTGAGTGTCACTTCTGAAGTATGTAGTGTCAAATTTATGATATATTTAGTGATTATATATTCTCGGTATATATTTATTGCAAATAATATATAGATGTTTTTATTGTAAAAGAAAATTGAATTTTGTTAAGGGCTTCATGATAAGATCATTACAATCTTCTTGAAGTCCTGTCCGTATAATATTATTAATCTTGATGTAAATAATATTATACGGCAAATAAAATAAAAATAAAAAATATATATATATTTAGTTAGTTAGTTATAATAAGTTGCAATGAAAGCTTATCGGCTCACACAAAGAAATCTATCCGAGGATAAGCCACTGTAGCAACTTTGCTGGAGGTTATCCAGTCAATTCTTAAATGCGTTGGCTGTTTCTACGTTCACTGTATTGTTGGATAGCGAGTTCCAACAGTTCACAATTCTGTTAGTGAAGAAATTGCTTTGCAGTGTGCTGTTATGGACTAATTCTTTGCTCAGTTGTCTTCTATGACTTGCTCTTGGCTCTCTTGTGATTGTTGATACACACTATTTTACTTTGTTGAATCCTTTTAATATTTTAAATTGTTGAATAAGGTCACCCCTTTGTCAACGCAAAATTAGGTTGAGTTTGATTAGTCTTTCTTCATAGCTATGTTGCCTCATTGCAAGTCCAATCTTAGTGGCTCATTGCTGAACTTTTTCAAGTGTTTTTTGGTCCTTTTTTGTCAATGGTGACCAAGTACATACTGCATATTCCAAATGCGGTCTGAAATATATTGTATAGAGTTTTTCCAAAGTGATGGATCTCGCAATATAAACGTATTTTTTAACAGTCCAAGAAATTTGTAGTATTTGCGATGGATGCGGCTTTATTGACTTGTTTTTCTGTTTAAGATCTTGACTTATTGTGACTCCAAGGTCTATTCTATCATCCTTGTTGTTAGATCTCTTTTTTTGCCTGATAGTAGTCTTCATTTCATGGCCTGATTGGTGCTATTAATTTAGTGTTGTCCGCAAACATTTTGTAGCAAGAGTTAATGTTGTCTGGGAGGTCGCTAATGAAGATGGTTAATAGAATTGGTCCTAGCTGTTATTGATTTGTTAAAAATGAGCGAATCCATGCAAGCCTGTTATTCCATATTTGCTCAGTTTTTCAATAAGACTAGTATAATGTACTAAATCAAATGCATGTGAAAAGTCGAGAAATACGATATCTAGTGGTATTTTTTGCTATTGTTTTGGTATATATATATATATATATATATATATATATATATATATATATATATATATATATATATATATATATATATATATATTTACATATATATATATAAATATATATATATATATATATATATATATATACATATATATATATATATATATATATATATATATATATATATATATATATATATATATATATATACATATATATATATATATATATATATATATATATATATATATATATATATATATATATTTATATATATATATATATAAATATATATATATATATATATATATACATATATATATATATATATATATATATATACATATATATATATATATATATATATATATATATATATATATATTATATATATATATATATATAAATATATATATATATATATATACATATATATATATATATATATATATATATATATATATATATATATATATATATTATATATATATATATATATAAATATATATATAAATATATATATATATACATATATATATATATATATATATATATATATATATATATATATATATATATATATATATATTATATATATATATATATATATATATATATATATATATATATATATATATATATATATATATATATATATATATATATTTATATATATATGGCATAAATGTTGTGATTTTTATCACAACAAAACAATACACATGATGCACAGTGCCTCTAATTATTAAAAAAAAAGTTGTTAGTATCTAAAATTAAAAACATTCAACAAATTTAAAATTGTGATCAAAATCAACATGAAAATATTTTCTTATTTAAGATTTTATCTTACTTTTAAATTTTTCTCAGGTAAATTTTTTCCTAGCATTAATAAACAATTTTTAGAAAGTTCAAAAAAGTTGGAAAGAAAAATTAAAATGGAACAAAACAACCAATAATCATGCTAAATAAGTTAGATATATTTTAATTAGCTAAAGGGCACCTTTAAATTTTTTTTTGCATTAAAAAAGATCCTAATGACTTTTTTTTTTCCTAATGACAATTTGCAACAAAAAAACAACACAATTTTAAAGTTTTTTAATATTAGAGGCCTCTTGTCCTCTATATTAAAAAACTTTAAAATTGTGTTGTTTTTTTGTATAATACAACTTTTCAATATTGAGAACATGAAAGTTGTAATTAAGAAATCATCCAAATATTAATATTTCAGTAAACGCTTGATGACAAAGATGACAGTAAATGCTTTTACCGTTTACCGTCATCTCTTTTAACTGCTTTCTAAGCTCTTTTAAATTTGATTAGCAAAATTAAAATCATTTGATTTTAAAGGGATCCAAAAGAGCCAAGACGAGTTTTGTTCATATCTTAAATAAACTTTAGAAAATAAGTTTAGAGTTAACTAACTTATTAAAACAAATTATTTAGCAAGATATTACCAAAAAAAAAATTCATTTTTACTGACATTTTTTTTTTGAAATGTTTGGCTTAAAAAAATAATAATAATTTTAATGATCACTTGCTATTGATAGAATTTTTATTTAAACTATGAAATGTTTTAAGAAGATTCTGCTAATTTAATGGAGAGAAGAAAAAAAAAGAAAAGTTAAGATGAGAAGTGAAAAAGAGAAGTGAAGAAGAAAAGTAAAGAAGAGAAGTGAAGAAGAAAAGTAAAGAAGAGAAGTAAAGAAGAGAAGTAAAGAAGAGAAGTGAAGAAGAAAAGTAAAGAAGAGAAGTGAAGAAGAAAAGTAAAGAAGAGAAGTGAAGAAGAAAAGTAAAGAAGAGAAGTAAAGAAGAGAAGTAAAGAAGAGAAGTGAAGAAGAGAAGTAAAGAAGAGAAGTGAAGAAGAAAAGTAAAGAAGAGAAGTGAAGAAGAAAAGTAAAGAAGAGAAGTAAAGAAGAAAAGTAAAGAAGAGAAGTGAAGAAGAGAAGTGAAGAAGAAAAGTAAAGAAGAGAAGTAAAGAAGAGAAGTAAAGAAGAGAAGTGAAGAAGAGAAGTGAAGAAGAGAAGTAAAGAAGAGAAGTAAAGAAGAGAAGTAAAGAAGAGAAGTAAAGAAGAGAAGTAAAGAAGAGAAGTGAAGAAGAGAAGTAAAGAAGAGAAGTGAAGAAGAGAAGTGAAAATGAGAAGTGAAAAAGAGAAGAGAAAAGGGTTGCAGGTTGGTAAAATCAAGTTGCTCTATAAAAATCTGAAAACAAAAAATAATATTTTTGTTAAAAATATAATATAAAAATAAATTTGTTGATAAAAACAAAATACTTATAATAAAAATAAACTTTGCAGAATAGAAAATAAAAACTTTGCAGAACAAAAAAATAAACTATGCAGAATTGTAAACCAAAATAAGGCTTAAAAAATATGATAGTGAACTTACAAAAAAAGCTAAAAAAATTTTTGTTATATCTCGATAGCTAATTTGTTTTGGTACACTTAATAAACCCTTATTTTCTAAGATTTATTTAACATATGAACACATATATCTCAGTACTTTGGGATCCTTTTTAAATTTTGAAAAATTAAAGAAAATAAAAATCTAAAAAGAAAAAAAAAAAGTTTAGTTCTAGCTTGTTTACACAATACCTAAAAGAACATAGATGAAATAACAATGAATTATAAAACATATATAAAACAAATATTTACCACAGGTTTCATCCTTTATAACTAAAATTTCATATTGGTTCTTGCAACTTGCAGCTTCCAGTGCACATTTATTTGGATAACTAACACCATTACTTCCACAGACTGGTCTATATTCTATAGTACAGTCTGTTTTGCAAACACAATTTGCCATATCCCTAGCATCTTGAATACAAACTGCATAGAACTCACAGTTTACCGCAGAACATTTGTCTAAGTAAATTAACTTGTAATATTAAAAGAACTGTAGAGTTTTTAAGTGTTTAGTATGCTAAACATTATAAAAATATATAACAAGATATGCACTACATTGACAATATATAACAAGATATACATTACATTAATAAGCATTCACAGGCTAATTACAACTAAGAAATAATTAAAAATTAAAAAACTAATAATGTAGAAAAACAAGCAAAAATCAATCTAACCTCTACTAAGAGTTTCAAATATATCATCAACAACATTATCAGTAGACAAGGAGTCTGGACTGTACAACATGTTCAGTTGTTGAATTGGAATTTTTGGAACTTGAATAATTTGATTATTGCTCACATAAACTATAATTACAGCAACATTAAGAGAAAAAAGTTTCTCAAACAATTCACGATTTTCGGCTAATCTTGCATGTTCTTCAGCAAATATGATTGCAACTTTTGAATAACTTCTGCTGTAATTTTCTAATTCAAACAAAACACTTAGCTTTTTAAGTAGCAAGTCTATATTTGATCCAGCTTCAGGAAAAATAACATTTTTTAAAGCCATAATGACAACATTTTGATCAACTGAATCCTCTAATTGAAATATTTCATCAACGTCCTTGCCATAAGTTAGAAAACCAACTCGACTTTCCTTTAAAGAAATAGTTAAATGATTTATTGTCTTCATGATAATACTTTTTTGTAGTTCGAACAATTGTGGTTGACTTCCTCCAATAGCAAAAACTATATCATTTGAATCTAAAATTGTAAATAAATCATAACTATATTTTGCTACAACATGCCAGAGTATATATGTCTAATTACAACCTATGTATGTCTTATTACAGCCTATGTATGTCTTAATACAGCCTATTTGTGTCTGATTACAGCTTATTTATGTCTTATTACAGCCTATGTATGTCTTATTACAGCCTATGTATGCCTTATTACAGCCTATGTATGTCTTACTACAGCATATGTATGTCTTATTGCAGCCAATGTATGTCTTATTACATTAAAGGTCTTCTATATAACATACTTATTTACTAAAAAGTAAAATGTTGTGATATTAATTTTGTACTTACAAGATACTTTAAACT